ATCGGAAGTGTCAGTCAGACTTACCGAGAGCAACGCAACGCGCTGGCAAACAAGTCGTGCATAGCTCTCAAGAGTACACGACAGCCCCTTCAGTGCTCAGTCCTTACACTTTTTGAGAACGAAAAGTGGACTTTCGACACCTGTCAAGAGCGACAGATGGACACGTGTCCTCACCTCCCACGCCTTGACGAACGCCCGCTGCGTTTCTATCCGGACGTCCGGCTCGCTCGGCCCGGCGAGGCGTCCGTTGTCCGAAGCACTGGAGAAGGAGCCCCGTCTGCTGCCGGCGGCAGGCGGCCGCTGCCATCGGGCGACCACGTGGGGGGGGGCTAGCGACGCCTCCAAGTCCTGCAAGGGGTGTTGCGTCAAATATGGTGGTGTTACATGAAGAAACGGGACCTACTTGAGCTTCTTGGACGGGATGACAAAGTTGTCGTGAGGACTACTTTTTGTGAAAGCCGCTCACACAGTCCAGATTCAGTCGCTCCATTGGTCTCTCTAAGAAGCTGCCACGAAGTCGTATCTATCTCCAACGAGCTGCCATTGGAACAGACAGTTCGCGGTTAGCCTTCACATGAAATGCAACGCTAAGGCCCTTGTACAAATCGATGCAGCGACCCTTCCACAACTCGAACAGACAATACAGAAGCTCTAGCTCGTAACTTTTGAAGACCACAGTGCAGAGCAAAGCGAGGAGAAGGGCTCACGTGGATGACTTTCATGATGTCGAAGGCTTTCATGGGCGACTCGATCATCGCCCGCTCATACTCGGCCTGCAAGCAAGCGAAAGAATGTTAGGAAAGAGTCGCTTTTGACAATGATTCCCGATGGAAACTTAAACCTTCTGGTAGCGGGACGCGAAGAATCGGCCCCCCGTGCTCAGTATGATGTCTGGTCTCATCGACGTTCTCTGCCAACGAAGGCATCGAGGATGCCAATTGAACTGGCCGCCGCCAACAAGTCGGCGGAAAGATTGGTTGTTCCTCGACTGCACGCAAACACACTCGCCCCAGACCCGGTCACAGCATCGAGAATTTCTATTACTCTGCTCACAAAGGAACAGCTGCCTTAAAGTCCTTGAACACCCTTCGAAAATGCTCAGCAGCAACCATCAACAAAGACAATCGTAAAGTTCATCAGAAGATAAAGCTAGTCTTTTGTCTAAAACGCCCGTGTTCCTCGACATCGACTCTTAACTCTAAGGGAGCGCCACAAACCTCAGCTACGAATCGGTCATCGCACTTAGACTTGATTGATTGCACGCGGTGGGGCTCTGTCAATCACCCAGTTGTGAATAACAACCCTTCAAGGACTTCTTTGCGATACTGAGCAAGCTACTTCGTGTCCCCACCTTCCTCTCAGGCAGCCCCCGCTGGGCCCCAATGTGCGCCCAGCAAGCGCGCGCCTCTGCAAGCCTCCCCTCCTCCAACAAATCCATCGCAACCTCCAGTAAGTCGCTCTCCTTGTAACTCTTCCTTTTTCCAGAGCCCATGCTCCCCGCCGTCCGTTCCAGCCTCTGTTGGTTCCCCTCCTGCCAGCTGGCAGCTCGCGAGTGGCCACCCCCGTTATGGACGCGTTCCTGTTCCGCTCGGACGCTTTCCGGTTCCGTTTGGACGCCCTCGGACGCCGAGCTCGACCGCCGCGACCGCTCCCGCCGCGACCGCCGCGCCGAAACCGATCGGTGAAGCCCGTTAACCGGAGCCAAACCCGCCACTGAACTCTGGGTTTCTAGCCCGTTCGGCGAGCTTAACAGGTCCGACAAATGCCCGGAAGTGGACGGGGCAGACGCGTCCAGTCCCATCAGGTCCAGAAAAGGGTCACTGGGTGGGTTAGGCTTGACCAGATTTTGGGTAACCGGACCGGAGAGGAGATCTAGATCGAGGGCTCCAGCCTGCGACCCGCTGCTGGCGCGACCAGAGGGCAGATTCTCAAACCCGCCGAGGGTTTCAAAACCAGTGCTCCGACCAGAAGTCCCAGGGCTGCGAATGCTAACCCCACCCAGGTTTCCTATAAGCACCCCGCCCCTCGCAGCTTTCGGGCTGTCCTTCCTAGAACCCCGCGCTCCTCCGAACGGGTCTGTCGCGGCCCCTGAACCAGCGGTCGTTCCTAAACCTTCGAAACTCCCGAACGGATCGTCCAAAGCTGCGGAGACGCTGGTCCTCGCCGAAGCCGGAGCCCCCCCGAAAAAGTCGTCTCCTGGAATCGAAACCGGAGCCGCACTGCTTCGTCTGGAGTTTTCAAACCCCCCAAAAGGATCAACTCCGGACGTGGATGTTGTGGCAACGCTCTCCCGTCGGGAGTCCATGAACTCACCGAAGTCGTCCTCGTCAGCTAATCCAGGCGCACCCGCGCCCGTTCCGGGTGCCTCAAATCTCCCATACAGATCGTCCTGCTTTGACGCCACCGCCCCGTTTCCCTTCCCTGAACTCCCAAACATCGCAAAAGTATCTGACGTGACTGCGGTAGTTGCCGGTTCCGTACTAGCAAAAGGATCGCCCCCTGCCGCCACCGCAGCGACGCTGCTTCGAGAAACCTCCTCTCCTCCAGAAAGAATACCCTCTGCGGATCTCCCGGCAGCTTGAGGAAGATCAAACCCACCGAAGAGCGCGTCCTCCAATGCTCCGCCGCCAAGTGGCGCTCCACCGGCGGTGTTCGGACCGGGACCCCCGGCCACGTCAGCGCTCTCAAAGTCCCCAAAATCGTCGTCATCGTCCTGGGGGGGTGCACTGCTGGCTGCGCCTGAAGTCACTGGAACCCCCCCGCCAGGCGCACTACTTCCAAACGCGCCCCCTCCTTGCGTAGCAGTGGTGCTTGGAGCGGCTGTGACGGGGCCAAAGCTGAAGCTTCCAAGGCTTTCTAAAGAGGGAGAAAGGTGGGTAGCCGAATGCAACTCGGGTGCTGCTCCGACATTGTCGCCTTTCCCAGTTGCAAGAGAAGCGTCCGGCGACGCTGCACTTGCACCGAAGGAAGTGCCCACTCTCGGACCGTCAGCATTTGAACCTTCCCCAGAAGAGGCCCTGTTCTCCGCACTGACACCGCCTCCTGAGGCTTTTGCTATGCTCGCCTCGTACGCACTGCTGTTTAGCAGGGCCTCAAGGGACGGCGCCTGAGAAGCAACTTTCGGAACCACCGCCGGTGCCCCGCCCACCGGAACCGATTCAGCTAACTCGGTCTCCTCGTCAGACTCCTCCCCAAACATTGACCGCGACAGCCTGCCCGCCTCCTTAACCCCAAACTTAACCGGGGGGTTTGTCACGGACGTTTGTGACCCCCTCTCGGACGCTTGAGACTCTGCTTCGGACGCTGGTTCGGACCGTCCGATAGGAAGACCGCCAAGAGGCTCACTTTCCCCCACAGGCTTTGAGGCATTTACTGCGGGCCCGTCGAGAAAGTCCGGGTCCGGAAAGAGAGGGGGCGCCACCGAGTGCAGCGTCGACTGGGGCGTCAGAGCGTCCGCGCTTAGTTTCCCTGTGCCCCCAGACGCTTCCGCACCGACCACGAGGGGGCTCGCAAACGTAGCCGCAAAGCTGCCGTTCGAACCACCGGCTCCGGATACGGGGGCCGCTCCTGACCCACTTCCTCGGAGGCTTGCAGCCGGTTCCGACGCCCTCGCTTGTGCTGGTAAAGCGTTGCCTAAAAATGCGTCCAGCGGATTGGGCGCCTGCGTGAGCTCCTCCCCAAACCCCTCCAATCCCGCAGTACCGTTGCTACCGGTTTTCTGTGGAACAGCTGAACCCGGACCGTTGCCCCTAACCCTTTCTGTCGACTCCGACGCCCCCGCTTGCGCCGGGGATTCGTTCCTTAGAAAAGCGTCCCGCGGAACCGGCGCCTGCGTCAGTTCCTCCCCAAACCCCTCCAACCCTCCGATCCCGCTACCACCGGCGCTCTGCTGTGGCGGCACTGTCAAACCATTACCCAAAGCGCTCAGACCCTTCTCTACCTTTCTCCCAGGATCGGCACTCGCCGCAATGCCTTTCCCAAAGAAAGCGTCCAACGAGCTTGGTGCCTGCGTCAGCTCCTCTCCGAAGCCCTCCAAGCCCCCGGCCCCGCTGAACCGCCTCCCGTTAACCCCGCCGCTTTCCAACCCCCCAAATCCTGGAGCCACGTGGCCCCCGTTGCTCACCCCGTTGGGCTTGGCCCCCGGATCCGAGCCCGCATCAAAAGCCGTAAAGTCGAAGTCGCTGGCGCGGCGCGAGGTGGAAGTGGAACTAGTTGCGGAGACGAAGTCGCCGAAATCGTCGCCGAAATCGTCGTCAGGGCTGGGGGCCGCTTGGGAGAGGTTGCTCGGCTCTGTAGAACAAAAAGCAGTGGCCGTTCCACTCTTCAGCACCTTGTTTTAGTGGAGAACGAGTGAAAGGCTACGAAGAGGGGGGCATGTAGGCGGAGCAGCAGGAACTATCGTCTTTTGATTGGTCAACTTCATATGCAACCGGCCACAAACCCGTTGTGTACCGAGACACAGCCAGCCAAACAACTTAGAATATCAGCATTAATGAAGCAAGTCAGACATACAGGCTTCACCGCCTGGCTTCTGAATGCTCAAATGGCTCTTTGCAACTGCATAACTCCTAAAAGCCTCTGGGCTTTTTATGCACGACAACGTTGCCCTGACGGATGCCATGTTAGCTGCACCCTCAACCTATGTTCTCACTGATTGCTGTCACAGGTGAAGGTAAACTTTGTGTACACGGTTTCAATTCAAAGCGTCCGAAAAGCAAAGCAACGCGTATGCGACATGCTCTCCTCCGAACGGGGATAAACTGAGCAGAAAATAACTGGCCTCTCTGATTCCATCTGCATGTTCCCTGGCCTAACCCAAGCAAGGTCAAAAAAGCTAGTCAACCCACCGATGGCCTCCTCTCCCCAGTCCATCAGATCCACAACCGGCGCCTGTGCAGGCGGCGCTGCTTCCTCTCTTCCAGTGGTAGAGTCCTTGAAATCGGATGCCCACTCAGACGCTAGCCCCGCAGCCATTGCGAACCGCGCCCTGTTAACGTCCTGGTTAACAGGCCGGTTCCCACGTCCTGCCCCAGGGGGTATCAGATTGCCTATCAGTTGGGAAGGGGCTTTCGGTTTGGCTAAGGCTGTGGGCTCGGCTTTAGAAGCGGGTCTGCTCAGAGTGGAGCTGCGGGGGGAGCTCGTGGCCGGTTCTAAACTGGCGCGCCTTGCTCGGGGGCTGGACCGAGGGGACGACCGAGGGGAGGAGTGGGGGGAAGAGCGAGGCGATCGAGTAGCAAGCTTGGTTAACGGGGCGGGTTTGGTTGACGGGACAGGTTTCAAGTCAGAAGGCCCCCCGCTGCTGCGCCGAGACCCGGTCTTCACGGAAGGGGGGGGGTGTATGCTGCTTAGCAAGGTAGACTTTGCCGGGGCTTTGGTGCTGATGTTAGCGATGGGCTCGGTAGTGACGTTAGCAACTAGGGGAGGCGGTTTTGGGAAACTGGTTTCCTCGACTTTGACGGCTGCGAAATCCCCCCAGTCGTCGTCCTCAACTTGGCCCAGTGCCGCATTTAAGGATGCGGATGGAGGAATGGGAGGGTTCTCAAACAGAGGGGGCTGGAGAGAATTTTGAATCACTGCCGGCTCAAGGGTATTCTGGGACTGTGGGGGCTCAGAAGGGGGTTTGAATGGCTGTGAGAAGGGGTCACCAACCGACGGCTCAGAAAAAGAGAAGTCGCCCGACGGCGCCGGCGAGTCTACCGCGAAAATATCCGGCAAGGCTCCGGAGGAGGGGCCAAACGCGGGTTCCGCTGTGGCGCCCTTCGACGGCTGCGGTTTCTTGAGCCCGTGCATTGAGAGCATCATTTCGCTGATGGGGGATGCGGTGAGAGGGGCCTTGTCAATTTGTTGAGCTAATACCACAGCGCTGTTTGCAGCTGGTGCGGGTGGGATCACAGGGCCTCCAAGCTCGCCAAAGCTGAAGCTGTCGGTTCTTCCGACCGGGGGGGCGGTGCTCTGAGTGGGGGGCACCACCACAAAGTCGCCGAACTCGTCGTCTTCCAAGAAGTTGGCCATAGCTTACGGAGGGCCGGGAGCTTCTGGGGCGTCAGAGTGGCTGCAGTACAATGGGAAAAGGAGTCTGTGCCTCATGCAAAGAGCGGAGGGCGGGTATGAAAAAGAAAGTACAGACTGTCGGCCTTCGAAACTCTTGCTCAAGTGATTTCACATTACTGATGGCAATGCTCGTGTTCCATCAAGTTCTGTCAAACAGATCGAAATCTCGTCTCACTAAATACAAGGTTGACTCAGGCTAACACCCTGCGGTACGCCTTATGTTGCTATTGGACAGTGGCGAAACAATCTCATGCACTGTGGAACGCAATCAGCTGAAGAACTTAGTCGCTCTACCATTTGCTATGGCCTAAAGCATGAAGGCACACCCAGAGAATCCTGAAGCAAAGACATCCAACAAAAAGTAGGGACGGATGCCGCAACTTATGAAGAGACTTCATACCGCATATTCCAGTCTCCAGGCTGATAGTTTTCAAAAATCCAGGTTGCAAATCCCCGCTCAAGAGGTTCTGCACTTCGGAATACTCTTGTCCAATGACTGTTCGTCAAACATGTAAAGTATCCCGGCACATGAATAAGTCCAGTGACCATAGGAATGCCAATCGAGGAAACCTAGATCAAGCCACCTCAAAGACCTGTCTTAACGCCGAATCAGGACATTGAGGAAGCCGTTGGACATGCCGGCTATATCAATCAACCGAGATACAGACCGCAAGGCGAGCAGGATACTTCAATCCAGCGGTCAGGCGGATAAAGGGCAGAGGCAGCAGCTGGGTGCGTCCCTTTGGCATGCGGACATGTAGAAGCACATGAGTAGCAAAATTGCATCTGAAAGTGTGTTTGGAAATGGTGTGGACCGTCACGAGTTCAACTTGGTTGTTGTCTTCTCTGCAATTCTACAGACCCTTTTGCAGTGCCGCTACTTTCAAGACGCCATTATGAAGACGAAACCGTTGAACTGGAGATCAACCACCAAGAAAGGGGCAGCCAAATATTGGAAACCAAACATGACTAAGTTGATGAAGACACAGATGAAAACTGGGGACAATTAGAGCGCCGCCCTAAAGACACCCGTCACATGCAATGCCATGCACAACGTGCCTTCTGCGGGGGAAAAGCGCAAAGAAGGAGCTCAAGACTGTCAAACCCTGGCATTTGCTAATCCATGAAAACAAGCTCACCGTCTGCTCAAGCAGCATCCTAGATCTTGTTCCCCTTACGGTAGGAGCGAGGTCCCGGAAAGCCATTTCCTGAGATATGTAGATCTGACAATGAGACTCCGAGGAATTTTGAGAAAGATGCATCAGGTCCGTACGCGAACCGCTGGCACATTACACGGAAGTTGGTTTCAAACACACCTAGCAGCTGCCTACAGGGTTCAAACAAAATCTGTTGGCGCCCTCTCTTCGCTCTGCTGCTTCTCCGGGTTTTCTTAGCCCTGAACTGCACTCAACTGCATGGAACTTTGAAGCTGCTGCAACTTGTGACAATGACGTTGGTTGCCCTCCTGTTGGGCTGCACGAGTTCACTCCTTGAACGCAAAGGTTAATTGAACGTAGGTTAGATTCTTCCGGATACTTTTTCTGAAAGACCGGCCTCCAGGCCAACCCCAGAAAGTCGGTGTGGTGTCCCGGGGAATGCTCTCCCGGTTCCTAAGCAAGAAGTAGACCAGGGGTCAAGAACGGCGTTAGCCACGGCTCTCCCAACGGCTGAGCGTTTGAGCACGTTGAAATATTCGATCAACCTAAATTTGCTCAATATATGGCGGCGTCCTTGAAACTGCAAAATCCACGTTCGAAGTCGCTGCCAAAATCAGGCACGAGCCGATCGCGGCGACGTAAACAGCCGTGTTCCGTGCTCACTGGTCGCCATATGCGGATGCTTCCGCCAACGCCAGCGCCTGCCAGTGCAGATCGAGGATCCTCGAAAATGCAATCTTGGATGTCTCAGGGCGAACGAAATGTGCACGAGATGCATTTCAACTACCTAGACTTGTGATATGTGTATGTGACACACTTGTGCGCCATGACTAGAAAGATTCACAGTTTGCAAGTTCAACGATTTCGCGCTGAAACGAGCAAACAAGTCTTGATGGGTCTCCAAGCAAAGCCAGAGCAGCACTCGTGTCTCTACTGGGGCAGCTCGACAATATGCCAATGCTATACGCTTTCAACACTGTGGCGCGCCACTCTTGACACTACTCCCTTCCATGCAATTGCTCTATACATCTTGTCCGGGCCAGATCCTTCAATCGTAGCAGCACGACTTGGTTGGGTTTTACTGTGATCTTACTGAATAAGAGGAAACAAAGGAATGCATCGTCTAGATACATGCATGAAATCTAGTGTGACAGCATGGTGAAAGGGGAGTATTTTCCTTTCTGATTCCATTTTTAACGGGCTTCCAAATGGCAGCTACGTCGACTGGGTAGTCCAACTGCTGCAATCATCAAGGGGCCGTCAGTATAGGTACCAATAAGTCCACCAACGGTTGCATTGCCAATCCTTTGCCGCATAAAGCGGGTCCGAAGTTGTATAACAACAGCGAAAGTACAAGTTTTTAGCACATCAATTAGGAATCAGTGTGCGATCCAGCATTATATGGTGTCCGGTGCCACCATGATTTTAGAATCAAGCGGTCGAGGCTGTACTCGGGTCGAGAAATTGCAAAAAGACGAAGTTATTGGACGTCCTTTCAAGCATTCCGTTCGATGGACTATCTGAACTGTTCCCCTACTAGCTGTTCTAAAAATATCAAGGGCGTACGCAAGGCAATGGAATCCCAATCCGTTGAATCGAACTCGACAAGAATGGTTGGTTGCATTCGGTGAGGGGCCTCCCTATTCGCTACTAGTGCTGCCTCCAGTAACTCTTGTACAGATCTTCAAATCCGTTATGCCTCCTCAACCTCGTTACGTCAATTATTACCCTTTTTTTCCATGGTGATTACTTTCCAAAAATGTGGTCATTGGGATCCTGACAACAGTCACAGACTCCAAATAAGGTGCTTCCAGTCGGCACTGTCGACTTCTCCGTATGCGCCCCCTCGTTGCCTACAGTTTCACGACTGTTTATATCCAAAGACATTACGAATTTTCAGCACTGAACAGCGAACAGAACGTTTAAACGAACAGAACGTGTGCGAAGAGCATCATCGGCTAGATCGTTAGGACTAGACTTCGATCATTGGCTGCCGTGTGTTGCCTTTGACGCAACACACGGCTCCTCAACGATTAACTGTCCGTTTGAGGTACTGCTTCACAAATCTGCCTTTGCGGTTTCCTTCAGCCGTCATAGTAGCAGGTTGAGCAAAGCCTGACTACTTCTACTGAAAGAGAACTCCTGTTACTTCACCGTTCATGTATCACGAAGACAGCACCATCGCATGCAATACGCTATAGCAAGCGACTCTCGAAACGCAACGAGTCTGGGGCTTTCAAGCGCGCCAGGCCCGCCGTGCGTTGCTGCCACGTGTCACCTCCTCATTGGTGCATACGCGCGGTTCGGTCCTCAGCTCCTCAATCCACGCCTGGTTGCCGGGCTCACGAGTCAAAATCCAGCTCCACAGTCGGCGCCTCCGCCGCCCGGGAGAAGACGTCCCGGGCGCTGCTCCGCCGTTTTGAGACTGGGGCGGTGGTGTCGCGGGAAGTGGTTCGCGGTCGGGGGGCGGTGCAACTGCTTAGAGGCCCAGAAGTAGCACTTACTATGCATCTTGCATTGCGAAAGACCGTGGCACGGCTGCGAAACGCTTATGAAATCGACGGGGAGTGTTGAGAAAGCCATTGAACCATTTTCGAATGTTTTCAGAATCGAAACGAGCGACTTCGTTACGCCTCGATCCCATGTGGTCAGGCGCAGTGTCCCTTAGGATTCGACTTTGTTTCTGTTTGCTCGTCTGAAGATTCTATGGTTTTCGTTGATCCAGTTTGGGCTTTGGACCTTCCACTATTGTCTCTATAGTTCATGAAAAAGCAATTCCTTACATTGAGTCTTCAAAACAACTTCAACTACAAAAGATGTTCTCCTAATACTCGCACTTCAAATGGGCAAGAGCGGCGACGCATTCAGTTCGCAACTCCCTATCCAAGCCCGAGCCGTCCGTATCCTCCAGCATTACTTGGCGCTGTCGCTCATAACATTCTCGAAACCGACGACTGCCTTCCGACCTTCCGACCTTCCACCGACAAGTACCAACTCACCTGTTCCGATGTTCGTTTGCTGACGTTCGTACTCGATGCCGTCACCAACCGGACGTCCGTGCACGTTCCGCTGCCACTGGTGTGTTCGGCCCCACAGCCCACGGAACCCTAGCCGGCTTGGCCGGTACGTCGGTTCTTCGGGCGCTTCTTCCAACATGGGAGGGTTTGCGCTTAACCCGCGCTGGAATCCGGGCAACTGTGCGTCAGGAACAACTTGGCGACCTTCGTTGACGTCTTCGCGAGAAAGCCTTGGGTCTCTCGTTCCGTTGCTCCGCCTCTCAACAGTTCCGCTCGTGAAGGCTCCGTCAACCGCCCCTGGTGCCAAAACTCCTCGGTTCGCACCGCCCGGGTTGATGTCTGGTTCCGAGCCGCCGGGTCCCCGCATCCGGCCCGCGGTTGATCGGTCGAGCGTAACCCAGAGCTCCTGATGAGTGAGCAAGTTTCCTATCACCGGGCGGTTAGGAACAACCGGAGGAGCGAACCGTTCGGAAGCAGGGACGCCGATAGTCCCCATCTCGTCCGGGTGAACGTGCTGAATGGAGGCTTGCAAGACCGGATCAGCGCCTGGGTTAGCGTTTAGGTTAGCGTAATCGTGCCCGGGGGATGTGCCCGGGGGTTGGTTGGCAGCTAGCAGGGCCTGCCTCTGCTGACGCGATGCGGGGTCGGTGGAGAGAACCGCGCTGCGTCGGGCCCGTAACATGGCTGCCACGTCAACAGCTGCGGTGGTGAAACCAATGTTCGTTAAGGAATGGAAGGAACGGGGCGTGATTGCTGTAGGCGAGGTTGTAGGAGATCCTAAAAGCGAGATCTCCGGCAAAAAGTGCTTCAGATTTTCTGTCCGACGCAGAAGGATGCAGAGGAGGAATCGGCTTTCGGCCCGAACGGGTCTTGTGGAGGACGCAGTTTACGGCAAAGCGGACAATCACGCTCAAAAAAAGCCCGGTGAGTTTAGAGAACATGGAAATGAAGAGGCGAATCAGTCAGGTAGCCGAAGCAAACTTGAGAAGATTGAATGCAAGACAGCGTGGACACTTTATCGAGTCTCAGCGAATGAACTTCCCTCTGAGGGAGACTTTGATTGGACGGAATCATTTTCAGGGATGATTCAAACTGATTGCAGGTGACGTTGAAAGGTATCAAAAGTCCTCGGGAGTATCTGACGCTTTTTATCACGGTACTGTGTACTATCGAGTATGCGGTTTGAATGAAAGACCGGAATTTATACCTATAGGATGTCACTTACCGGAAGATCACGTAACTTCATGGAGATATTTGCGGTAATGCGAAATTCCAAGTAGGAATTCGTGGTACTAATGAAACGAATATGGCAGCTTGCTTCCCGCCTGCGGTTTCGACTGCTTGACCGAAATTGGCCGTTGAAACTTCGGACAAGAGCAGAACAGAAAACGACGTTGCCTATCATGTGAACCGCCTGCTCGTCCAAAACCATCCATTCATAATAACATCTTGGACCCCATCGGCAAAGTTTAAGTTAACTTTTACAAGTCGATTCTGTAGGCCTCACCAGGGGCGCTCTCGTCGCCACGTGTCGCCTCCTGACTCGGCCCAGGCCGTGCCAGGTGCGCACGCACGTGCGCCCGGATCTCCATTCGCTCCCTGCTGGCGGAGATCGCTTCCGCGAGCGTCGGCGACGGACTGACACGTCTCAGCTGTTCGTGGCTGCCACGTGGCAGCCGCCGCAGACCCGGCTGCGCCACTCGCTCTGACGTCAGCACCGCTTCCAGTTCCGTCTCTGCTTGAAGCGCCGTGGCCCGGTTCCGCGGACCTTCCGTCTCTCGATCGGAGTCTGATTCGGAACGGGAGCCGGAACCAGAAACGGAGCCGGGACCAAAATCGGAAACTGGCCCAACGTCGGAATCGAGAACCGCCCCCTCTAATCCGAAGGAGCTCTGCAACGGTCGCTGAAACGAAGTGAGCAGGCTTCCGCTGATGCTGACTCCGCCGTTCTGGTTTCCATTTCCGCTGTTCCGCCGTCCTCTGCCCAGTCCGGCGGCGCCCGTCCCTGGCATGCTCTGCCTGGCTACGGCCCGGAGAGTCGTTCCGATCGGGCGTCCGTTTTCGGTACCGGTTCCGTTCCCATGTCTGATTCCGGTTCCAGTTCCGCCTTCAGTACGGCGCACGCGCGGCACCCGGGCATCCTCTTCCGCCGCTGGCAGACTGTCCCGGGCAGCAATCCGACGGAACGCTCCAGCGACGGAACTAGAGCGCCCAACTCCGCCAGACTGGATCCGCGTTCCGCCGTGAGCGGAATTGCATTGCCGGAGAAGGGCCCCCAGGGTTTCGGAAAGCGGAATCCGGCAGACTGGGCAGCGGAACGCGGAAGGCCGCGGTCGGGACGAGTATTCGGGTATGGCGAGGAAGCAGGGGAGCAGGCAGCAGAGGTGGATGTGGTGACCGCATCTGCAAGCGGAGGGTTAAGGTTTCACTTATTTTGGAATGTAGTTCGAGCATAGCCACTTATATGAACCGGTTGATTATATTGAGGATGGGGTAATGACCCGGTGTGGAAGCCCGATTGCGACTCAGACTGGACCGGTGTATGTTCCGCCGGTGGACGTGTTCGCGTCTGATCACTGCGGAGCATCAGATTGATTCAGACTAAGGACTTCGAATAGCTACACTTGGAAGGACTTTGAATAGCTACACTTGGTTGCTTTAATCATGCAGGGCTGGGATACAGTGGCATACTTTGGCTCTTAACTTAGTCCAGATCGATGTTTCTTGCGGTCTCGGGACAACTTCAGGATTCAGTAACATAAGGTCAAACATTTGAACCCGCTTCTATACTATGTGGGCGATATCCCTGCATTAAACTACATGGAACGTCAAAGACGCAGAACTGCACAAAGGATTTTAAGCGATTGAAGGTTGACGGGCAGCCACAAGATACCCCGCCAATTTCTTCAGGCAAGCTGGCAGATCTGTAACGTACTAGTTTTTACAAAGAGCGCTTATGAGCACTTCAAGAATAGGTCCCTCGCAGAATCCCAACTGTCATCTGGAGAGAACTATGAAGACGTATGTCGCTGACGGTTGGTGTACTTCTTTCCTGCATACCTCAATGTCGCCACCTCAGTCACGGCCTCCCGGTCACTCCTCCCGCCCATCGGCGGTACGATTGTGACGTCGTCCAGGCACACGGGGCATTGCACCGCGCTTCCAGGAGTGCCAAAACAGAAGTCGGTTTTCGCCCCGGTTTCCACCTGACTGCTCCCCGGTTCAACGTCCCCTCCGATGGCCTCTTCCGAACACTTGGGAAAGTCTTCGGGGGCGGCCGTTTGAGGGGCCCGGATGCGCAGAACTGCCTCTGCGAAATGCATTTTTGAAGGTTGGTGAAGGTGCTTTTTAAAAATGAGGCCGGGGGCATTACGCCGAGCTTGCAAAGCATTTGCAATTGGTTTCACTGTTTGTAATCTCGTCTTCTCGCGGACACAAATCGAGACTGTGAGGGATGACCGGGAAAGGTTGACCGGCAGGGAGCGTTTGTCGAAAGCATCTGCTTTCTTACAAAAGTTTGAGCATTGCAGTCAATGGCCTCCCAGGTCAAGCGTGGCAAGTCGGAAGCATGAATCGAAGCGAGAGAATTTATCGTGTCCTCTCCAGATGAGGCTGATGTGACTAGCTTGACACGTTTGATTATTGCCCGACTTTCATGACAGGTCGACTCCTTGCGATCACCTTACGGGTTTGCCGAGCAAGTGGTCACATTGGGGTGACAACGCCCATCAAAAGTGCTCATTTGCCTATCTTTCTGTCAAAATATTTTCAGTTCCTGACCTGCTTGCTTGATTTATGGGACGTCGACAAGAACAGAGCTTGAAGTTCAGAAGCCCACTTAAGACCGTTTGAGCGACGGCAAAAAGAACTTCGCTTTTAAGCCGTCGCTGCTGGACTTTCAGTCGCTTTAAGAACCCCTCTTCAGAATCTACAGCGATCTGTACTGCTTGCACCATAATGCTGTGAGAACACACCGTCTTCCTTCTCGCACCTCGTGAGATACGCAACGTGAAATATTGCAATACAATAATGACATCGAGCACTGTCACAGTCTTGCAAACCTCAGGAAAGCAGTTCAAGACGGTTCCTTCAAGCTGTTCTGTTTCTCAAAGGAAACAGCTCACTTTTCATACTTAGCATATAAGATGATAAAACCAGACTTCTCACCTTCCCATTGAATTCCTTGAGACAGCTCCGCCTCTGAGCTCTCCCCCTCTTCTTCCCCCGAGAGCGTTGCCACTCCTCCTGACCGTCGGAAATGCCCATCGGACGGTCCAAAAGCCTTGCCCCTGGCCAGTTGAGCGGACGCCATGTCAGTCAGCCGGTTCACGAACAGCTCACACAGGTCAATGGCCTCCCGGGCGATCCGGTGTGCGTTCGCCAGTCTGCTCTCCTGCTCTGCCAGCGTTGACACCAGCTCCTCGTCCCGGGCACTTTCCAAGTCGCTCATACTTGCGCTGAAAAAGCAAAGCCTTTTTGTTGAGAAAGCAAAGCCCTTTGCTTGCAGCACCTTGACATGAGCTTCTGCCGACACTGTGGCTATGGAGCGTGTTCCAGAGAAAGGTAAGCCCTTGAGAGAAGAAGAGGGCTCCAAAAAACGGGTCTGCTTCCCGTGGGGGTGGTTGCTGGAGAACGACTCTTGTTTGACGCTAAAGAAAAGACTTTGCGGGAACGGTTCTGCGAGGACCTTAGGCTTCACCTCATCCGGCTCTGCGTCTGGCCCGCATGCACCTTCCCTTCTCTAGTCTTTTCTGCTTTCTCAGGAAAACTGTCGTCAGATTGTAGTAACTCAGGCAGCCTCGAACTATTCAACAAAAAGTGAGACTTCCCACCATGTAGAGAAGACACAGGTGTAAAGAACATCACGAGTTACTCGTGGCAAGACATGCGTCCTGACTGCCCCTTCCGCTTCATATATGCTTGTGACGTTCTCTGAATGTCCTTTCTTCCGTTGCGTCGTGATGACAACAGAGTGGTGCAGTGCAGGTCTTTTCGATCCCGACAAAAGACGACGTAACCAAAAGCAAGCTTGGCTCAAGACAATCTGATCTATCTTTACACCAGCTACCGACTCGACGAAGAAAATTTGCCCACTGTCCGAGCTGAGTGTTTCAACCTCGACTCTGCCTTGTCTACTCTTTTGATGCTTTGACAAGACGATCATCAGTGTTGCCCAGATGCACCTATCCAGCCTGGGTCGTGATGATGCATTCTGACGCTCCTTTGTCAGCGCTCGGGCATTCTTCACAGTGCGTGCTGTCATAAAGATTCGGGATACTGTTTCAGAATCCCTATACCGTACCAGTTTAAGGTTTTGAGCTTCGGAATGCGTACCTACCTGTCTTGAAATAGGTAGTGTACTCGTTTAGAAATGTCTCGGGTGCATGTAGCTCCCGTTAGTCACATCATGAAGAAACGCAGACCAACCTAGTCGACTGAAAGCCTAGACAGGCACACGTGCCAGCTCATGATGTGACGTGAGCGTCTCACATGTCTGTCGTTCTGACGCCCTTCTGAATCGGACGATAATCAAGGAGCCTCGTCATGATGTGACCATCTACCCCAACTTCAGTGCACTAGCTGACGCATCATGCAACATACGTGTCAGAAACATACCGGTATGTTGGTCGTACCATCAGAAGGTCCAGGAAAGATGCAAGCGATCGGCTCCGCTCGTTTGCAAGCACAGAGCACTAAGAAAGAGCTTTTTGAAGCCTGAAATCCAGGAAAGTCTGCGAAGATTTGTCCCCGGTTATAAGAACACTCCGTTCCGAGCTTGAATTGCAAGGGTTCGAAACGGATGGATGCAGCTGAGTGCTGCAGACAACGCCGGATGGCAAAAGTCCTCCAGCATCAGCGATCAAAACGCCTTCTTTGCGAATCGAACCAAGTGGCCTGTCATTCCGGGAAACTCCCTGCTTAATCGTTGGATCCGACAAGGAACGTCCGTACAGAATCTAGTGATAGTTGGAAAAGCACAGGCCAGACCGGACTCCAAATATTGAAGCTGAATCCTCATTCAGCACACGTGATTATTGTAGGGGCGAGAATGAGAATCAAGCTCACGGATTTGACTGGGTGTCATAAAGGCTTCTCGCATGTGTTAGCGCACTTGGATAGCTGGAAAATGCAACCGTTCAAATACCAGGACCATTTCAAAATGCTTCAAGCGGGCCGTAATCCGCTGCTGATCGGTTCTCCTTCGTCAATGGATGTTGAGTGCTCGTCAAGCCCTTAATAAATGGCTGAATATCAGCTATCTTACTCACAACTGTGGGACATGCTTTGGAACATCCTGCCTAGCTCAACGACCTAGTCAAGCGGTATCAGTATTCATTGCGTAATGCTGACGGCATCGTCTCGCAAGTGAAACCTCGGAACTGACAAACTCATCGCGTTTGAGCTGCCACGTGTCTTCACATTCACACAGTGTCCAAGTTGATTGACTGATTTCGTCCTCCGTCATATCTACATACGCTCAGCTATGTACAAGTAAGCTTGCCCCGGTCGGAGGCAGTTTAGAGGGTCGACAGCACTCACTTCAAAGTATCGACTACAAAACGTAAGCAAGCGTCTTCGCTAAGAGCCATCTTCTAGCGATTTCCCGCTCATATCGTGCTCGGCAGAAGGCTGCCCATGATTGGAGAACAGCTGTGGAGCGCCGTTTGAACCGGGATCTGGTCGCTCTTCCGGTTGAGCGCAGCCACAACTCGCCTGCAGACAGAACGGAAATGGCGTCTCGAACCAGCTTGAGACGTTCACCGCTTGGCAGAAGAGATGTGAGTAAAGCCCACACGCCCTCAAAGCAGTCCGTCAACATTCGGCCGGACTCTGCGCTCAGTGATCGATTTACAGTTTGCTTTATGAACATGGCAGATAGAGTGGAAAAGGACGCTAAAATATCCAGAATCGTGGGTTGTGAAAAGACTTACAGAGGGAGCGAGTATGACCAGAACAAAAACTATACCAAAGCCTACGAGAAATGCTATAGAGCTCCGACGACAAGCGGTGCCAAAAGAACTCGGCACAGATCGTAACTTCAGTAACTAGACAGCGCGTTTTAAATAGGCTCTCACCGGCTGAGCCCCGGGTCTCCTGGGTCGTTCTTGACGGCGTACAGCTCCCGGATGCCCATGCTGCGCGCGCGCGTGTTGGCCTGCCGCTCGCTCCGCCGCTTCACCAGGTTGAAGTGGTCCGTGCGGAAGATGCGGCTCTGGCGGAAGAAAGATGGGCCATCAGATCTCGTCGAAGAGCAACAGTTCAACGGCTAGAAGTGATTGATCGCTGAAAGTCATCGGTCCAGAAGATGCGGCCTTGGCACGAGAACTTGGGCCGTCGGTTCTTGTTAGAGAGGACAAAGTGAACGGCTATGATCAGCCAGCTTCCACTATTCTGAGCGAATGCAAGGATCCAGGATGCAGGAACATATTGAAAATCCGATGCTGCGCTTACGTTGCGCAGCAACGGACGCTTGATTGCGTTGACTGTTGTGGAGTTGATAGCGCACATCAGGTTTGCACGATCCCAATTTTGCGACTTTTGAGACGATGATTGTTCGTCACAATCCCAAGGAGAATGCCTGTGAGTGCGATGCAACTTGCGGACCTCATGTTCACATGTTTCAGATCCTTACCAGCTCCGCTTCCACGTCGCCCACTTTCCGCTGCCCGGCGAACGCTTCTTTCATGACTTGGCCCGTCGCCTCGTACAGCGACTGCATCGAAAAGGAAGAGGGGATTGAGCAGGGCTCTCCACCGGTCTTCGTCGCAGTCTGCTCCAAGAAAACTTTTTCACAAGCAGACCCGAGATCCGGCTTCTTGTTGAAGCTTGAAGTACGTTGTTCAGCTTTTGCGGTCGATCGAACCTCGGTCAGAGCGTCTGACAAACTCGTCCTCGTCCTCAGACACGCCGTCCTATCTCCTGCTTCGTGAAAATCTAGAGCTGACTGGCACAATCCTCGAGGCCCTTGTCAGTTTGTCACTTGCTTCTGCAGAGTGCCCAATACGTGACCGCAAATCAGCGGAAAGTCGGCACTTAGCAAGAATTGACACTTTTCCTACTGACGGTTACTCGACAAGTCAGGAGGGGGACGGAGACAAGTGCCCACCTCAAAGAAGGCTTTGTCCTGCTGCGCGTGCTTGTAGTCACTCTGGAAAAACCAAAGCGGACGGGCGTCAGCAAGGCGCGAAGCGAGTTGCCCCTTATTGCTTCTGTCCGTCCCAAAATTTTGAAGAAACCTAGATTTGCTGTCAGCGAAGCTTCTGATACATATAGCATGCAGGAGTCGTTTCGGCGTTGTCCCGGCAATACCCAAAGATTGATCAGACGTAATTTGTGGCGCTGTCCTGTGATTCAATAGGAATGTATCACAGCAGTGTTATCGAGCCTCTCAAAGCGCCCCTCTTGCGGGGGAAGCTGAACCCACTCGATCGAGAAAGACGCTTAATCGAAATGTGACGGAGAGGAAGAGAATCGTCAAGCAGCAACAGACCGACAGACCAACAGCCACGGAAAAAAATCTTCGAGCACGGACCTTACCTGCGTTAGCAAGATCGACGAGTAGACGGGCCCCAAGGCCCTCAGGTTCTCGGCAATATCTTGCACCGCTGCGTTCAGCATCTCCCGATCGGACTCATCCGTGCATCTGACAGACGAACTTGCCAGATCAGTCTAGCTTCTCTTTCTGATGAGGATTATTCCGCAACACAGGGGAAATTTGACGGCACTCAATTCACTGATTTCAAATCTTAAAAAAACAAAGCTCCCGCTGTCTGTTTGATGCTGTTTCTTGTTGAGCTGGCTACAAACGAGAAAGGTTGCAATCTTCGAAGTGGTGCCGCCACCAGTTCAGCTGGAACAACAATATTGGCTACAGTCAATGTCGACGCGTTACTTAAAAGCTCGTCACAACTTCGACCGGCCTTCAGATTCCACTTATCATCTGGAAAAAGCCGAAGTCGAATCCGGCCAGGCAATCCTCAATCAGCCAAAGATGAAACGAAATACATATCGAGGATGACTATTGTGGTTTTACTCGGTGAGATCTAGGGCTTGCAATCTAGCTGAGTTGCACAGCAGTGGAAAGATGCTGTTGTTTTCGATGAGTCTCGAACTCAACCGTGCACTGCAGAAGCGCTCTTCTCATTCTTTTGAGAATGCTATCTTACCCCGCCTTTGCAATGCGCTGTTCGATTGCGTCCTTCTGGAAGATGGCCACGAAGTAGAGGATGCACGTTTGCAGCAACCGGTCCATCTCCTCGGACTGGAATAAAGGAGACGTCCTGTCCAATTTGCGCTTCGTATTTTTGTTGTCCTAAATGCTGGTGTAGCTGGGTATGAGATACTGGGGCACTTGCCTTACAGCATCTTTGTTTGATAACGGGACTAGACAGGCTCGGGCAAACAATACGTAGGTAATCTTTGATGATCAAGCTCAACCTGACGTTGAAACTTCCGAGTAGAGTGCTATGATTGAGGGTTATGGTGCGAAGCTGAGGTAGCTCAAAGTCTGGTACAGACTCTCCCTGTGCTCGAAGTCCACCGCTTGAAAACAAAGCAAGCTTCCTCATCCCCAGAAACCCCATAAGCCTTGAAGGGAATGACAGTGCAAGACGAAGGTACTCTTTAGACCACAGACGATTCGGATGGAAAGTCTACGAACCGGAAAAGAAAAAGAGACAGGCAAGGACTCACCCTGAAAAAGTGTTTGAACTTGGTGCTGGCAGTCTCCTCAAAATTCTTGTACACTCGAGCTGCAAATGAAATAAAAACTCTCGTCCAGTCACTCAAGCTCATATGATTGTTGATAGGCACGCCAACTGATGTTACAGCGTAGTGAAGTATCCTTCCCATCCGTCCAGGATCATTCAATCACAGAGCCTTTCTACCTCGCATGTCGTCAGAAATCTTCCTGTATCTGGAGGGCTGGCTTCCATGCAAAGACATAGTGATGCGACCTTGGATGCCTTCAGCTCTTAATATCTTCGCACAACATGAAGATCACATGTTGCTTTACCTTTCGTTGCCACTAAATCGAAAGAGGTCTCTCCCACCACGGTTGTGTCCATTGTGCGGCCACCCGTTCTGCAAAGCACGACCGAGCCCTTGATCTTAGTTTCCCAGCTCGTTCTCAGCCTCTGAAGTCATTCCTAGCTCAAGCTCAGCTGAAAAAAATGTGCTCCTGCTAAGTTTGCATTCAGCACGGCAAGAACGAAGCAGGTGCATCAATTGCATGCGTGGCAGCATATGAGACGAACAGGATCAATCGGACGTCTGCTCCTCAGGAAAGACCACATTAGGTCTTCAACTCTTGAGCTTAATTTGGCCACGAAAGTATTTTTATAACGTAAAATTTTGAGCTGCAGCATTGTTGGGAAACGTCTAAACACATATTTGAGGGAGGATCTTCATTTCGCTAGATTCATTGCGTTACTTGCCTGCCATTCATCGACCGCAAATCGGAGGCTCCCAAGAGCGGCTGCCCCTGTGTTGCTTCTGTTCGAGCATCTTGTTGTAGCCTGCTACCTACAACAGCCTTCATTCTTCACAGACTCTGCGCAGTCTTCTCCATCCAGCCAATCAAGTACAATATGGTGTCATTGGTGTGAAGAGTGCACAATTCTTCTTCAGTGCAATCTGTTACTCGGGTTGTGCGCGAATCGAAAATGTGATCATCGTGCTCAAGCTTCGACAGCATTGCTGGACGCTAAACTAATGTCCACTGCTTTTCGATGTTCGTCTTTCCTGCATGCAGCCACGGGCCAGCGCCTCCAATCACGGGGGATCTCGGAAGACCAATGCTCGCAATTGTCAACATGAGAATATCCATGAGAGAAAGGTTAAAAGAGCAAATTGGAAGAGGGAGATCGGTTCTGCTGTTGCTTGCGAGGAAGATCTATCATCTGCCCCTCTCTCTCTGATTCGTGAAGTCAACGCCCGCCTATTTTGCCTTTTTGCATGGAAGGACGATGCAGCCCGTCTGATAAGGAAGGCGTACCGAATCGACGGCCAGCATGAAGTCGTAACTCGTTCCAAAAGCTGTCTGCAGACCGTTCGATTGCCGGTCAGCTCGATCGCAGCCGTAAATACGGAGCGCCAATGTAGTGGACATCTGAGAAGAATGCAGGCGGCACAGCTTCAACGCGTGCATCTCTTTGACGACCTCCATTCTGCCAGAACGACTGGAGAATCTGCTGAAGCGTCTCTCATCGATCCTCCTTTTATTCGTCTCAATCTTCTTCTGCCATCAGTTGCAAAGAATTGGATTGGATATATAATTGGTAGCTTACAAAGGCAGGCGGCTTCGCGCTAACCAGGGACATTGTACATATAATTGTGCTAATGCCCGAGTAAGGGGACAACGGAGACTCTTCGACCATCTTGGCCAATTCTTCAGAGCTGTTTCCAACAGAAGCCCACTCGTATCGCCCTGCGGACGATCATGGCTGCAACGTCAGTTGTCTGCAACCCATGTGGCTCCGCTCTTATGGGGCCTTCGACAAGCTACATGAATTGCGCACAGGCGCCAATGCAAAGGTAATTATGTTTTTGTTAAGTTAACTTGATCAGTCATTCATAGTGTCCTGTCTGCAATTGTGCATTCTATCCTTGGTGCTTTGGGTAGATTCTACAACCACCAAACGATCGCAGTCAAGCAGCATCCAAGTGGTTCCTTGATTGTCAAAGAAAGTGGATTCTCCAATAGATTGCTGTCGCTCTGGGATCAGCTCTCGTAGCTTGAAGGTAAGTCCCTGCTGTTCTGGGGTTCAGAATTGGTAATGGTGCAAGTAATCTGTAGGTTCCTGTTGCGCACATTGGGCTTGAGTGAACGTAGTTGAACAGGTTGGAGCTAACTGGCGCCCTTTTGGTCAATCTGAGCGATCAACTTTTCAGCAGAGATGCTTGGTTTACTTTCGACGGCTCTGTCAGCATAACCTGAGTAAGCAAGGGGGGCCAAAGTTTTGCATTTTGGCAGCCTGACACTTGCTCGGTGAGAGACAATTTGAGAAACATTTTTCTTTTTTGGAAGGTGTTCTACCCTGCATTTCATTAGGAGGACTGTCACTCTGCCACATCAACTCGTCTCGGAGTCTTCAGTCCTTGGACTCTGCCAACGATGGATTGTACTCTCGTGTGGTGTTCCAAACAATGGATGAAGAACTATCTGTAGAAATTGCCTTTCGGCTTGCCAAAACCGAAGAGTTCCTTGTCTCTCTCTTGTTTCTCCTCACCTCGACTTGTCATCTGCAATGGCAGCCTGAAAGAGGTGGAGGCACAGCAGCAGATGGGTGCCATGGGTTAAGAAAATTTCTCTACACTTCGGTTGCTGAAACAGGACTGTGTATGCATCGACTGGCGTCAGTGTCTAGCAAACGAGCGTCCCCAGTGTGGCCCCCCTAAACTTCCTTTTAGCGGACCCTGCCACTTAGGCCCATTCAAAGTACTCTGGCACGTTGTGGCACCAGTCGGGTAATCGCGATGCTTGAGTGGCGCTGGACAGATTTTCAGGGCACACACAGCGACACTCGATGGATGTTGTGGTGCAATTGTCTTTGAAGAGCAGTCAGAAATTGCTGAAATTGATGCATGCTGCCACCACCTTTTGACTGACTTTCAAACAACCAGAAGAAGAAGCTAGGTCTTCTAATCACGACTGCAGGTCAGCAGAGGCCGGAGGTAATTTGAAAGATCCACTGCAGACAGCCGTGTAAAACGGCGGGATGACCTGTCAGAGTGCGACGCGACATCGTTTCTCAGCACTGCCTTCGGCTGAATCTATCAGCTCCTCAGAACGACGTTCCTCTATGCCGCAGGGCTTAAACAGTTTTCAAGCAAGCGGTCAGAACACTCTGCAAATGGATCCTTCCCATTCTTCGCACCGTATGCTTCCCCAAACTTGCAGGTTGGTGTCAACATGGCATGCTTCCGTCCGGTCACAGAAAGTGCGCCCCACAAATGTACAAGCAAAACACAGCTGTGACCAGGAGATATTTCTCACCTTTCTGCAAGCCGGATATTTACGATCTTTCTTAACCAAGCGCCTAACCTGATACTTTTCAACTCTGACCGTAGTGTTCTCCTTCCCTATCCGATTTTGCAGCGGTTTCCTGGGCCAGCGGGTTGCTGCCGTCTCAGGCTCTGGGACTACTCGACGAACGTCGCCGGGGGGGCTGTCGGTGCGGGCGCTGAACAAGAAGGAGTTCATTGACAAGGTGGCGGGCATAACCAAGTTCAACAAATACGACACAAAGACCGTGGTAGACACCGTCTTTGATGCAATCATTGAAACGGTGGCGGAGGGGGACAAAGTGCAAATTCCTGGTGAGTGCTTCTTTTTGAAGCGCGACAGGTGTCGCACTGAGACCAAGAATGGTTTCAGTGCTCTATGTCCATGGGAGACCAGATTTCTTTGTACTAAGGGTGCGTCCGTTTTGCCATGAGAGTGTCTTGACAATATCCGATGAGTGCGACTCTTTCCTTCCCAGTCTCTGACGTTGGTGGTAATGCATGGTGTTCTTCTCTCACTTAAGTGAACTCAGAACAGCGGGACAAGAGAACAGTGGAGGAAAAGAAGAGGCTCTGTCGTCTGAGAGCTGGTTTGTGAGCGGCTTGTGTGTCTTGCTCCTCTGCTTAACGTAGTGTGATGCGTATTGTAATGGCGCAGGGAAGAGAAGAAGGGAAAAGAGATAGATTCAAAATTTCATATGTCTAAATCATTGCAAGTGGCTTCTGGTCATTCTTCGGTTTGGACAGCCCCTTATTTAGGCTGTCAAGTCTGCTGGCGAATTGATCTCTTTTCTGGCTCCTTGGAAAGAACTCCCGTGTCTACCACCCTCTGAGAGTCCTCAGGTACCTTTACGAAAGTGGGTCGAACCTGGCGCTGCTGAACCAAACCGCTTAGCTCCCCTCGTACTTTGGCAGGTTTCGGCGTTTTCGAGCCCCGGATCAGGAAAGAACGCAAGGGGAGGAATCCACGGACTGGGGAAGCATTGATAATTCCAGAGGCCAGAATTCCTCATTTCACGGTCGGCCAATACTTCAAAAATGAGGTGAATGGCATCACTATACCAAAACACCTTAGAGAGGGACCATCAGACGGTGCGGCAGAGTAGCCTGATATCGCGGAACCCTTTCTGTGAGTCAAAGTTTGGTAACAATCACAAACGGGACTTCAGCATTGTAAAAGCGGACGGCCCAAGGGCAGAATCTCAAAGGCAAGGTTGTATACGTCTTGGAAGCAGCTTCCCTGGGCGTGTTTTTTTCGACGTGCCTAGACATACTGACGCTCCAGCCTGTGGCCGTACTTGAGCACCAATTGATTGAGAGCATGATATAGACGTAAATGCAAGCTTTAGGGCGCTGCACTGCTTGGAAGTGCAGCGGTTCATATGCGGAGCTTGCTGAAAACAGACAGTCCTATCTGTGCAGAAGCGTTATCATTTTGCTGATTGATTGATCAGCCAGCGTTCAATCATTTCAGCAACACTTGCAGCAATAATTATGCATACGCCTCCACCTCGACCGTCGCATGCGCTAACCAGCAAGGTTAAATAAGCTGGGAAGAGTGCAGCATGCCAATGTCCGAGCCGCCCCTGATTGAGAACTTGCACGGCTGTCAGTGTGGACACGCGTGAGCCCGACCAGTTGTTGGACACATTCAAGCTGAACAAAAAGACCGTCTTTTGTTGGACTAACTTGAAGTCGCACCATACTGGCATCTATGTGCATGTGAAGCTGGCCGCTTCACATTCATAGAACACATATGCAAACTTAGCGTTTGAGGCTGAACGTACTGCGGCAATGTGTGCACTATGAAACCTGCCAAATGATCGCGACATAAGTTCCGGCTGCGGGCCCGCAAACGCATGCAGACTCCATGCAATCACACGTTGACCAGTGACCCACATGACGGTTACAAGGATGGTGTCCGCAGCTCTAGATCGATATAAAAACTCGTCCAACACCCGATGATCTCACTGAGTGCATCCAATGCATCTGACAATGAGGTAGCGAGCCAACTTCAGTGCATGCCCTGTGATAGTTGGGGTGACGCAAGCAAGTTCCGGCCGAACCACACGAGCAGCTCCAGCACCGAGTCTGTGAGCTGCACGAATCCAAAGCACAGATTTCCGCAAAGTCAAACTTCCGCAATAACAATAGAGTATGCTATGAAAGAAGCGTTCCCAAGTTCATCTTCGGGTTCCGAGAGCGGAGGCTACCGCCGCCTCCGATCGGCGTCTCGAGCACTAGCATCGTCCCGGTTGCTGAAGCCAGGAATCGGAGGGGTCCACGTTGGTATTCGCCGAGGTGGAAAGGGGGTCAGGTCCTCTTTCGAGGCTTCGTCGCGGAGAAACCCCTCAGGCAGTGCAGCTATAGCGGCCCATTTGAGCTGTATCCGTTGCTGCAGTCCTAACTGCTTCTGTCGCAGTTCGTGCAACTGAAAAGCAAGATGAAGAGGTCTGTCAGTGCAGGGGCTCAGCAACGGAACGGAACACAAAAGTTGATGCATCACTCCTGTAGAAATATGGTTATGTCCTCAAGCGAAATCTAATTGGGTCTGGTGAGACCCTAGCAGAAGCACTTGATCGTGCCCCATTGAGCAAAACCCAGGACCAAATAGGTTCTAAGAAGATGGTGCCCAACGATCAGGTGCCTTTTTTATCTTCCTGCATGACAGAGCGCAGCCAGGAGGAAGCTTGCCATAGCGATTAAGACAAGTTAGCATACCACAAAAGAGGTGGTTCAATGTATGTCCCTGATGCTGCAGAAGGATTAACTTTCCTATTGTAGCACTTCTCAAGATACTCTTGAGCCAAGTTGCCAGTTGCCCTGCTCATCCTGGCGCCCTGGCATCCATCAATCAAAAGATTCAAAAGACATAGCCTGATCCAGAATGCCACGTCTGTATTCAATTCTTTGTTTGTACCCCAGGACCCTGGCCTCCCAGGAGACCAATTCAGCAGAGATTGATAAAAAGCCAAACTTCGAGAAAGAATTACAAGCTTGCAAAAGCTGAATAAAGCGACAGACAGAGAGTCACCCGGTAATGGCCTCGCACCAGAAAAGCATCGTTGACAAAGAGATCTGGCAAGCAAGCTCTGATTCTACTTCATGTACTTTCAGCAGTCCACTCAAATGCACACCACTGCCGCCATCAGCATTGGAAGTTTGCCCGCAGATAGGCTAGAATATACTGCTCTAGACCCCGCAAAGACAGCACAGCACTCGAACGTCAACCCGAATTTGACTCTCTGAAGGTAATTGAAGGTGATTGTACCTAATGAAGGTTGCCTTTGGATTGCGGAACTACCTGGAAACACCCTAAAGGGATAGCACGATACAGAACCAAACACCCACCACATTCTGACGACGACCACCTTCCGACCAGATTGGATACAACTGCTCCGCAAATGTAGCATTCTTGTGCAGAATGTCTACCTCTTGTCATTCTGAAGTAAGACCATTCCAGCAGCAACTCACCATTTTTCGGCTGTACTCCTTGGCAGCCGCTTCGCTCGCCTTCAGCTCCTCGGGGCTCTGCTGCGGCTTCTTCAGGTCTTGCCTTGCCAGGCTGGCCTTCAACAGCGGCGACATGGACGTCGGCACGTCTGGCGGATCGGCCTTTGCTTTCAGGGCCGCCTGCGCCTCCTGTGCTGTCCTCTTCTTCATAGGCTTCCCACCCTTCTGCGGAGTCTTGGACTTGGCCGCACCTTTTGCAAAGTTTGCATGAAACTGCAATCGGTACCCGGGCTCCAACTGTTTGATTAATCTGCTGAGGCGTAAGCAGTGTCTGTAGGCGTCCATGCTCGCTCGACTGATGGTGCACCTGCTTATCAAGGTGTCAGCTGATCACACAGCCTCACAGGCGAGAGGCAGCACCAAAATGAAGGAGGAAGCGCTTGTTCCACGCCTTGAACTTCTGTGCGGATCTCCTTTTCTCCAACTTCCAACTTCTCGAGTTGATTCTGCAACTTGCAATCTTGCACGGCTGCTCCTTCAAGCTCGAAGTGGCGACCAAACAGCAGGGAACATGCATTCCATGGTCGCTTCCTGCCCACTCACCTGCTTTCAGGATGGGGGCGACCGCCATTGCGGTACCGCTGCCTTGCAAACGCCCGAAAATGCAGACGCTTACTAAGGGTGTCGTTCCCTTCCACTAGCGGCCGGCGGAACATTTTAAATTCTGTGATTGGCTGAATATTGCTCTACCGTCGGTCAACTACCGGACTTCCGGGCAAATAAATGCCACGTCGGCGGCACAAACTTTTATTAAAACTCGACCCGACAATTTGATGGGTCGAGTTTTAAATAAAAGTTGTGCCGGGACGTGGCACCGAGTCTGCGAATCGCATGCCGCCACGTTGGATTCTGCATTCAATGCTCTATTTTTTGGCGCAAACTCTGCCGGTCAGCTGTTCCACTAGCGGCCGGAAATTGCAAATATATCAGAATTCCGGGCAAATTCCGGCTGCTTTAGAACCACATACTTTATTGATTTTTGCACCTGTGCCAATCAATCAATCAATCAATTTATTTTATAGTCCCGTAGGAGCCATGGGTGGCTCATGCCGGCCGCTAGTGGAACGACACCCTTAGCACGAGAAGGGCACCGGCCGGCATCCCGACAATTTCAAGAGCCGCATTCTATGCAGAAGGAGCAGTATAATATGTGTCATTAAATTGCAGAGAAGAATTGAGATTAGAGCTCAAGCTGCATGAATTGCATTTCTTTGACGTCTCTGGAGAGCAGCTAGTCGATTTAGTACCGAAGACGCGCGGAAAGATGAGGTAGGCACCACTGCAACTGTGCAGCCTGCCCTGGCTGCCCCCATGCATGATGTAGGAGCTGGGGCTCATGAGCTTTAATTTGTCAGAACGTGTGCCAGCGCGGGTCATCCATTGAGCAGATCGAGCATAGCATGCAATGCAAGCCATGAGGGCGCGTGCTTGATCATGGGTCCAAAGGTACACATACTCCTTACTCCTAGAGGGTCTGTTATCCGACGGTGGCGATTGCTGAGCCTGCAGAGTTGATTTGTGTCAGTGTGGTGATTAATGCAATGCACGGTGTAAGCGCAAGTGCCTGCATGACAGAGATTGCCACGCACTTGAACATGTATACATACATGCACCAATGGCTGCACACAACGCTCGCCCGGAGTCGCACTTGTTGCAATGTATTCCATGGTAATACTGGGGCACGCGGGTGTACATTGGACGGTAGATGTGCATCGAGATCATCGGATCCTCACTTCCCTACAATTTCTAGATTAAGGGCGACCTTCTCTTAAATTACCTAGCGCACTTATCCCGGCCAAAGGCACACACATGCAAGACCAGAAAAGCAAGTCAACTTGCCACTTTTCCCCATAAGACGAAAGAAGAAGTTTCTCATCGCTGTACAACTAAGTCAATGACTCCTCTGAACAACAGACTGCCCTTCTAACGACGCTCATCTCCACCACGATTGTTTGGTGCTTTCTCCTTTCACTTTCCGATAGCTCTGCCAGAACGGGAGCGTCTCCGCTGAGCTGCTCCCGTTAGGGCCCCCGCAATATCCGCGGACCACAAACTCCTCACTCCGAGACTTGCCCTCAAACTTGGACAGCCAGTGCACGTAGGCTGCCCCGTAAAACACAGACACAAAAGGCCTGCTTAGATCCGCTAACGAAGCCCCCGGGTACACCGCATACCGGGGGTTGCAGCTCGCCAACCACAGCACGGTTTCCAGCTCGGTTTCCATTAACCCGGTGCCCTGCCGCCCGTACAACAGCCGCTTGCTGCTTACCTCCGCAAGAGCCGCCAGAACCGACGGGTCGATTTCACCCCGGAAGTGTCGCTGGACCGTGATCTCCGCAACGGCCGTCACCTCACGCGCCGTCAGGAACGGACGTTTCTGCGCGTCTCTTGAGAACCGGACCCGTCGTCCAGGCTTCTCCCCCGCAGCCGTCCACTCGGTTCTAATATCCTCCCGGGCCCACATCGCGGCCAATTCCGACTCCGTTACGACGTCGTCCCAGTACACCCACTCCGTCGACAAGGCCTCCGGAACCACCTCTACTGTCGCTGTATCGATCACGGGCCCCGTCTCTTCCTCCACTATCACCGTCATCGGCCCAGGCAAACCAACTTCCACAAAGTCGGCTCGCACTTCGACCGTCTCCCGACGAACTTCTTCCCTCCGGGGGGGTGGCCACCCGTTCGCAATCGCCCCCCCAAGCGCGCCCGCGATCGCCCCGGTCGCCGCCCACATCCCGACGGCGGGTCCGGCGATAATCGACGTGGCAACGGCGGCTCCGACCGTTGCTGCCACAGCGACTTGGACCACTCCGGGGCCCTGTTGAGTGGGAGGCGGTGCTTGGACTGCTGGAGGGATGGAGTAGCCCGGCTGAGACGGGGCCTGGACAGGGCCCGGGGCGCTAGGGGGAGGGGCGTAGAGGGGCGCCGGGGTTTGCACGATGAGTTGGGGAGCTTCGATTCTGGAGAAGAACAAAGGCTGGATCAGAAAAGTTTTGGGTCTAGGAATACCAGGTCTGCTTTGGCGAGGATGCGGTCAGGCAAGAGGCTAAATCTTGTAAGACGATCGAGCCGACGACGGACATGGGCTTGGTCGTTCGGCGCACTTTGCAGATAGGAGTTTTCGGACTTCTACGAGAGTGTGCAAAAGAGAAGACCAGAGGCGGTGAGGGAGGTTCAGAAGAGATGGCAGATCGTCCTGGAGGTAATGAGCACAAATCAGTCAAGGGCCACTGAATGCGAGGCCTACAAGAAGGGCTAAAGAGCCACTGCAGAAGCTACGAAATTCTTCGCTACGAAGGAGGGGGCAACAGCACCTGCTTGGTTGCAGCAAAACCATATCAAATTTTATTTCGCTGGCTCGACTGTTTGCCAAGTTAGAAACACCTGCATGCGTTGCGAGCTTGCCACCAACTTCGCACACAGAGTACGGGATGGTCATGCAAGCTAAGCAGAATAGCAATCCAACAACTCGATTGCAATTACATAAACAGGAGGGAAACAAAAGAGTGTGCAACTGACTGTGCCGAATGCTTGTAGTGTCCGTTGGAAAGGATGAGGCCTCATGGAAGTGTAAGAGCGTCAAAACCCCAAACCCCTACCTCAGCACAGAAGCCACCTTCGCTTTCGCGACTAGGTACTTGCTCCAGTAGCGCACCGTCTTCTCCAGATTTACCCCGTTCGGGCCACCATTGTAGCCGCGCACAATGAACTCTTCCGAGCGCGGCACGCCCTTGTAAGTCGACAGCCAGTTCAAATAGGCTGCGGGAGAAGTTGTAGAAGAAGTAAGAAGGAAGTGCGAGGCACACGATCGATGGAAGGCCGATTGACGATTCGTTGGAAGGTCGTTGTCAAGCATCTGTATTTAAACATTTTGAAGAAGATATGTGATCTCTTTTCTCGACGTTTTGGATCGAAGACCTCACATAAGACCGTCAACCGGCCTCTTGTTTGTCTTGACAGGGTAAGGCGCAAAGCTCCCCGGAAAGCCGAAGAGACAAGTGGAAGAGGCTGTGGGACAAAATAAAAGCATGTGAAAGGAAGAAAACACTGATGAAGGAGAACGTCCAAAATGGGGACGCGTTGAAGGTCGAGACGCTACGTAAGGTAGGCTGTAGAACAAAGAAACAATCGAAGGGATAGTAATTACTACTCAATACGCTCCAACGAATGAAGCTTTGGACCTGGCTGTTCTAGTCTCCGCAAAAGCACCCTCGAAGGGTCTGCAGCGACGATGAATTAGAGAACCCAATGTCAAGGACCCGCATCAGACCAGTGGGTCCCCAGAACTGACGCCCACTTTCAAGGGCTGAAATCTTGCGGTCAAGTGCACCAAGAGACCCGGAGGGAGCAACAAACCATGAGTGAATACCCATACTGAGGGGGCGAAGAAAAGCAAAAGCAGAATTGGACCACTTGCGACCAACAGAGATGTGGAGCAGTCACAAGAGCCAGATTCGAGAAATAAGTCTGTTTACTTCTGAGGCAGAAACCACTGCGACCCAATTGACCAAAGCAAGCCGCTCTGCATCATTCCTGGACCACAACCCACCGTCCAACCCCTGTCCCTTCTGAAAAACAGTAAAACGAGAAACTAAAGCGAGTGCGTACCTCCCCCGAAGTAGACAGCGGCAAAAGGGCGGTACAGCTGCTCGCTGGCCCAGTTGACGGAGTACGCCCGGTAGCCCATGTCCCGGGCGAGCCACTCCGCAGTAGACTGTAGCACTTGCATGAGCCCCGTGCTGGCTTCCCCGAGGGCCGGCTCGAACCGGTACGCGAGCGGCCGGCGGTCGCTCTCGATCTCAGCGATCGCGCACAGCATTACCTGGATGGGCAATTGAATGACGTGGAACACTGAACTCGAAAGTCGCTGATGTGAGAATGGTTGAAACGAGCTTGAACCCTGTGCTTTTGACTGACTCTCAGTGTTGCAATGCTAGCTGTAGCCTTTTACACGCTTCTCTCGGTACGTACAAGTCGATCGCCCCCTCAAAGAAACATACTTTACCCTTTCCTCATCCTTCTTAGACCCAACCTCAACAGTATAACCAGGGCGCAAGACCCAACCACAAAACTCAAGGGAAAGAAGAGAGACCTACCAGATTGACCCTCCCCCTGAAGTGCCTGTCGATGATGATCTCCGCCACCCCCTGCATCTCGGCCATCGTCAGGTACGGCTTGCTCCTCTCATCCCGGGTAAACAGCACCTTCGACCCCCTCTGAAACCCCTTCCCCCGCCACTCCAGCGCCACAGCTGGGCGCGACCACATGGCCGCCATGTCAGACGGGTCCACCCAGTCGTCCCAAAACTGCATTGGGGGCCCCCGGGACATCGCGTCTGACAGCTTGGCCCCTAGCGTTTGCCCCTCCTTTTGTACAGAGTCTGAGGATGAAAGTTTGTTGCTACTATCAATAAGCCCCTCTTTGGGGGACTGGTCTGGTTGCTGAGCTACTGTTTGGGCGTCTACTTGGGTGTCAGAGCTATTTAATATGCCCTCAGTTTTTCTGATTTCAAGTTCTGTTGCTGGTTCGAATTTGCCAGAATCTACAAGTTCCTGGCCCCTGTCCAATATCTCGACCGCAGCTTGAAAAAACCCAGACTTGGTTGTATTTTCTAGAAGTTGTGCTGACGGCAATGAGTCATCTTGGAGTGGACGCCCTCTTATCGCGTCAACGTGACCTGCAGCAGAAAGACCTTCTACACCATGAGCATTGGTTGCAGCATTAGCACAACCGAAAATCGTTTCTCTGCACCTTATGCTTTCATCTGATCAACATTCATCAAATTCTCAGAGCAGCACAACGTACCACTTTACACAATCAGGCCCTTCAAATGAGTTGCCTAGATTGATGACATCTGGTGGAACAACTCTGTGAGAATGAATGAACGATTGAGAGGTGGTGTATTTCTAAACGTTTGCCACAAACCAGCTTCACTCCAAAGTAGATGTTGCCTATCGACCTTTCGCCAATCAACCCTCAGAGAGCTCCCTCACTTTTTGGGGTGATCACAAACAAGGATCTTCTCTTTGTCCAATTGCTTGAAAGGCCTCCTTTGTGAATCCTCTGTGTGACTTCTTTCACATCTCTTGGTGCTGCTAAGCTGCAAAATCGCACCGTCAGCTCATCCTGCACCGAGGCAGCAACCCTCATCGGCAATTCTCATGGACCGCTTTCTTGGAGAGGAAGTTTGGCATCCTCATGAATACACTGCCCTCAGGCTCCACTAGTGCCAGCAATTCTGAAAGGATTGGACAGCTGTTCCAAGTCAGTGAAGACAGAAGCAGACTGGCCGGGGACGTTGGAAGGGATTGCACAGGTCATGCAATGCTTTCGATGCAGTGCATAGGATATATCCTCCTAGAGTTTACCCAATCTGCACGATTTTGCAAAGACAATCTGAAAGCAGAAGGCGGCGGCTTTAAAGTGGCAAATGCGCCAAAATTGGCTGAAGTAGGCTATCAATTCTGAAAGCATACCAAATGACATCGCAGGAATCTTGGAAACTTTTAGCTGGCTTTTGCCAGAGTTCCTGACCAAGGAGGTGTGACCAAAATCTGGCCATTGAAAGTTGGGAAGACGCCTGAGCAGAAGGCGCACGTCAACAGACACCTGGACCCAGCCCGCACCAGCTCGTTTCATGAACAGTGAAGTTTGTCGAAAGGTTTCTCGTCAAATTGTACTTCCCCTTGCTAAGCATTCACCCGCTGAATTGACAGTGCGACAATGAGTGACGCTGAGGAGGAGGTCTCTGGACCCCCTAGAAAAAAACAGAGGCTTGAATGCTCTTCGGATGAGGCCATGTCGCCTTCGCTGGGGACAAGACGAGAGATTTCAGGCATTCTTGAACCCTGCTATGCATGGGTCCGGAGCGGTGTTTTCAGGTATGACTCAGGTTGACACTCATGTCATAGGGTTTCAAGATGCTCAGCTTGTGGACAAGGACAGAATGGACAAAGAAATGAGTCAAACAGCATTGGAAGGTTTCTGCTACCAGCGGCATTGTGCATGAAAGGCAATGAGACTTGGCCCAATCGATGGCAGAACAACTTGTACCTGCACTTTTCAACCTGCACCAGCCGCAATGTAGTCCAGTTAGCTTATGGCATGTTGCTGCAGCTCAAAACACCCTTTTGATGGCAAATGCTGTTGGCACATCATCCAGGTCCATAAACTTCTGACTGCATCCATTTTGGGGGTTGCTTGAGATCCAAGACCTGCTAAAACTCTCTGAGCTCGTTTTAATCTTTCCATGAACTGGTGCATCTGTCCTACTGTCAAAGCTTACTAACTGCATTCTGACTCGGGGTTTGCAGCTATCCAAGCTACCACCTCTCCTATACTGAAGAGCGCAAGGTCATGAAGGAAGCCCTTGCCAGACTGGCTTCAGCTGTGGAAGACCCCGACCAAGCTCTGGACTTGTTAGATTTTTTCACAGACAAAGTCCTCGCCATCCAACATCTCAGCGGACACTACAGGAAGCGAGAAACATTTGACACGTGCATCTTTCCCCAGGAGAACTGGGATCAGGTGAATAGTTGGAGCTGATGGAAGTGGACGTCTTAGTCACCATCTCAGCTGACGTTAGCCTCATTTGCCAATTGAGGAAGATTGCTCTTTGTGGAGATTGACACCGGGTGCATAGGCTGGTTGTTCTTCCAGCTGGTTCACTTTTGCATACGAGCAAACTTGTTGATTGCAGTGAGGTATACAAGGAAGTATGTACGAAGTGCGGCGCTGTTCCCAATCCAAGAGAAAGCATCATTATTTCGTTTTGCGCTTTGGTGCTGCTTATTCATACGTGGAGAATCTGCATTGTTCATCTCATGTTGAAGAACTTTGATTCTGTTCTCAACAATCTGGTTAACTCTTCTGATGAAAGCTATTGAGGAAGGAGTTAAGGAAGGAATTTTCTCAGCGCTTTCATCTTGTCATTTGAAGACGTCGATCATCGTCTTTCCCCTAACTGGCTGATTGCATAGGGATGATGTTGCCCGAATTTTTGAAACTCAGAACTTTGAAAAGGTTGATTTATGATACTGCACCTCAAGAAGGTTTCGGCTGCTTTTGGACATTCTCTCCGCTTATCCCACTCCATACTGCAACAACGGAAGCTCACTGTTGCTGTCAATCATTCACTCCGCTCGTCTCCCTCTCCCAAAAGCTGGATCCGATCGTATATGCTCAACCATCTTTTTCTCTAATGCAGCTTGGCGAACTCTGGGCCAAAGCTGTGGGCCAGGAGTCGCTGTCAATCCAAGGTTTTGAACACGTGAACAAGACGCAGTCCTACCAGTTGCTCGCCATGAAACTGGAGGGCCTGCTCTATGAGGGACGAGGAGCGTTTGTTGGTCCTAAGCTGTTTTGCTGGCGAAGGTAGGTGTTGGTGAGCGAGAGAGTTTCGATTATTCGTCCCAGTTAATCACAGGAGCACTGGTTTGGACTTGTTTTCGATCTGAATATTAGGCGGTATCTTGTTTCTGTATGGAATCACAAGGGGTCTGTCACTCAGGGTCAATGCGTCATCTGCTTGCCTGTTGAGTCATTGAAACGGATGAACATCATAATGTACTCTGAGAACCTTTTCGAGTGAGTTCGTTGAGTTTGGGATAGTTTCTTGAATGAACTGAAATTGATGTGACTACCAGATTTTGGGAGTGATGGTTTGAGCTTCTGATTAGCCTCCAAACGTGCTATCTCCGTCAGTCTTGCGAAGCCTTGGGGGCTTCTGTTAGGATCCTCCGGTACTGCTTTTGCTGAGCGATTGCAAATTCCTCGGTTCAGGATTCTTGACTCTTCTGACAATTCTCGAGTCGAGATATGTCAAGGCTGCGACGAAGTCCTTCTAAAAAGTGGTCTGAATGCTGCTCGATTGCAGGTACTGGGAGTGCGTTCTGCGCCAGAATCAGGATGACGTCATTGCGACCGCCCTCGAGTCCTTCTCTGAGACCAGGCCCTACGAAGTCCTCGGTCTGAAAGAGACGCTCCGCTCCGCCGGCCTCGCCATCGCCATAACCCAGGGCCAAGGGGGCATTTTCAAGCCTGCGACAGGGGCGCTCTGCCTCCTACAGCTGCTACCGAAAGTGAGAGTAGGCACCCAAGAGGGCGGGAGTTTATACCGAGCGCTCGACGTCTGCCGAAAAGCGCTGCACCGGGCGCTGTGCGAAGTCTTGCGATGGCCGTTCCCGCTGCCCACGACGAACGGTGTTGTCGCGGCGCCGCTCGAAGCTGTCAAGGGCGGGACACGAGTGCCTGCGGAAGAGTTGCGAAGACCGCCAGAAGCAACCTTGGAGAAACCTGCGGGGGTCACGGATGCCAAGAAGAGTCGGGGAGGGACGCTGGCAGATTTGACGGAAGCGCTCGTTGCGAAGAACGTCATGGAGTTGGACGAGAGTGTCTTGTCGAAGGGGCGGGTGGTAGACAGCGTTGTTGAGGCCACGCAGGGGAGCCGGCGCATCATTGCGCACTGCATAGCGTACGAGATGCAAGTAAGTCCTTAGTTTCGCGAAGTTCCTTTCTTGACATCGAGTCAGGTTGGCTGCCCCTGGCTTACTTAACACAGCCTGTATGCAGCGAGCTTCTTGTGTTTATCGCCTCTGTTCCTGGCAAGCTCTGTCATACTGTCAGCGTCTTCCAGCCATATGCCTTTCCTTCGCTTAGGATCGAAAACGCAACGACTAATCAATTTTGTCCGTTTTCCGATCCCTGTTGCGTTTCCTGGAACGATCTCCACGAAACCAACATCGTCTCTCAAATGCAATATCAATTCGCGATCCTCCTGGGACAAATCTTGGCGCTTCGGATGTCTTTCAGACTGACTAAACTGTCCGCGACTTACCAGTACGCCCACAAAGTCCACCGTTATGCTTCGCAGGACAAAGCTCCTCGGTCACCGTTGACTGAACTTCACCTGATCTTTTTCTTCGCCCCTCTCCTTTGCAGGAGAACGCTTCTAACTGGACAGCGGAGGACGCCTTCCTCCTCGCCCAGAACATGACCGAGTGCGGCTTCACCGAGCCCGCTTTCCGAGCCGGCCTCGCCGCCCTCAAAGCCATCAAGCGGTGGCCCCCAACGGGCGCCCTTCACTGGATCATCGTCCAGTCGCAAGCGCCCGGTTTGCACGACCCCCGGGCGCGCCTCCAGTCCATCCTCGACCTTCTGAAGCCGGGGAACGTCACCGGGAACGAGATGGTTCGGACGATCTGGCAGCTGTCCGAAGACGGCCAGCCGGCCGCCGCACGATCACTCGCGGAGCTTTTTGTCACGCGGGGCTGGCCGCGCGACGTGGACGTTCTCTGTGGCCCCACGTACGTGCGGGGGATGAACGTAGTGTTGGACGCGTGGCTCGCGGGGGAGGACGACGCTGGGGTGTTAACCCGGGTTAGCGCCGTAACCACCTCCGTGGCGGCGGTGCGGTGCTGGTTGGAAGTCGCGAAACGGATGGAGGCGACGGGACGGCACTCGTGCATGTTCCGGCTGTGCACGGAGAACGCGCTCGCAACGGGGCTGCGCGACTCCGGCTTTGCAGTTGTTTACTGGGATGGCATCGACTGGATCATGACCAAGGCCGTCGGGTTCCTCAACACCGACGTCGCCGTCAAGCTGGTCACGTGGCTGGAGGACCAGATCGCGGCCGACGACGAGTGCGGCGCGGACCTCATCCGCAACGCGCACCGCCTCGCGCGTGCCGCGGCCACGGGGCTCGGGAACGTGAAGCTCTGGCGCCAGCTGGCGGTGCGCGTGCTCGAGCTGGCGCACGACCAGCTGGAGCTGTCGTCGCACTGGTGGCGCGAGGCGGTGGCGGTGTGGCGGCTGCTGGGGCCCTGTTCCGCGAAGAAGCTCGCGGGCGTGGTGGAGAAGAAGGGGCCCGAGTTCCGGGACGAGGCCCTGGCCCTCGCGCGCATGCTCGCGGACCAGGGCGGGTTCCCGAGCGTGGTGTCGGCGGCGTGGCGACGCGCGCTGCGGCTGCTGTTCAAGGAGGCCAAGCAACACGCCGGTGAGGACGCGGGGCCCCAAAGCTTTTGCTGCCTAGAAGTTCCCGAGTGTTGTGATGTCGCCCGTGAGAGCAAGGAAGTGAGTCACGGCCGTTCGCTTTTTTCTCGTTGTGTTCAAACACGCCACACTTGTGTTTCAACTTTTGTTTTCAAGTTTCGTACCGAGCGGAAGGCCTCTGCAAGCTGTGGTTCCTCCTTCTGTGCTCACTGTCCAACAACCGGAGGGCAGAGCGTTTTGTCTGGACACAAAGTGATCCGCGATGCTTCCGGTTGATGCTCGTTGCCGGTTGTACTACGAAGGCTTTCGATCTTGTTCTATGCTGTTCGCCACGGGCTGTCCAAGTCGAACCCGCATACACTTTCTCTGACTGCAGCCCAACACTTCAAATTTCCCTCGCCATGTGCGATCTTATTTAGCCAAAGCCTTTCCCGGTCGAGCGCCGTCCGTCAATCTTGATCTTGTCCCCCCCACGGTATCCTTGTGCAGCCCCGACAAAGGCGAGATAGCCAAAGGTCCATCATACCAACTTTTCGTTTATTGTTTTCCTGGAACTTAGCTCGACTGCTCAGCCATCCGGAAACTTCTCACACAATCATTTTGCGAGAGCTACCTGCAGAACCCTCTCCCAGATTTGGTTTCCTGAACCGGTTTCTACGAGTTTGACAGGTTCGACGGCAGTCTGGCATCTGGACGCCGCTTTGGAGGCGCTCGAGGAGTGCATCGAGATCCGGCTCTGCGTGACGGCACACGTCACGCAGCGGGGCCGGGAGAGGTGCAACGACTGCCGGCTGCAGAGAGCGGACGTGGCGGCGGGCCTCAAGCTGGCCGAAAAGGTGTGGTTTTTGCCTCTTCGTTTTAGGTCCTGTTGAAGCCGGATCTGCGTGCCTTTCCTTGAGAATACTAGTATGCGGATGTGGCGCTGTTTATGGGCCGGCCATAGAGAGGGTTATGCGGTAAATTCCAAGAGTCTGCTTCCACAGGTAGTACAGGTCAGATTCTGACGTGCACTATTGGAGATCGGCCTGTGGAAAAGGTGAAGCCGGCCGTCCGGGCGTTCCAGATTGTTGTAAGTTTCAGGGGCCTGAGGGACAAAGGGTGAATCTCGTTCTGGCCCAGCCTTTTCTGGAGTACGTCTGTAGGTCAAACCGCGGCTCAAAGCGGTATGAAGGTTAGCCATTAGTGATGCAAATTCCGCTTCCTCCTGGCTTGCAGGCATGTAAAGCTTGGAAGCTGAGCAGCAAATACTCGGAAATCAAGACGCGAGCTGAGGAGCGGGGCTGGTGAAATCCTAGCCGATACGTCTGGTTTGAAGTTGTTGTCGGGTAGCCCTGACTGGCTACTTCCAAGAGGTTCGCAGAAGTGGGTCTCCCGCAATCACAGAGAGTCGCTAACAAACACTCCTGGGAAGGGCTCGTTCAATGGTCATGTCCCTGCGGAGTTGTATGAAGACAGGCGCACGCATTGTGCTCTAATGTACTTTATTATACTTTGTATTATGCATACCGGCGTTTAGGAGAGGAGTTCCGAGAAAGAAACAAGACTTGGTAAGGGGTGCCGACAAGGCGCCGACATGTTCTGTTGCAGCTGTCACGCGTCAGTTTAGGCACGACAAAGTAAGCACCGAACTGCCAGCCTGGGACAGGGACAGCCAGACACCATGTACCAATATTTGAAGGATAAATGTGTTGGAGCCCGGGTCGGAAGCCCTGCAAAGCAAATGATTCACTGTATTGGTAGGCAAGGTGCATTGAGCACATATGAAGATAGGACTCATCGATAGGATCGCAGGCAGATGTGGCTGTGCGTGTCACACTGCATGTGCATGAACGGTGAATCCGCCCGATCTAGCTTTGCAATCAGGTGATTCCGCTATACCGGTTGGTACCCATTGATTTGGGCTTACAGCGCTAGCCTAGTAGCCTAGGTCGTGTCTTCGCCGTGCGTGCTGCAGCGAGCAGTCAAATACATGCTGAGCACATAAGTGAATGACGCCCGCCGTATGTCCGATCCCCAACCAAAATGGGGTGGATCCTGCGAGATACGGCTCATCATTATTCAATGATGCCAGGCATATCGATACATACATACATCACGTTATAAAGCCCGTACCGAAGCATGGGGCTTGATTAAGTACATGTGCATGGGGTCAGGGCCGTGTAATTTTGTCCAACAAGCTATTGAGCTACATGCGTACAAGATGGCTTATAGCTAATTGTAATAGGTCGGTTCTAATAATACCGATTGCTATGAAATGCATGCTAGCGCGGCCAAATTGTGCATGGCTGGCCGCCCATCATTCCGAACACCCGGCACCCTTGGCTGGCCGATCTGTTGCGTGCAATTGCGTTGCATCCTTACGTGCCAATTAATGCAATCTGACATGCAAGGGATCCACCGTCCCATGTCAATCAAATAACCGCAAACTAAGTTATAGCCAGCAGCCTGACACAATTGAAACAGACAACGATCTCACTTGATCAGCTTCATCTCTAGGTAGCTGAATCAGCCTAGTAGGCGGCTGAATTGCAGCCGCCGCTGACGTCTATGCGTCACCAATAGACATTGGCTCATCATCAGTCGAAAAAGTCATATCTTCAAGAGAAGCGTCAGTGGGTCCGCCCCAGGTGCACGTAGGCATGATGCTCGAAAGCTGCAATGGACTTTCTCTCGCGAGCTACCAAGGGGCTACCAAGGTGAGGTTGAGTCGCTCTTGTTAAGGGCTCGAAGTTCCGTCTTCAAATTCAAAATGATGGGGAGTAGGTTCCCTTACAGCACAACTTTTAGCGCAGGGCGTCTATATTGGAGCGTAAGCAGTGCATTAACAGAACTTGCTCTGAAGCATCCGCCGCAACCAAACCTCAAAGTCTCTAACCTTGGAAAGCCTTCAACCGTGACGCTTTGAACAACTTTCAATAAGTGGCTCTCGTCCACTGAAGCCTCCCAGTCCGTATCAAAGGAAATGGTCAGCTTCTTCAGCTCTGGCAGCTTTGCTGGCTCTGCTATCAATCGACATGTTTCCAGGAACGTCTTACTAGGGAGACAGAGCTCATCCAGCTCTTCTCCGAGACCTTTGATGAGACCAGTTACATCTCCGATCACAGCCTCCTCCGATTTGAAAATGAGACAGGTCAAGCCTAGGCACCCCTGAACGGCCTGATGGAGCGAACCGTTGCAGTCCCACACGCAATGATCGTTTCGATTAGGAAGGACCCTTAGGCGTTCCAGCTTCCACTGAGCTAAGGCGGTCACCTCGGCTGAACCTTCGATCTCGAGAGCCGTCAAACCTGGTGAATCTATCACAATCAGGGGCGCCTGAAACGGTGTTCTGAGTGCCAATTTGTACAGCCTCGGGGTGCGGATGTCTAGCAACATACTTGATGTGTAATAAAGACATAGATCCAAGATCTCAAGGCTCGTTGACTCCAGCAGCAAGCGGTCAGGCCCTTCTCCAGCGTCAGAGAAAGGGCAGCTTAGATGGCCTTGAATCTCTAGCTCTCGCAAACCGGGACACATGCTTACGAGGGTTGAGATTGCGTAAGCATCCTGCGCGACCTCTTGTAGGACTAGCCTTTCAAGCTGCACAAACGGCTTACACATCGCTGAAGCTAGGCTGGAAACCAGCAAAGGAACTTGCAGGGCCTGACCGGGGGGTCCAAACCCATGGCGCTGGTTTCCTAAGACAAGGAATGTCAGCTGCGGGCAACGTGCTGCAAGGGCTTTCAGCATGTGAGTGCTCGACTCTGCTCCTAAGCCTGCCGCCTTTCCCGGACTCAGCTTCCCAGATGGCACCTCGGAGACATCCCAGACCACGGCAAACTCTTCAAGACGAGGAGCCTGAAGGAGGAACTGCTCAAAGGTCTTCGAGTTGTCGTCCAAGAGGTCCGAACGCTGCGAAATCAGGCTCAAATGGAGTCTCCGGCATTCCTCTGCCGTGAGCTGAGAGTAGTCCGCATCTTCGCTTCTGATTGCAATCACCAGGCTCTTTGCGCACCTAGCTTTCCCGAGGAATTCGGAAAGACGCTGCAGGTCCCGTTTGAAGGTGACGGACTGATTTTGCATTGTAGCTTCTGGACTGTAGAAGCCACGTGATGGAAGACCTTGGAAACTGTTTGTAAGCGGCACAGGTCTGTGACTTTCGCCCATTTCATCCAGGGTTGTAAGCACGAGCCCTTCTCCTCAAGGACCCAACACACTGGATCCGTGAGTTTCCGACCACAAGAAGCCCTGTGGAGGATGTCCTGAAGGACAGCGTGTGGGAGAAGGTACAAGTGGCTGCGTTCTGCTGACTCTGCCATGTTGTTGCTTGGATCTTGAGCCTTGACGCTGTTACCATGGCTCTTCATAACGCTTGCTCACCTTTGCCGGGCGCCGCTAACAGTAAAGAAGATGGTCAAGACCTTGGAAACTTGCTTCAAGGAGTGCTTTCCCTGAGCGTTTGATGGACGTCGGCTGGCCGCCCGCGCGCACGGATCCATCGGAAGTGAGGGTACGTTCGCCGAAGGGTTTTGGGGTTTGCTTACCGGGCCGCGCGCGGCCGCCCGGTACGCAACTGTGACGTTCAAGCTAGTGATACGTAGCTAATTATTGAAAGCCGAACACCTGGGGTTTCCCCTCAGTCCTGGTCCTAGTACAGACGTCTTTGTTCGTGCTTTCAGAAAACCTATCGGCTTGTCCAGTGAAGCGTGTTAACTACAACTTCGCCGCTCTGTCTTCCCTGTGAAAGCGTCCGAGCCCCGTCCGAGTCTTCTATGACTTCTATCATCAAATCAAGCATGAGTCCAGCAACACTGAGTAGGACTTAAAGGCGGCGGAATGGCGGATGCGTGTCATGTGGACCGACTCCCAGATGATCTACTCCGGGCCGTCTTGCATAGGGCAGCTGTGTGTCCGGACAGGTGCGCGGATGCTGGAGTACGGGCTTTAGATTACAAGTGGACCTACACAAACTCCAAAGCCAAATGGGTGCAAGTCAGTGAGCTATGCAGCCTGCAACGCATCTGCAAGCGTTTCCATCACGTCGCGTCAACTTTTGAGAACCTGCAGTGTAGGATCAGCCCCCTGAGTGCCAAAGGAAATATTTTGGGGCTGGTCAAGTTTCTATCCAAAGCAAGGTGCGCAAAGGGCCTTGCTCTCACCATAGAACTCGAGAGAGATTCAAGGAATAAAAAGGGCGACAGGCACTCAGAAACTCAGTTCAGCCTCTTTGCTGATCTCGCATTGTCCCAGTGCTTTGAAGAGCTCTTCCTTCAGGCCCCGTGCCTTGAGCAATTCGCAGTAGTCGGCGGCCGTTTTAGACCACACGGGCAGTTTGATGAGGGAGCTGCGGTTGTTGCTGAAGCAGCATCCAACCGGTTGCTCGAGGCGCTTGCAGCAAACTGCCGGCGATTGAGCGCTCTTGCTTTAGGTAGCACGGACTTTTTGAGCTGCGACTTACGCTTTCCTTGGCTGGCCCCAAGCCTGGGTTTGGTATGCAAACCCTTTCCGAATCTGAGCAGGTTGTGCATCCACCAAAATGCAGAGATCGGCTTGGAAGGTCAGGGACTTTCTTCCCTGTTTAAGCTATGCCCCAACCTGCTGCAGCTAGAGGTCTATCGTGATCACTCTTCCAGTCATGAGGAAGAGGCAGCACCAGATTGCGAGTACTTTCTCGTAGAATCGGACATCCTGGAGATCTTGGATGTGAAAGTTTTCCACAGTAACCTTACGCTAGACATCCGCACACCGAAGCTCCGTGACGTCAGGGTCGGGTGTAGATTCAAGGGGGAGGTGGTGATTGCAGCTCCCAATCTGAGCGTCCTAGCATTGAATTGGTCAACCAGGGTGACAATAGTAGAAACGTGGGAGCAGCTAGAGAGCGTGTTGCTCACGGAGACGTTTAAGGGGGACTACGTCTGGTGGGACACCAACGGTCCACTCCATGAAGCTCTTCAGAGCTGCTCGAAACTGAAGTCTCTATGCGTTCAAAATGGATGGCTCAAAAACTTGTCTGGCTTGACGGATGGGCTTAACACTTTGACAGAGCTGGTTGTACCTGATAGATGGTTATGCGAAGTAGGCGAGTCAAAGTTGGAGAATATGCGCGAGCTAAAAAGGCTCACCGTCTTCTTTGACCATGAAACGTTAGACCCGAAGTCACTGGATGAGACCCCGGGGCTTCTTAAGGGTCTTCGGGCACTAGAGCGCTTTCCAAACTTAGAGTTTCTCCGGTTGGAGGACGCGAGTAACCTTGCGCCCTGTGCCGTCTTAGCTTTGTTATCGCTCCAAAGGAGGCGTCCCGGAATTGAAATTCAAATTACACTTGACCCTCTAATAGATTACACTTGACCCTCTAATCGACCTGCTGCAATAATATACTAGACAAGCAGTATGAAGGATACAAAGGTTCAAGGATACAAAGGTTCAAGGATACAAATCTAAGAGAGATTGACGTACCAATTGAATACTTAATTGAGATAGGAATCAACTTGGGAGAACTCTGAACGCATTCTTGCAGACTTTGTCATGAGTATGTCTGCTCAAACCGTATCTTTTCTTCAACATAAGACTACCTAATCAACAATTGACATTTTGCTGAGTACTTGGTGGCCACATTCAACTTGGTCAAGCAGCAGACCCTTGACTTGTTTTGCGCACGAAGGTGGATCGTTCCACACACATAGCCGAAGCGATTCCATTCAATGCTTCAAAACGAGATTAAGATTTTAAGTTTGGCTCGTACCGGTCCCTCGTTTGCCTCGAGCTCGAGGCTATCTGCTGGGAGTGCCTACTCATGTTTCAGGTCCGTGTATATCGGAACGAGTCAAGCGTTGCACTCACTTCGACATGAATGTTCTGAAGCCGTGATTGTGCATGTTGCTTCGTGCACCCAAGCAGGCCGGCTGTCTTTCCAGTTTGCATGAATATCGTGGCAAGCAAGCCGTTCCGCTTAAGGTGCGGCCGTTCAACAGAGATGAAAGAGACGCCTTATTCTCGATGAGTGGATGAATGCGGGCGTCCTAAGGTAGGTTATGATATTCATTGTCGAATAAACGGGTAGATACGTGTTGTCAGGCAGAATTTGTACGATCCCATTTGCATTCGCAATTCGCGAGGAATTTTCTCAGAACGTCGTAATGCTGTAACGCCCCATGAGCTTAGCTAACATATCTTCCTGATAAACGCGCAGGCTTTCAGCGTTCATGATGTGGCTCCCTTCAGTTACCATGCCGGCCCGGATATACGACAAGCGGCTCGACGGCTCGAAACACCACTTTCAAATGGCAGCGCTCTGCTTGACTGCAGTAGGCAGAACATCAGTAATTAGAACGGGCAGCTAATATAATCATAAGATCTCACGCGATCTGCAGCAAGATTCGATCGTATTAACAAAGCGTTGTTCTCTTCAGTGCGACGGTGTGTACGCGCGGCCCACTAAAATATATGTGAGTTGTTGTCGTCGAAACGCGCCAGATCGGTTCTCGGGTGTCGCTCTGAACCCTTTCTTTGGAAGCACCCCAAAAAGCTTCTTCACGCATTCTCAAAATGCCCGGGCGTTGGTGCCATTGATGAGCGCTGTGCTTTCGACCCTACCAGTTCCTCCTGGCCGGAAGGTCATCGGTGGAAGCGGAACTTTGGAAGATTGTGTGCAGCACGGAACGAAAGTGGGCTTGAGAGGAGAGCGGAAAAAAGTAAAGCAAGACGATAAGTGAAGTGTTTTCAATCCTCTCAGAAGCGACGGAGACTACAAAAGCACTAGAAACTGCAGCTTCTGAATCAGCAACAAAGCGCTAGATTGTCACCTTAGCAGCAGCGTGTTGTCAGCCGGGGCCGCGTCCCGGCGATCCGCGGCCAGGCCGTCCATTCCGTTAGCCAGGATCGTCACGGGAAAGGGGGTACTCGGCGACCGCGTGCTCGGTGACGTCAGCGGAGAGGCGCGTGCGCGTCCAGGGCGAAGTGACTAAAGATGACGTCGGCCGGATGATGATGGAGCCGCCGAAGGAAGCCCGTCCAAGAGGAACTCTACTTAACGACGAGGGTGACGTCACGCTTCTGAGGGGTTTTGCGGTTAGGCGCGTCAGCTTGGAAAGTCGCTTGTTTGGCGAGTACTTGCAAGCACGTTCTTCTCTGCTTGATTTTGTGCGTTCGGTTGTGGGAACAAAGGATTCGTGTCAAACCAACCTGATGTTTCTTAGCACGTCTTCCGCCGAAAAAGTCTTTTCAGAACGCAGCAAAAACAAAGAACACAAAAATACACATATACTAGAACGCCATTTGTCACGTTGCCTTCATTTCTCTGACAATTTGAAAAGACTTCCCTGATGCGCGTTTGACGGGCTGCCTGTTCTGCGGCAGCCCTCAAAATCCGTTCGGTTCTTTTCTGCCTGGTTGAGGAGCGCAGTACTAACCTGGGAAAGCCCGCAGAAATTCATGCCCCCCTGCCAAGCTTTCTCACATGCCTGTCCGGTTTTGGACGTCCCATGATGGCTTCGGCGTCCGGCGCGTTTTGGTGTCGTTCAACAGCGTCCGAGGGCCCCCGTCTCGGTCGACCAGCCGTTGAGCTCGTAATGATGTACCCTGCACAATGTAATGTTCCTCGAGGCGCCCCGTTATGTGGCATTGCAAGAAGTGATTTGAAGAAATCTGAAGCCACTACGAGTAGGTGCGCCAGAGCGGGAATCTTTGGCGGTGGGTCTGGGAAAAGTTGGCGACGATTGTACTGAAGCGACCCGCTTTTGCGCTGAAAAATGCTTCCTATAGCTCATGCCCACGTTAAAGGAAGCGGGTCGTTACCTCTGCCAGCTTGACTCGTAAGACATGTTATTTAAACGGAAGTGAATATCTCGAACTTTTCGAAAGCGGCGAACGATTCGTAAGGGGCAGCCGCTTGAGACTTGACCTTGAACATCCTCAGAACGATTCTGCCGCCCTTTGTGTAGCTCCAGGGTCATCTTGTCTGTCACCAGTTGCCGCAGCCCGGAAAATACAAAGTGCCGGGAATCCAAGAACGCTGAAAGGCATAGGCACATCCCCACAAGCGAGAATCTGGCAAAGATGCCGATTCCTCAAAGCGTGACCTTAAAGAATGGCAGGTTCGGATCACATGTGCAGCTTCGGTCGGACCACTGCCTCTGGTTGCAAGTTGGTGCAGCCCAAACAGACTAATCATCCAGGTCTCTGCCCATCGATATTATCAGTTTGCAAAAGCGAATAGCCTATCAAACCATCAATCAACTCAGGAATCAACCTGCCAAGATCCATCTCTGCTCACACGTAGAGTTCCATGGTCATGTCCCCTCCGTTGCCAGCTGGCGCGGCGCGATGATCATGTTCAGCAGCTCCAGCGCCCACGCGTCCACCCGGCTAGCGACCGGGACTTCCACCCGGGTAAATACCTTCCGCTCTAGTTGCTCGTGTTGTGCGGTGACGGCCTGCATCACCGGGTTAGTGCAGGCTTGGCCGACTGCACCAAGTTATGTTTTTCGCTGGTTGGATACCGTTTCTGTTTCGGTTACATTGAAGCGGCCACCATTGGTCAACGTTCGTTCGATTAAGTACAACGATTGTGGCCTTTTCCTTTTGAAATCATCTTGATCGTGCCCGCTCAGGCGCAACCTTTGTTGCCTAAAGTCTGTATAACGATTTGAACTTGTTTTCTGGAAAGATCAGGATTTAAGAAGGTGGTCGGATCCAGTTAACGAAAGCACCTGTGGCCGTCAAATGGCAGCCCTAGCGTGTGCCCATTTTCAGAATTTCAGAGCCCTTTGTCTCATTCTAGTTGTATTTCTTTCTTGCGAGCATTTCTATTGCCGGAATCGTCAACAATTCTTGTGAGCGCCGAGCCATGCACTTCTGAGCACCTTCAGAAAGGCTCAACTTTATTTTCCACGTGAGGGTAGATCAGGTGATCGCATGAAGATATCGTGTTCAAAAGGTGAGAAACTGACCTCTTTCAGACGAAGCCGGCCTTCGCTTCAGTCAACGGCCAAGCGCGCTGACGCACTGCAAAATCAACATGACCGCGGGGTTCGTGGCTTTGGTATCAAAGTCGAGTATGGCTCCTCACACTATACTTCCGGGGGAATAACCTTCGACGTCAGGCTCCAGCACGATCAGCAAGCTTAAGGACATCAAGAGGCGAGAGGACCCGGGGAGATTTCGGAAGCGTCAGTCCGAGTTGAGGAAGCCACGGGGCAATTCACGTGGCCTGTCAGGCACAGTAGTAGGCGCAGAGCATGAAAGAAAGCCGAAAAGATGGTAGAAGCGCGGAAAAGCTTGGTGAAGGTGACGTGATTGCAGCCCTTGAGAAGAGAGAGAGAAATGGACTTAGAGAATTCATAGAGCTGGACAATAGGAAGACACGAAGAATTGCTTCTGCTCATCAGCTGCCCATGTATTCCAACTCGTGCTAAAAATGTGGAGCGCATCTGTAGAACGGAGATTGAAAGCAGATCTCTGAGACACTCAGGGCAAGCTCGAGACCCCACCCAGATTGCAAACCACATCATTCCCGCACCTTCTCTTTGGTAGGATCCATACATCCGTACATGAAGCTACAGTGTGACTGCCGCGTTCCGCAAAGGGCTCCAGGTTGCAATTTTACATCTGACAACCTTGTGAATCTCATTCCCGTAAGGCTTCAGGTAATTTCTTCCACAAGGCGGCTTGCAGTAAATTACCTAAACTTGGATCCGTCTCAAGTTCATTCACAGTAAAGCACATGGGAGACAGTCAAAGTGGCTGGAACGACAGGGTTTCGCCGCTAATTCTATCTTCCGATTCCTCGAACGTTGAGTTCTAGCTGGTACATGGCTCCCCATGACGCCAAATCACGTTCGCCAGACGCCTGCGAGCAGGACCTTCAGAAGGAAATTTTGTTCAAGGACTTGCTGACTTGCGAACCGACCTGTTGAAGTACTCTTACAAGGCCTCGGCGCGTCATCTGGCTGGCCGCCTACGCGCACGGATCAGCCGCGAAGCGCTGCTCGAAGAGGAAAACTTTGGGGTTTCGGGGTTTTCGGTCGCGTGCTAGAAACGGGCGGCCGCGCGCCTGGCACGCAACTGTGACGTACGAAATCAACACCAGCCTTGCGCTAGCAGCTAGAGCAGAACAGTACAGCTTACTAGTGGAGCGCAATGGCTTTGTTCAAGCACAGTTGATATTTATTTGGGCAGTGAAGAAAGTCGAATTTCATGTTCATCAAGCTTACTGTAAGTTCTATGACAATTCCGCAAAACGCCTGCTATCAAAACCAAGCACCTAGCAGCGAAATGGCGGACCCATGCCACCTGGATCGAATCCCAACAGATTTACTCCGGGACGTCTTGCACAGAGCGGCTGTGCGTCTGGACTGCACGGATGGTGGACTACGAGCTCTAGATGAAATGCGGACCTGCAAGAACTCCAGAGCCGAGTGGGCGCAAGTCCGGGAGTTGTGCCGCTTGCAAGCTGTCTCCAAGCGTTTCCACCAAGTCGCGTCCACCGTCAAGAACCTGCACTGCAGGATCAACCCTCAGGCTGCCAGCAGAATGTTATCGGGGCTGGCCACCTTTCTGTCCAAAGCAAGGTGCGCTGAGGGCCTTGCTCTTACTTTTGGGCCCAAGAGTACTGATCCTGAGGATGATTGGGATGATAACGGTGTCAGGCACCCTGAAACGCAGTTCAGCCTTTGCAGAACCCTGGCCGAGTCCCAGTGCTTCCAGGAGCTCTTCATCGAAGCTCCCTGTCTTCAACAATTCGCGGTGGTGAGAGAGCGTTTTAATCGATCAGAGGTGCTTGGACAGGAGATGGCGGCTGACGTGGAATTAGCAACCAACCGGTTGCTCGAGGCGCTCTCAGCAAACTGCCCGCGCTTGAGCGCGCTTGCTTTAGGATGCAGGTACTGTTCCTCAAGCTCCTTGCGCTTCCCGGTGCTGGCACCAAGCCTGGGAATGGCGTGCAAACCGTTCTCAGAGCTGAGGAGGTTGTGCGTTCATGAAGACGTTCAGATCAATCAGAAGGTCAAGGTTTGACCTGCCTGTTGAGGCTGTGCCCCAGTTTGCTGCAGCTAGAAGTCGAGCGGCCGGGTCACTCTTACGCACAGGAGGCACCAGATCCGGAGTACTTGATTGTAGCTTCAGACAGTCTTGAGGTCCTGGCTGTCGAAATCATGTACGGTGAACTTGTGCTAGACATCCGCACTCCAAAGCTCCGCGAAGCTAAGCTAGGGTGGGAAGTTAAGGGAACGGTGGTGATAACGGCCCCGAATTTGAACGCCCTGGCACTAAACTGCTCAGCCAAGTTGACTGTTTTAGCCCCATGGGAGCAGCTAGAGCGCTTGGTCCTAATGTACTACCCTGGAGACTTCTTCATTTGGGACCCCGAAAATCCACTCCATGAAGCCCTTCAGAGCTGCTCAAAGCTAAAAACTCTGTCCATTGAAAGCCAATACATCAAAAACTTGTCTTGCCTGACAGACCGACTTGGGAGTTTGACAGAGCTGAGTATAGCCGATAGAGTTCTGTGCGAGGTGTGCGAGTCGAGACCTGAAAGCCTGCGCGAGCTGCAAAAGCTGACCGTCTCCTTCGACGCAGAATCAAGCTGGAGAATGAAGGTACTGGATGCCAGCAGGCTCCTTAAGGCTCTTCGGGCTCTAGAGTGCTTTCCGGTGCTAGAGTGCGTCCGGCTGAAGGACACGGGAACCTTCACGCCCCGCGCTGCACAAGCTCTGATGTCGCTTCAAAGGAAGCGTCCCGCACTTGAGATTGTGTTCGAGATAGTTTAAGAACAGAGGCTTTGAATCGTACATGGAGTTTGGGAGGAAGTTAAGCGATTGAAAGAGACAGGGTATGATTCCAAGTATCTATAAGCTAGACCGGGTACACATACATACGCTTGATAGAACACCTGGGTTTTGCACCTATGAGAATCTTTCTTGACAGGGTCTCTCAGCTTTATCTCAATTTTCGCCCGTTTAAAGGAAAGCGTTTTGATCTGGAAATTACGCTTTTCTTAAAGCTTTTACCATGCAATGAGCCGTATGGTTTTCGACACGCAAGATTAGTAATTAGGCCGTTCGCCAGTGGGCTGAGCTGATTCGAATTGAAGATGCTTCGAGATAAAACGTAGTTTGCCTGCCTGTCCTTGCCTGTGCTAGAACAAGGAACGAGTACGTAGGATCTCTCGATGCAACACAAGGACGAGTTGATGGGAAGATGAAATCTACAACACAGCATCATGAATTTCGAATGATCTTTATGTACAGACGCATGCCATGTCAAGCAAGTCTGCTTAAGCGGCTCAGTGCTCTGCTCTTACTCCAGTCTGTGGACACTTCCCTACAAGCCCGTGCGTATCAAAGGCATGGGGCGACCGCTAGCAGGTGTGTATGGCACATAACCACTCAACTCTACACTATTGACGACTCGTCAATTTAAGCAACTCTTAGAACACAGTATGTGAATGCGCAAAACCGGAGGTTAATGACGCGCATCTGTTTGACTTGCGGATCGAGTTTCACCCGTTACTGAGATTTGGACTTGACCAGTACTCAAAAGATTGACTAGACGACCGAAGAGCTCTGCTTACAGATTCACGTACCGTTCTTAACGTGATTGTTGCAGAAGCTGTGCAACCGAGAGCGACCTTCCCCGGATGCGCACGCGCGCCGCGTTCTCGCATCAAGAGCGATCCATCGAAGCTGCTATTGAAGTTGACACCTTCATCGATTGCTGAAGCAAAGCGCGGTTGGAAATGGTGCACTCGACGATCCAACAAATGAGTCTACAATCTTGGAACGCCCAACTGGTAACTGGGAAAAATATCCGATCATCAGCGGCCGTCTTAGGAAGGCACTCAAAACTATTTGAGGCAGGTAGGATCACATATCTCTTCCTTGAAGCAGGCGGCCGGCGGCGGCGGCAGCGCCCAGCGGCTAGGCGGCCAGCGCCGAGTGGCGCCGTCTCAGGTTTATTGTGCGTGCCTTTGGGTTTTGCAGGACTAAAGCTTCGAATTGAGCGGCGTGCTTGTCGATTGCCTTGCGTGTAGCCTCTATGACTTTACTTGCGACGGCGGCGACGGCCGGCGGCCGCGGGCACAATTTTAGAGGGGCGGCGGCCGCCCTTCGTAATATCCTTCCAAGCAAACCCCCAGAACCCTGGCATGTACCTGAAAGGGTCCGAGAGGCCAGTGATATTGATGTGAACAAACTCTGGGAAGACTCTGCTTTCAGGCGCCTAGCAAAGGTGACTTGCGAGCTGAGAGCCAAACTACCAGCTTCTGCAATAAAAGAGACCTGAGTACTGGTAAGAAGAGAAAGGAGATGGAATCCTGCGACTTGGACCGTCTCCCGGTGGCCTTGCTGCAGGAAATCCTTCATAGGGCTGCTTGCTGTTCGGACTGCAAGGATTTCAAATCTGGGAACCTTGAGGAGAAGCTGGGATCGTGCGTGGAAGCCTCGATGATGTGGCCTCGAGTCAAAGAGTTGTGCCGCTTACAGACGGTTTCCAAGCACTTTCTCCAAGTTGCGTCCATGGTACAAACACTACACTGTAGGATCAGTCCTCTGCGTGCCAAGCGCGACCTGCAGGGACTTGCTGGGCTTCTTGCTAGAGCAAGGTGCGCGAAGGGCCTCGTGATAACTCTCAGGCATCGTCAGGAAGATATCAAAGTGGGCCAAGTCACAGATTGGGACTTCTTCCAAGAACTGGGAGGCAAGAGGGCCCTTGAGGCATTGTTTGGCCTTTTCAATGACCTTTCCGAGGGTTTCGAGCAGCTCTTCCTGCAAACCCCTTGCCTTCAGCGATTTGCAGTGGTCTGCGATGCGCCTAATCCAAAGCCGATATGCATCAACTTCGAGCGCGCGATTGCCATTGGAGCAGCTTCAACCACTGCAACCGGATGCTGAAAGCCCTTGCAGCAAGTTGCCCGCAAATAAGAACTCTCGCGCTGGCCGACGGGCATTGGTGCCGATTTCAGTCCTTACAATACCCTCGTCTGGCAGCATCTCCAAGCCTAGAAACAAATTTCCAGCCTTTTCTAGAGTTAAGGAGGTTGGTCATGCAGGATAGTGCGCGGGATACTCAGGCGATGTCGACTCTGATCAGTATGTGTCCGAAGCTTCAGCAGCTGGAGATCAAAGACGTCTATCGTTTCGAAGCAGGCTACCCTAAAGTGGTTCCTGGCTGTTTTCTGCTTGAATTAGAGAGTCTTGAAGTCTTGGATGTGTGGATTCCCTCTTGTGACGTGATGCTGGACATCCGCACTCCAAGGCTGTACAAGCTCGCACTGCAGAACAGAGCTCAAGGAGTCACCGCGATTGCTGCACCCAATCTGAGGGACCTTGAGATCAATGGCTCGAGCAACGTGACAGTCTCAGCTCAATGGAAGCTAGTGAAACTTGTGATCAAAGCCGACCAAGACAACAGTTGTCGGTGGGACCCCAGCGGTGCACTTCTGGAAGCAATTAAAAGCTGCTCAGGCCTGACTTTTGTTTCCTTTGATACGGAGAAGGCGGTTCTAGGGGACGTTTCTGGCTTCCTCAAACGGCTCGAGCACCTGGAGGAGCTAGAGATTCCTGGCGGTAAGTTGGTAGAAGCGTGTAGATTGATCGCAGGACCAGCAAAGCTGCCCAAGCTGAAGAAGCTGACCGTTCGCTTCGAGCGCTCGAGATCCTTTGAGAGCGACTTCTGTTCGGTTCTCCACACCGTCACGGCCGGGGGTTTTCCGCAGTTAAGAATTTTAACAATAGGGTCCGATGGATACTTTTCGTCAAAAAGTGTGAGAGCACTGATCGCCTTTCGCGACGGACGCCCTGAGCTTGAGCTTGTATTTTGATAAAGCGCGCTCCCGGCAAAATTCTTGGCACGACGTACATCCTTTCAAGTTTTGAATCAGAATTGAGTTGTTTACAAGACGAGACAAATCCAACCGAAAGCAAAAGGACCAGAAAAGAAAACTTTCATTCACTATTCGAATACCGTCATGCACCGTATTTAGGTATCAACGGGCCTACTGCCAGTGATCAAGTGTTTTTGCTCGGGTTGACCTCTTAATGAGGGCCACTGCCCGAATTGGATGTAAAATTGATGCAGATTCTTCAAGTTCGTTTGGTGACAGAGATATGGCGCAAACGTCGGAATAATATAAAGTAAGGTTTAATACACGCCGGCATGCATGTTGCAGCACCTCAAATGACCGTTGCGCGCAGCCAATGCAATTGCCACGAGCACGTTTTGCGGCGCATCCCGGGCCCTGTTCGCTTGCGGCTTGTCGAAAGATGCCTACTCTCAATAATAACCGCTTACTTACACTAGTAAGCAGGACCGGACCAAAAAGGCCGCACTGCGACGTGTCGATGCAGCCGTTACAGTGTCCTAGAGGCACTATCTACAATTGGATGAAAAGAATACTTACATCTGGCCAACTTCGAAAATAGCATTACAATCTTTTCTTCTTCAAGGTGATCAATCGACGGAGGCTAATGGGACTCACTCCGCTTGCGCACGACCAACCGTATGACTTGACTAGGCGTCGGCGCCCCAATTGCGCCCACGTAGTTTGGCCCGGGTACCGTTTCATTCTCCATTTTGACGTCATACTCTCTGAATAAAGTTGCCCAAATCAGGTGCAGGACAGTGTGAACGAGACGCTTCCCTGGACACTGGTGCCTGCCCCTCCCAAACGCTATGTAAGTGCCATCTGCTATGAGCGTCTCAAGCTTTGACTTCGTGAAGCGGTGCGGGTTGAACGTGTTGGGGGCTTCAAATGTGGCCTCGTCGAAGTGGGTGAGTAACGGACTGACGGCCACGATGGCGCCTTTGGGCAGGGAGTGCCCTTCGATGCAACACGCTTTTCGTACCTGCGAAGAGACACTAGCATGAGTCAAAGAAAGAATCCGTGGCAGCTTCCTTTCAAGCACCCGACTGAGTGAGATTGAATGAGAAAGCAGGTTTTCGGTAAATTGCTGATCGTATTTGAGGTTACTGCCAGCGACTGAGAATCCATTCTAAGTAGCATTGAAAGGCCTTCGTCCAATCGCGTTTTTTAAGGGGCTTCGCAGTTTCTGTCTGCACACAGCTATATCTGGATTGACCAGCTGACTGCACGCTCGGTCCCAATTCGACTATTCAGTCAGCGGGAACAGTAGGACAGGACGACCGGATTCTTTGACAGAATTGTGCATAGCGCGGTTCGACATTGTCCTCTTGTATATACTCGATCTGTTCTTTTCGAGTTTGTGATTGCGGCGACCTGAATTGCGCTGGCGCTTGTGCCACTAAGGGCATTTGCCCTTTTGTACAAATCAACCTGCATACCCAAGTTATATTACCTACCTTTCTGACCAAGTACAACGTACTGTAGAATCGATTCACCTCCCGCATGCACTTCTCCAGGAGCGACAGCTCATTTCTGTTCTCGGCGGTCGACAGGCCGGCCGCCACGAGGTCGCCACCGGCGGCCGCCGTCCGGTTAAACGGATGGCCCGGCGACCGCACTTCTGCGCATACCTCTCGCTTCAAATCGTCGTTCGCAACCACGTTGGCAATCGTCCAACTCAGGTTTCCAACCTGTTTCAACACTGACAAAATATTTGACGAACATTGTTTCAACCGCAGGAAGCTAAGCGAGACCGTGACCGTAACCTAAGGCTGTTGTCAAAAGTGGGGATCAAAGTTAACGGACGACTTCTGTCCTGCGAGCGCGTCAAGATTGCTTACACCATGATCGCGACTCGCAAGGCTACAAGCAACCCAGAAGAATATAAGACGACTCTACGTCTGCGAGATTCATATTTGGATATCTCTTCTACATCCGGTGAAAGTGCACAGCTGATATCTTGTTGGTTTCGTCTCATTGCAAAGATAGCTGCCCGACCCTCAGTTCTCCCGCGCGCCAAGCAAGCCACGAAAACGTCACACGAATAGAAAGACATCCCTGCGTAACAAATCCGTTGCCTTCGGCCAGCTAGCTTCAGGAGCTTTCAAACCGTACGTGACGTACCGTGTTGGCGTGGCCAGCAAAGAGGACTATCATCAGCACTTTGACGAGTGGCTCCGGATCCCTCTGCTCGGCTCGAGCCTCAATGAGGTATTGGAGGACGTCCATCCGTTCCGCCTTCCGCTCTTTTCCGTTCCGTTCCGCCAGCCGCTCCGTTACCACAGTCGTTATGATGGCCTCAATCTGATCCCTGCAGACGCGATGCCACGTAAGCAGCGCTTGGAAGATACGTCGGGTACGTACCCGCAATGTGTTCTGAACCACGTGACACGAAATGCGTTTTATTCCCGTTCAAGAGATCCTGGATATCTTTGCAAAACGATAGGATCGTCCAGACGACTATCTTGACTTAACGCTTGTCTGACGTTGTGCCACTGCGTGCCACAGCTGTGCAATGGATCGAATTTGAACGCGTGAGACGGCCTCTGGATCCAAGCATCTACATCGCCTCTGGGCGTCGGAAGAAAAGACAACGTTTTCTCGTTGTCCAGTCCGTTCTATCTCCACTCTCCACTAGTTTTTCTGGTACGATGGAAGCGTTAGCAGACCTTTGAGCGGCGACGAGTGCAGCACTTCAAGAATGCTCATCATACTGTTGAACCTCAGGCAAGAAAAGGTGAAAGAGCAACACAAAAAGCGACCTAGACCCGGTCAAAACCGGCCTCCGCCCCAATCACGAACGGGAGGTCCTCACCTCGCATGTTGGAAACGTCGGCCGAGAGGGCTGACGCACCACGGCACCAGCATGACCGCCGGATTGGTGGCCAAAGTATCGAAATCGAAGTAAAGGTCCCCTAGTTCCGGGAAGCGCGCTTCGACGTCTTCCCCGAAAACGAGCCTGATCATCAGGGACATCACCAGGCGAGAGGACTCGCGGAAGAGGTCGATGACGTCAGCCTGAGCCCAGGATGCGAGGCGGCGGTCCACGTGGCCTCCTAGTGCGGCAACATAAGCGCGGAGCCTGAAACGAACGGAATACAAGCTCGGACAGTGAAAAACAGGGACGAACTTGGTGGATATGACGTGATCGGTAATCAAGAATCGGGAAGAGGGGAACAGTCGCTGATATGATAACGCGGGGAAAGAGAAGGACGAGAAGTGCACTATTTTGAAGCTGCGTCGACCCTTTTTGACTTTTGGGGCAGCCTAGGCAATGCCGACGAACCTAGTCAAAATGTTGAGTGGTCCTCGGGTCTCTGGAAGCAGGATGGAGTGGTCTGGTGAATCGTGCCTGATCATTATACCAGATAACGTAATTTCAATCATTCAGATATATAGAGTTTTTGAGTGAAAGTCCTTGAAGGCACAAGGCCGGGAAGTCTGAACAATCGAAAAATGGGTTTTTGAGCTGGAGTGAGAAGAACGAGCGGGGGAACTCAGCACACATCCCTGCTTGAAAGTTGGGCTGGGCAGCAAATATAACGCAGTCCCTGGCAACTGCGCTGGATAGCCTTGGGATAGAGGTTCATATTACACCGTCTAGCATAGTGGGAAAGTACCACGCGTTCTTGAGCAAGCTGTTCCAGTTTCGAGAAATAAAAAGTTCCGTTCTGGTCGGTTACCGTGTTATCAGGCCCTCCAAAATAGATGCTTTCCACAGAGCAGGATACAACCCAGGCCATTTTAGAGCCCAAACTGAGACAGAATCTGAGAGCTGCGAGCTCATACCCATCAGGACGTGACGAACACAGTGTCATGTACTTCACACCTGAAACATGCGCAGCTCATCTTACAGATCACTTCTTTCTGAACCTGTGAATGTCAATTTCTGGTCTCTTCCGCACCCTTTCAAGCAGAGGGTGCGCCTTACCTTGCGTGCATCCCAAGTCCATGCGCAACGTACTTGCTGTAAGGCGCATGATCCATCACTTTTGTGCCAAACATGTACGGAGGGATCAGGTCCGCAATCGCGTCTGCGAGGTCTAGGTCGTGGTCCCTGGAAGTCGAGCCATGGGCGCCAGCCGCGTTGAAGAACCACCTGAAGAGGTTTGCTACAGATTTTCATGCTGGTTAAGGCTGGTCAGGAGTGGGTTACGTCAAGGTTTTGCTTTCGGCAGACGGTAAAAAGCCTGTTTTTGTGACTGGCTGAATTTCAATAACATCCCTTTATACAGTGTGTATTGCGGATCCAACAGATCCAGTTGCCAAAGAAGGGTTTGAGCTTAATCTATGCTGCCCAAGTCTCCGCTAGACCTCCAGAATATGCTGGCTGACCCTAAATGCCAATCAACTGAAGATGCTCACTGAACCTTTTTGTGTTAAAGTATCCTGATTCTCCCAAGGAGATAGTCACTGGTGTCAGATCTCTCAGACCCCAAACAACCATATGCTGACAGCATGGTGTGTGAACCAAGTTAACACCCAAATATGACTTTCCAGAATTACCACAAGAGATAGATATGTTGGCAGTGAAGCAATGAAAACTGCCCAGAGCAATGATAAACGTCCCTTGCCTCTTATGGCTTCAACTGAGTGTGACCATTGCAGGCTCCGTTCTGGTTGATCGACAACTTCTAGAGCCCAGCTGACAGTCAGATGATCCAAGAGGTGCTTCAATAATCGAAGGGGACCAGAAGGTGCTGGCGATTGTAATCTTTCCTTCAGAGACGCGGCATGACCCTATCTTTAGACTGCATAATGCACGAGTCAGAAATGAGCATTGCAGCTTGCAGGAACGGTAGTCCATAGCTTTTGAACTTCCCTTGCTTGAGGCCGTGCCTCCATGATTACAAGGGCCGCTGAGATCGCTTTCAAATTGAACACACGATAAGTTTTGCAACAAGACCCGTCCTCAAGAACCGTCGAGGACAGGAGGTCGCACAGCAGAGGAATTTTGAGTCAGATTCATATTATTCAGCTGGTATTGTCAAACAAGTCAACTTCTCTACAAGCACTATGCTCAAGTATCCATTAAGAGTAGTGAGGAGCTGACAATCTGCTTGCTGACTCTACAACAAAAGCAATCTTAAGCTCACCTGGTCGCTTGTGGTCCTGTTATGAAGATGAGCCGGCTCTTGAAAGGGAGCAGCAGCGCAAAAGCAGACTTGTGCTTTGAATTCGCGTCCCGCAACACTTTGTCTGGCGCAAATAGGAACCTCAGCGCCGGCCCGAACAAAGGAACGCCGCAGGTGTAAACAGGAACCGCCTGAGGCCTCCTTTCTTTTGGATCCTTCTCGCACCTCCTTGTGCGGCTGAGAATGCCCTGAGCAACAAAGTAGGCGCTTAACACCAGCAAAGCTCCCAGACTGGCCATCATGACCAGCAGGCAACCTGGTGCTGACACTTGCGTCAACAATCCCCAAAAATCCCCCCCAGTTTCGCACGCCTGAGGCAAATAGCCCCGTTTCCCGGGGATAGAAGGCGCCGACGACATTTTTGAAAGGAAAGCTCTACGGAGAGTGGGCAGGGTGTTGGTCCTTGACTTCAAGCAGCAAGAGCTTAAACGGAGGAGGTGCTTGATCATGCTCGCCAAACACGCAGTTTCGCCAACGCTCTGCAGAAACTGATGTTTTTGCGCACTTGTACTAGCTGCAGAAGTCTTGGCTATCCGTAGCCAAGCTGTGTCGCTTTTGGGAAGGCTGTGCGGAAAGCAACAAGCCTCCTGAGCTCAATGCAACGCTGCCTCCTGCAAAGCTGCAATCTACACATGTGCAGTTGGCCCGGCCCTCGCAATGCCTGCCTGGCCCCGGACGCCCTCCGGGGTCCTTTCTGTCCCTCTTGTTTAAAGATCAATTTGATCATGCATGGCGAGTCGCTAGTAAGTACTCCTTTCAGCAGCATCCGGAGCTGCATCATACACATGATCTGCAGTAGAGGCTAGCTAGCTGTTTTGATCACTGTTCCGAATTCATGCGCAGTAAATGCAACGCAGATGCATCATGTGACAGCCTACGTGTTCAAACTTCTGACTGTTCGATCCTCAATTCATGCTGAGATGCAACGCAAATGCATCATGCGGCAGCATTCTTAGGCTGCCGCATGATGCATCTGCGTTGCCTTCAATGCAGGTGCGAGTTTTCCGTACAAGCCTTTCTTCAACACGATATTATCTGCTCGAGGCTCCTCAGTTTAACGATACCGGTACTGGTTGACATGGCCCAGGCCCCAGGCCCCATGGGCCATAGGCGACTGTATTAAGATATTCAACCCCCGGTCACTCCAAAAAAATCCTCGGAGGCTGTCGCATGATGCATCTGCGTTGCACTTACTGCAGGTGCGGGTTTTCCGTACAACTTACAAGCCCAGGAGCCCTTCTTCAACACCATTATTTGAGGTGACGGACTAATTTAGGTATGATAAATCATAAGAGCCGCCGGTATTGTAAGCTGCAACGAAAACTAAAACCTTAACCCAACTATCTACCTGCTCCGCACACGTACCCACCCTGACCCCCAGACTAACCCCACCCGTCCCAGGCTGACGAACTTGCTCATACCTGCCGCTTATAATATTCCTGAATTAGTCCGAGGCTCTGAGCTAGAAAACGCCGTCCGACCGGCCCCATATGCCAACTTAGATTGTTACAACTTTAATCAACAAGTTACACAGGTAACCCCCGTCCGATGTACGTCGCCGTCGAATTGTCCGACCAGGCACGTATGAAAATGGGCGGACCGGCACGTGATCATCTGAGTACATGTGCACCGGCCGCTGACGTACTACCGTACGAGTTTTCAATTCCTAGCTCAGATTCCGCGTCGCGGGCGGCCCCCGCGCTCGTGTGAGTCGCGCACCGCGGGGGCGCGGCAGCCGCGGCCTACGTTTCAGATTTACCAGGTGGAATTTCACCGTAAATTTCTATACTATACTCGAGAGCTCAGTCACATGAATCGATCATTTAGAGCTCGATCAGAGGCTGCTATACACCATGCATCGATCGCGCATCGACTCGGACCCATGTGAGGGCCGCCAAAGTGCGGCCAAACGGCCTGTGTCCAGTCGGAGGAAGGATACACGCTTATCCCCAATGATCGATCACACACAAGGCACAAGATCTCGACGGCTGCATCTAATTCCCGTCCTTACATACGTGGATTCTAGCTTAGTATCAGCCTACGCGTATTAGCTTTCCCGCTTCACTCACTACCTACGACGGTTCAAGTGGGCTGTTTTATTCTCTGCTCTGCTCTACCGAAGATACATACTCTCACTTTGACTCATATTAGTACTCGAAGCATGTGATTAGTGCTTTTAGTGCACTACAGTCTCAGTGGAAGCGTTGAGCGAAACCTCGGACAGCTAAAGCAATCACGTCACGGGTGTTGCGCGTGTGCACAACCAACTCAATGTCGTTCTCATCGTCGATGACGATCTTGAGCCGGTTCGGGTCGTCCCCAAAAAGTTCCACCTGAAAAGAGGACGTCTTCTCTCATATCAGTAGGTCGTTTATAAACCCGAGCAGGGAAGGCCGTCAAAGGACACTAGGTTCAATGCTTATGTTGTCCAGATGTGACGCGCTAGAGCAACTGGGGCGTTCGCACTTGCGGTCTTGACTTTGTAGAAGGATGCACACTATCAGCGTATATCCTCCGCGTCCTTCTTTTGGGCTGTTAAAAAGAGGTTCGTGCTCAACGATATTTTGAAATTTAGCTCCTTAGGATGCTTGAGCGAAAGCAGTAACAAGAGCGAGGTTCGAATCTGCATTTCGCAGAGCAAGACGTGCTTTCAAACACCGTGGAGAGTGTCGCGTTTCGGTAGAAGGCAGAGCTGAAACAGATTTCAGACACCCAATGCAAGCTCGGGTAGTCCATGACTCCGACCCCATCACCTGCTATTGTGACGATCCAAAATGGGCCAGCAGAGGCTCTTGTCGCCTGGCGCAGTACCAGTGTACGCTCACTGCTTCGGTTCCACGCATTTCTCAATTCACGGAGGATTTTGATGAAGGAACTACGATGAGACATCAGCCCTCTTCTCTGCCTTACTAAACAAAGCGCGTAGATCCCTTCAGCTGAACACGACCTTTCTCTCTTGCTTCCGTCCACAACAGTCTCAACCCAAAACGATGCATGAGATTTCCAATCCTAATCTATACGTCCATCCAGGCATGGTTTCCTTTTCTAGGCTCTTCCTGCGGGCTCTTCCCGCAAACCCTGAATTGTTGTGATACCCGGCGCCTCAAGCCAGTCTACACCTCACCCAGTCCTCTTTCAGGTTCCTCCCGCAAACCTCTCAATCCTCGATCTCCTGACGCCTCGAACCAATTCCAAACCAAACTCTGCCCTCGGTCTCCTCTTTCAGGCTCTTTCCAGCAAATCACAAAAACCCCAGAACCCCAGTGCCCTCACCTTGAACGGCGGCGCGTAGGTTCCCTTAACCTCCACAGTCGAAAACGACGCCTTGCTCAGCCCCGGGCGCACCACCTTGATCCGTTTCCGGTTAACGTCCACCACTCGCCGTTCCGCCCCAGCGCCCGTCTCGAACTTGGCGGCCCCACCGTCGAGAATGTTTTTCACCTGGAAACGTAGGATATTGTCGTTCTGCGTCTTGTGCATCCGGAGTATTTGATGATCCAGAACGGCGGATATGGAGGATACGTACTCTTTTCCTTGGAAGTGACCATCCGGCAAGCAGGCTCACGATTCTGCTGCCCGGCTGCAGCTGTGCAGGTTCGGTCTTGCTTAGACCCCGCAAAAAACTTCTAAACAACCGGTCCATTTTCGTTAAGAAACATGGAACAACGATTCAGACTGACAACGATTCTGGCTGTAAACGACGACCAAAACGCCCTACGCAGAGGTTGCAGGCGCTCAAGGCTTGAGGAAGAATGCTCCGTGAGAAACGTAAGCATTTCGCCAATCGTAACACTTCTGCAGAAACAACCCCTGCTCTTCTCGAATTGGTTGGTAGGACAAGACTGTGTGTAGAAATCCTGGGGCGAAATGATCCAAAAAGCGCATAGCAATTGCAAAGTGTTTTACCTCCCGTGCAACTTTGTCTACAAAAACTAAAAAGGGGAGAAAGTCTCACCTCCCGAGCGACTTCCGGGTCCACAGCGATCGGCGCCGTGAGGACGATGACCGGCTCGCCAACCGCGCCGTCGTCTCGGACGGGCGTGTAGCGCGCGGCCAGGCGCGAGCCCACGTCATCAAGCTGCGCTTCGTACACTGGGCCGGTGGCACCTGCGGATCAAGACGGGTTACTGTACAGTATTTCCCCAAGCGTTCGAGGTTTGTGATTTTATATTTGGGGTTAGAAGTTGGAGTAGAGAATTGCGTGGGCTTCGGCAGGGCGGCCAGGCGCGAGCCACGTCGTCGAGCTGCGCTTCGTACCCTGGGCAGGTGGCGCCTGTGGAGCGAGACGAGTTAAACTTCAGGGTTTGCTTTTTAGCATTCAATGCTTGAGACTTGCTGCAGCTTTTAGCATTTGGGGTTAGGACTCGGGTTAGGGAGATCAATGGGCTTGAGGAGCGGGCCATGCAGGCGCTCGCCTACGTAGTCGCATTGCACCTCGTACTGGGCCGGTGGCGCCTGCGGAACGAGACGGGTTCAAGTTCAGGGTTTGCGACACCGTTTAGGGTTTGGACTATGCTGAACCCTAGGAGGTTAGAGACGGAGTTAGAGGTTTGATCAGCGCGCGGCTTAGGTGCGTGCCCATGGTGTCGAGCTGCGCTTCACGCGTTGCACTGGTGGCGCCTGCAGAATGAGTCAGGTTAAGCTCAGGGTTTGCTGACCCAGTATAGAATTAGGGTCTCTGCTGAGGCAAATTCGAAACGGGTTACGGCGATGTACGGGCATGTAACGAGTGGCGAGGCGCGTGTTCACATCCCAAGCTGCGCTTTGTGCATTGGGCCGGTGGCGTCTGCGAGAAGAGACGTCTCACGGGTCAGGATTCGCTGAACCGCTTTGTTGGTTGAAAGTTGAAGCGTTAATAACTTGAGGTTAGAGGTCCGCGTTTGCAGTTCAGGTAGTAGCTCTACGCACAGATCCAACAGCGCCTGCCTGTACACTTCAAAAGTGCACTGAACGTTATGAGAGAGTGCTTCACATTCTTGAATTTCAAAATAACTAGTAAGGAAGAGGGACCAAAAAGCTCGGGTTCACTGAGGTTTGGCTTTGAGGATACGCACAGGCGAGTGTAACGGAATTAGAGCGTCTGCAGGACGCCTTGGATAACATTTACATCTACGATCCGCCTGCACCGTTATAAGAAAGGCCACGCCTGGCAAGACCCTTCGTGCCATACTCATTCATCTTTCCCTTTTTTGTCCGTTTTTACTCTCTTAAGAACCTTTTGTCGCACCTGGGATCGGTGTGAGGTCCTCGTTCGGTTTGGCTCCCGACGCCCGGAACCACTGGATGACGCTCTTTCCCTCCCGCCCCCCACTGTACGTCCCTCTGACCGCGTATGTGCTGGTGTGAAAACCCCGGCCGTCGACTTGAAGCCGTTCGATCTTCGGCTCGGCTGCGCAAAGGCAGAGAAGGTCAGACACAGAGGCTACCTTTTTCTTTGCTCGTCACCGTGGCACTGTTCGATCGGAACTGATCAGGAAGCAATTCGTTGCAATCGTAAGATAGTGGAGGTTTGCAGAACGAAGGAAACGAGGTCGCCAGATACTCAATTTGACAAACCATAGGGCGGACTATGCAAACTCGGAACCACCAAACAGCTTGCGGAAAATCAGAGTGATCAACAATCCACTGAAAGCAGGGTGAGAACCACTTGCCGTAATGCCCAACTTCCGTTCCTAAGTGACTGCAGCGATGCAAAGGTGCCAAGCCCTTTCCCCTCACCAACCCATTCCATTTCATTGCGCCACTCGCCCATCACAGAAAAGGATTGCAAGACCATATGGCGGCTGCTTACCTGCTTTGACGACGTCGGTCACGCACGCGACGGGCGGCGCTGCGCGGCCAAAGACGTCGACGACCGTGCACTCGCACTTGAGGTGGCGGCCGACGTCATCCAGACGCACCTTGTAGCTCACGGAGCGCTGCGCCGGCAGCGGGGAAAAGTGCTCGGGGGAACCGGGGGCGGAGCGAGACCTGAGAAAGGGGTTACGATTTTAGGGTTTGGGATCCAGGGGGTGTTTGTGGGGAGGTAACACCAGGGTTCGGATGGCAGCAGGAAAACGTGCTGCTCCCGGAACCGATCCAAATTGTCAAAGCCCTGGCTCCTTGAGAGGGCGTATCGAAATAGAAGCGGCTATCAGAACGTCTTTACTGTTGCTGGGCAGAACTCACTTGGCCAGAAACAGCTCTTCGGGACACTGGAAGTCGACGAGTACTCGCCGTGGCGGCAGCCGATATATACGCGCAGTCGTACACAGGGACTGTATGCAATCGGGTCGCCTTTCGGCGGCTCACCATTGATACTTGATCTCCTTTTTGAAGCGCCGCCAGAGGTCCTGCTGCTTATCGCCGCCCGGGAGGTCCTCCAGCGCCGTCAGCATCTGGCCCTCCGCCACTTTGCCCGAGATCGTCAAGCGACCCAGACCAGGCAGCTCTGCAGCAATGAAAGAGCATCGGCTTAAGCCGAGAATTGGCCAAAAAACACCCTTCGGATCTCTCGGGCGCAAGCAAGACTGAACTGCAGATAACTCAGATGCCGAAAATGGAGGGAAGAATGGCGAGTCCACATGGTGAGCGCCTTGTGGAAGTGCATAATGTTTAGACTAGAAATCTCAGTGCGCAGGCCACCATTCAACAATCTGTGTGCACTTTGCAGCCTGTGTTGTGAGGACCTGGGATTGCTGCACTTTTGAACTGGATTTCCAGTTAAGAGAACCGACACGTCTTCTCCTCCCTTCAAGTCTTAGGTCAAAATGTAGATCCACCATTTGATGAATCTGAGACTCCTGGGCAAGTTGGCTCCGACCATTTGGCACTTTACCCAAAGCTATGCGCAATCAAGCTACCTTTGCTCAGCCTCGAAACCTACGACTTTCGGGAACTACCTACCCGGATACACCGTCCCCCCGGGCTCTGAGAACACCGTTGTTCCCTCCGTCCCGTCCGTCCTCACGGGGGTATACGAGTAGACAAGCTTCCCTGAGTAGTCCTCCTCCCCCGGTTCGTACATGTTCGACGTGGCCCCCGGAATAGGAACGAGCTTCCCCTTTTCTTGCTCTCTTAGCCATTGCTTCCGACTGGCCCCCTCCAACCCTCCGTGGTACTGAGCGATCCCGACGAAACCGCCCTGACCTGACTCGCGCACTTCGATGGCCAAGACCTCGGGCGGAGCTGCAGAGAGAAAGGGGCAGGCAAATTACGGCTTTGGTTTGCGAACGATTATATGTTCTGGAGGACTGTGTTGGGACTGTGTTGGGGGTTGACTAGCAACGCGCAGTTTGGCAGCAACTTGGATCAGCTTGCTTAGGGAATGACACCGAGCTCGTACAGTTCTCTCCTTCCAACACAACTAAGAGAGACAGAGAGCGCCTACAATTTTCTCGTACTATCAAAATTCACTGTCAATTCACGAGCCTTTTCAAACCACCGAGGGACTTCGGAGTCTTTCAAAGCACAAGATGCTCTCGTTTTCTGTTTCAGCTCAATTCCAGTGAAACCTTCGCTGCTTTCGTTCTGAGGAAAGCTCATCAGACGTGGACGACTTTCAGTACGTTGACATTGCTCAAACTCTACTCCAATTCGTGTCCATAGCACGGAGCCTTCACCAAAGCAGCCGGCTCCGACGACTGTATCACCAGTTTCTTGCATTCGCAGCTCTGTTGGACGCAAGGAGAAGGGGATTTGGTTGGCTGATCGACAACGCGAAAAGGCCTAAACGGAAATCATCACGCCTTGAAACCTCATTTCTGCGTAAGGAGCGACCGAATCTTTTTGAGCTTCCTCAGCCGACTCACCTGGTTCCACTGGCGACGTCGCAAAGGCGTCCAGCGGGGCGCCCTTATTCCCGTCGGCGCGGACCGGCGTCCATTCCAGGATGAGGTAACAGCCTACGTCAGCAAGGCCAGGGGTGTACTTCCTGGCACAAAGCAAGGGAACAAAATGAAGGTCTTCAGGATGTCGAGTTTCCCGGGCAAGTTTTGTTGGTTGTTTGAAAGTCGAGAGGGGTTTGTCCCTTTCCGGACGTAAAGTGGTTTCTCACGAACCGTTCTCAGTAACCGTGACGGACATCTGAGTCGTACTATATCGCACGTTCCTCTACCAGCTCTTTTTGATGGCTGGTCGTGCTCAAGATGGCTGCGTTCTTCATCACGATACGTGTAGCTCTGGGCTCACGCATGCTGAGCTCTAAAGTGAGGCGTCGTCTCAGCGACTTGAGTTTACCTGTTCTCAATAACACTTTGAGAGGCAGGCCAAGACAAAAAGACACCTGTCGGATTGTCGAGCATAACAGCCCGCGTGATCGCGCACTCTCGTTGTCAGCAATCACGATGATGAGATCATGCGAATAAGCTTACCGAGTGTGGGCGATTGGGGTCCAAGACGCGCGCGAGCTTGCTTCCGCTCTGGGGGGGTCCTTGGAGCGATACCACTGCCATTCGCTGGGCCCTTCTTCCCCCCCGAAATACACGGCGCGGGGGTCCAGCTCCTGGTCTTCCACTGGCGTACTCGGGAGGGTTAACTCCAAACCCAGCGGTCCTCCTGAAGGGTTGAGTGTATGGAGTGCGTTTGAACAGTCAATAAAGAAGGACAATTAAGAAGTAACGAACAGTCTATCGATCGGGAAAGTCTATCTCATTACTAGTCCAACGAGATTTAACCTGGTAAACGATACCGATCTAATTGCATCTTTACTGGCTTGAGGTCACCCCTATGGATCGAGCGGCTGGCAAAGGTATGGTGAGGAACCCAGCTCTTCAGATCTCTGATCCAATGTCGACTTCCCAATCCTGCTAACATTGCATATCACGCTGCCATTATTCAAAAGCGAGACTCCCCGCAAGTTCCTGTAAAGAGAAGCAGAGGCTCTGATCCCGACCCTCGTTTTCCCCTGTGCAAACTGGAGCAAAGCTCTCAGCCTTGTACCACCTTCAAGACCTTCTTAACCACTCAGAATAACATAGCGTCTTAGAAGTTGAACATTGTAAGCTCCTGGCTCACCTTGCGTCACGACCTCGGACAATAGGGACACGGGCTCGCCCGTCGCCAGATCCGAACGAACGGGGGTGTACGTAAGCCGCAGCCGGCAGCCAACGTCAGCTTTCCGCAGCCGGATCGCCTCTGCGAAAGTAAGTTGTTGGTTTTAAAGAGGCGATAAACCGACGAGACACGCGCCCTGAAAGCATCATTCGACGTGCCGTCTTGAGCTCGAGCGAGGCTGAGAAATGCGATCCGCGTTTGCACTCAAAAAACCCGCTCGAATGAGGTATCCAGTCCCGTTTCTGAGACGAACAAGTCTCTTTCTCGACGTCCAGTGTTGCTGACGACCGCACCTACACACAAGCGACGTCATGTTTCGACATCACTTTGGGAACGGAAACCATTTTTTCCCCTCAGTTGCTGACGACCGTCTCTTTCCCGTCCTGCTCGACTACACTTCCGAGCCCGGACGCAAGTGACATCACCTATCCCGATCGAACGACGTCACCTTCTAGACTCACCCTTGGTTGCTGACGACCGTCCCTTTCCCGTCCTGCTCTTGGGCCAAAAAATTTCCAGATCGAATGACGTAATCATCAGCCACACCTTGGTTGCTGACGACCGTCTCCTTTCCGTCCTGCCCTTCCGGGTCCAGACCGAAACTCACAATGACAAATGACACGTCGCTTTTAGCCTCACCTTGGTTGCTGACGACCGTCTCCTGCCCGTCCTGCTCCACCCGGGTCCACTCGGCCACGCTGGTTCCCATAGCGCCCCCCCGATACGTCGCCTCAAAAGATAAAATCTCCCCTTCGACGGCTTCCCCCCGAAACACCAGCTTCTCGCACTGCGGCGGACCTGCAAGGAGCGCGACAATGACGTCACTCTTCTGGCTTCCTACCGGAACCTAATTGCTGGTGCCCAGAGCGCCTCCCGGATACGACGTCTCAAGAGATAAGATCTCCCCTTCGACGGCTTCCCCCCGAACCACCAGCTTCTCGCACTGCGGCGGGCCTGGAAGGACGGAGACAATGACGTCAGCTTTCGGCCCCTTAACGTCGCAATAAACGATGAAATTTTCACTTCGACGGCCTCCTCCCGGTTCGACGGCTCCTCGCACTGCGGTGGGCCCGGAAGGGGAGAGATGGTAACGTTGGCTTCCGGCTTGCGGATCAGAATCCGCCCTTCGACGCGACGGGGACTCGAGAACCGGGCTCCTTCGCTTATTGAGATACTTTTCAGACTTGCTTGCACAAACCGACGATTTGGAAAAGGGGTCGCCTGCAACTGACGGGTTTTTGAGAGCTATAAGGAGAAGAAGGTATTGCTCTTTGCGGATGTGCCCCCTCGTGCATGCAGGACCAACCTTTGGCATAAACAACAGTTTCCTGCTTCAAGCGCTTTCTCCACCTTTCCATGAGTACGCAAAAGTCACTTAAATATAGCTCTATACCCATTGCTTTCATCTGTGGGATCGATGCGTTCGGATTCTGGTTCAATTGCTGGGGCCTTGCCCGTCCTACCGAACCGACGTCTCATAAGTCTCGAACCAGAACGCACCCCTGATAGTGTCTCATTGCAGATTTCAATGGCGACCGCTCTGTAGCGTCTCAATACAAGCCTCCAAAAGAAGGGCACGCAGATTCCAGAACTGGACGCAGATTCAGACCTCTCTTTCTGAAGGAACTATCTGCGATCCTAAAAAGAAAGCGACCTTCAACAATTTCCAGATTCAGGATCGTCATAGGACTCAAGGGTTTGCTTCTCACAAGCCAAGATCGGCCCTCTCAACGGCGAAAAGAGGGTCTCCCCCTCCACTCCGTCGCTTCGGACCGGCGTACACTCGACGTTGATCATCGCGCCGACGTCGGACGTCCGAACTGTGTAAACCGGTCCCGTCACGCCCTCAATCTCCCCTTGTTGCCCGTCAGATGTTAGCTGCGATGATTGGACGGAAAGTATTCACACCCGCTCCGCGAAGCTTTGCAGCTTGGTGTAGCTTTCGGCTCGACGACTTCTGGAAATCCCTTGGATTCAACTACATATACGTCGAGCAAAGCCTTCGACTAAAATTATCCGGAGGGGCCTATGGAGCACAGGCAAAACCTGAATTTCTGTCTTTTCAATGCAGCTATGGGCCCTAACCCACCAGATCAAACTAATTGCTTTACTGTTTGATTGTAGCCCTCAGACAGAAATGAGGATGAGAAAACTTCTAACAGGGGCCAACGGTTAAAATCTGAGTGAACGCTTACTAAGTGCCAACGGTAGCCTGACGCGCCCTCCATCCCGCCAACGTAATCTTTCTCGACGCGCAGCTCGGCCCCTTCGGTGGTGCTTCCCTCGATTCGCAGATTCGACACAGAGGGCAAGCCTGGTAATAGAAAAGGACACTTTACTTTCTCTGGCGTGGCGTTACTTCGAAAAGGTCTCTCGTATGTTTGCTTACATGGATGTTAGCTGCCTTGCTGTCTGTAGTGCCCTCCTTGCTTCCTCATTCTCAAGCCAGTGCAGATGAGACTGACGGCCATTGTATCCGAGTCGCACAATGTAAGGCTTAGACGCTCTCGTATCCTGCACAATCAAAGACACTAGCACCTCGTGCGATGCAGCTTTATTGACAGTAGTATCTCTTCGACTGGTCAATCAGTCGCACGAAACTCGTATACCATAAGCAACGTCAAAAGATGCTATCCCTTTGCCAATGAAATTGCTCGAATATCACCCTCTGCCATACACCATTCGCTCAGATCAGGCCAAATGCCAGAGTTTGCAGACTTTTGCAACAGGTCCAAAAGCAAAGCCAGTCCCACAAAGCATCAACAGGCAGCCGCAGTCACCATAGAACTTTCTCGCATAACTAACGCGTCCTCCCACAATTTTGGAAAACCTGCTCCTCTCTTCCACGAAGATACAAGGGACAATATGACGTAGGAAAGGCAACTTTGTAGCAGTTTCCTTACCTCCCTCAACCTTCTCAGCGTTGAAGTGTCGCTGCATCTCGCCCCGGCCGCCGTCTCTCCGAATGGGAGTGCACTGGAAAGACACATGTCTCCCCACGTCTTCTGGGCGGACCGTGTACTCCAGTGCGCCTTGTGAGCCCGGTATCAAAGTTCCGGAGTCGCTCCCGTCCTGCAATCACGACATTTCGGCAAGCTTAACTATGGTTGGTTGAGGCTGCCCAAGGCTCCCTAACCAGACGTAAAAGCCTACTTCTGAAAAGATAGGACCTGAGCTGACCCTGACCAAGAACTAGTACGCAACGTTGCTTTCTGCAAGTCACGAGCAGGTTTCAGGGCTTAACTAGGATTGGCCTTTAACCCGCGGGTCAGTCGCGAACCGGAACCTCACAATGACAGGCGCCTAAGCGGTCCAACAAGCTTTCATAGAGTCGAGTTACTTCGTCAAATCTCCCCGCAATTGAGATGCTGCTGATTCAAGCCGTCATGTTTCAGTGTGAATCTTGCAACCTTAAACCTGCTCTCTCCTCGTTCAATTGGAACGCCTGCTCCCGCTTATATTGGGAACTTACCTTTGTCAACCTCTGCTTGATGGTATTTGAGGCCGCAAAACGGGATTTCATGGGATGTGAAAGGAATCCGAAACCAAAGCGAGACTGTTTTGATCCTTCATACGAAAAGCACTTCAGCTTGTGCAAGGAACCCTTTTTCTGGTCGAAAAGAAAAAAGTCAATTGGCCAGGCTAAAGTGATGCTAGACTCTGAAAGGAACCGAAGCGGCTTCATATTCGGGAGCAATTGCCTTCCCAACAAGAGAATAGTAGCGCCTACTAAAACTCCTCACACTGTCAGAGCTGCGGACTGCGGACGTGGTCACTTGTTCGGAGGGCTCACTTTATGACTGTACCAGGCAAACTCGCTCGCTCCCTCGTGTCCCCCGTCGTACTTGTAGGACGCCGTCAGCTTCTCGCCCTCCTTGACCGTTCCGCTCACGGTCACGGCGCGCACGACTGGTGGCAGCACTGCGTGTGTATACGTGTATCAGTTTCATACTTAAATGCTAGAATCGGGTTGTGAATGCTCTAGCGTCGCGCTCGAAACTTCAAGGTTTCGGGCTTTGGTTGAGCACATGACACAACTCGATACGTACAGGATTCAAAGATACGAAGCTGCGGTGGTTTCTTAATCTCAGGAAGCTGAGCTTTCGAACGTCGCGCCTTGACCCCCCGCTGGCAGAATCGCATCTGCCCTGTATCAATGCAAGCTTCTCTTCCAACGTGACATCGAGTGGCTTGCCCCTTATCACGGCAGAGGAGTCAAAAGGGTTGTGCGGTTCGTCGAACAATCGCCCAACAGTGGCACCAGCGTTGATTCAACATCCACATCTATGTGTGTCTAACTTCCATCAACAGCACAACCGTACCATGACACGCCAGCTTTCCGCCTCTCCAAAGTCGCACCGTGATCACAGAATGGCATAAAAGGCACAAATCTCCTACACCACCGACTGTCCAATTGTTGAGAGAGAAACACCAGAATCACTAGATTGTCTATATCCCGTGTTTCACAAAGTTTTGCTCCTCACTTTCAACCGCATCGTTGGTGCAAGCATACGTCGAGCTCCCCGCCTCGTCAGGCCGCCGCGGTGTCACCTTAGCGACCAGGAAGCGACCCACCGCTTCAGGGGGGACCACGAACGACTGCGCGTGGGCCAAAAAGCATTGAAGTCAGAGTTGGTGCAACGGGCCGATTGCCGCAAGCAATAAAGCGGGGGAGAAGCGGGGGCGGCACGCCATCCTTTGTAAGTGAAAGGAGGAGGGCGGTGCATCAGGTGGGCAAAAGAAACACTGCGTTTGGGTTCAAAGCAATCCAACAATGTACGGGCGAAGGGAAAGCCGCCTAGTAATTTTAAGCTTTTCGTCCGCATGCATCTGAAATAGCATAGATGCGAACCTCCGGACATGTTCGCTGTTGCGTAGCCCACGTCCTCGTCAAAACATTATCTCCAGAAGAAGCAAGCACCCATTAAGGCGAACAGGCGAAAGAAAGAAATGACGTGAACAATGGATAAGTGCAGTGTGAGGGGACAAAAAGACGAGTCCAGAGACTTGTCTAGGGATTTAATTAGGAATCGCGCTCTTGAGGAGCGTTTGCTTTAAAGACCTCCAGGTGCTCCTAGGAGCCTCACCTTCTCTGTGGTCCCCTCGCTGAAGCTGGTCCAACCCATGCCCGCCTCCTCCACTTCCGTGCTGGGCACTCTGGCCTCTTTGGCTCCAAACCACTGGACCGTCGTCAGGCTCTCGTCAGCGTGCACGTACGTCGCCTCCAGACGCACCGCGCGGGTCTCCATGACGTCACCCACGATTGAGAGCTTCTTAACGTGCGGCGGGGCTGCAGCAAGCGGGAACGAGGGCTTTCATATAAATAGGGCTTTCACCACGACGACAAGCAAACCGCATCCGCGTCTTTTGCGTTCAGCTGTGAAATTTCCGACTCAGGTGCCCGTTAGAAAGAACCCTAGCTTGCACCACGGCAAGTATAAGTTGTGCTTCAAAAAGGAGCTCTTTCCCGCTCAACGCCTCAATTGGGAAATCCTGTCACTAGCAGGGTTTGATGGGGTGGAAAAATGGGTCGACTTTTCCCTCCCCAACTCTACTACGTGTCAATGCTCAAGACACGAGTTACAGCAACGGCCAAAAGGACAGCGCAGTCCACATATCCCCGACTTCCGAACGGATGGACAAACGAAGATCAAAACGGCAGTATCAGTAGCTAGACAAAACGAGCAGCTTGCTGAGAAGGACACAACGCCAGAAAGCATCTGCTATGCTGTCGTTGCTAATGAGCTCCCACAATTATCCAATTTTTTGCAAGACAAGTACCTTGCATGACGGGCCCTGTGGTGGCTGTCCGCGCTTCGCCAGCTGTCCCTGCTATGTTGACTGGAATATACTTAAAGTGAATACGGGCGCCCAAGTCGGCCTGGATTAGAACGTACTCGAGGCCGTCGTTGGGTTCTGTCGCCAACTCGAGCTCACTGCAAAGAGTTCAGATTACAGCTTTAGGGGCTTGATAGATACGAAGGTGGCTGTGCCACTATCTCTCTTGAAGCGTACTTCAAAGTGGACTCTTGCCACATCAGACGGCCCGGGTTAGTACGCAATAGAGACGGTCGTTTGTTGGTGTTGCTGGCTTAAGCTGCCTGCGAAGTTGAACGAACAAGCGGTTCGATGGTTTACAATGGGGTGCATGTAGGAAGTCCCGAGCGTCAGGATATGCTGAATGTCAATGAACATTGACCGGTAGAGAGTATCAGCAATCGTAAGACGCAGTGAGTGACGTCATTGCACCAGAAAAACGCTACACAGGCTGATAGGAAGACGGTGAAGAAATGTCTGCTGAAGCATCGCGTTACTTTCGTCGTGTATCAATTCAAGCGGCCATTAGTCGAAGACACGCCACTGGCATGGTGCGCAAAAGCTTAAGCACTTTCCAGAACGTTGCCGCAGGAACAAACGTCACCCGATTGAGCACAGCTGAGAGGGCTGCGCACTACAGAAAACGGCGACCTCACAAGGTCATGAGGCGCTCACCTCGTTCCCTCGCGCTCCCTGAGCCACTCATAACGGCTCGGGCCCTCTTTTCCCCCAACGTAGGTTCCCTTTCCTTTTAGAGTTCTGTTCACCACGGGCTTCCCCACGATCTCGACGTCTCCCACTGCGGGAGGCACTGCACGAGGGAGCGATGAAAGAAGTATTGAGCGTTGAGCCCCGAAACGTCAGTGTCCCGTTCTGCAAACGGAGAATGGGCTTAGAGCTTCCTACTCCAGGTTGAAGGTTCAGCGATCGCAAATAAACCTCTCTTGCTTTCGCAACGGTATCCATACCCAAGCAACCAAAACGTATCCTCTCCTCCCGAGTGACGAATAGTCAAAACTTGCTTTGTGAGTCGTCGTCCCTCCCATCCACACATAATAGTCCCTCCTCTTTTGGCTGGTGAGTCCCCTCTCTCAAAATGCAGCTCAAACAGTATCATGCGACAGCAGCTGTCCATTTCAGTAGTTAAGATGAAGTACGCCTTCCTCCTTTCTGCTCCATTGACTATTTCAAGACCGAAAGGTCCCAAAATAAAACCGTATCCAATCTTAGCACAGGGATCCCACACAACCCACCTGCTTGCACGACCTCGGTCTCCGCACACTGCGCCTCCCCAACGGCTCCTGCCTCGGACAAGGGCTGATAGTGAAACTGCAGCTTGGAGCCCACGTCAGATGACGTCACCTCGTACTCCGTCTGGTCCGCTCCCTCGATGACGGTCGTTTCTCCAGACGGGGATGTCCGTCGCCAGCTGTCCAAAGAATGATTAGAATGAGTAGATGAGTTTTTTGAGTAGATGATTTTCGCGTCACCGAAAAGGTGTGCGACTTGTACGGCATCTTAACTCTCCACATGAAACGTGAGAAAAGAAAGTGCGAGTATTAGCCGGAAACGGTGTGGACCCGCGTGTATGCGGAACGGAGGGGGAAGTCTGTAGACCCCGCAGTCTGGATGAAGACGCCAAACTTAACGGGCCGGCCAAAATGCAATACCCAGCGAGCAACTAGAGATGTCGGCTGCCAAAGGTCATCGGGTGTGTTCTGCCCAAACCTCTCAATAACATGAAGCCCCAGCACTACAAAGGCTTTTTGACAACCGAGTGAAAGAAAGGCCCGTAGTGAATTGCGCTATCACTATAAAGAACAACAAATCTTGGGGAAAGGAGGAAAGAAGCAGTGTAACAACAGATGTGGCTCTTGAAGACCTAGGTCCTGCGACGCAACCCCCGTTTCTCGGTCACGTGACTGATTTCCCGAAATCGCGACCATGCAGACGGTAAGAATGCCAAAATCAGGGACTGGAAAGAATTGGGCACCCACCTGACACGGCTTCTGCCGGGCTTGGCCCCACACCAAGCCACGCTAACACTGCCCACTAGACGGCCCATTTCCATGGCCTCACCGCTGACGCGAATGCTCTGGATCTTCGGGACTCGGCCACCTGGCAACGGACGCGGACACAATATATCGTCACAATTGATGCATCGACCAGGCAAAGGGGAACACAGGAAAAGGGATGGCCGAAAGAGAAAAGAAAGACAATGAGGCTCCGTCTCTGCTCCCGGAGTAAACGGTCAGAAAAAAGGTGAAAGATGGGTGCTTCCGTTCCTCGCAAGTTTTGTAACTCTGCCCTCTGCTCTAGCACCAAAAAGGTCAAATATATTGCCTTCAATCGCCGCAAACTTTGTATTTCTTGCGAAGGAGCAAACGCAGAGCGGATAAGTGACGCACTTTCCGAGTCCTGTTCCGTCAGGTTTGGCCGTTTTGAAGTGCTTGCCTCATTTCTCGTCTTTGATAGGTATTCGGGTGCTCACCAGCAACGACCTCCCGCGAGATCACGAAAACCGGTGGATACTCGGTGCCTTGGAACACGGGGGTGCATTCCACCTTCAAGCAGAGTCCCACATCTACCGCCTGCGGCTCGTAAACCTGGAGATTGACAGTAGAAGCTGTCAGCGAGCGCGTGGTTATTTCCATTGAGTCGGGGGAGCGGGTTGGGAGTAGGAAGCCTGCTTAATGAGGGACACGGCTAGCCTTTTGCTGATTTATGAATGATTCTAAGGCACGACGTCTTCTTGTCGACAAACCTCTCTATCTGTCTCTTGATACAGAATCACGACGTCCTTGGGCAGACCAGCAGGCAAGTTCTGCTTACGAAGCAAGCTTCTGAGCATTCAATTCCAGAGGCGTCGCAAACGAGTTCATGCGTCTGCTCCTATTTAGCAGGATAGCGCAAGCGCCTTCTCAAGAACCGTCGTTTAGCCCTCTTGGGGGACACACCAGAAGCCGGTGCAGTCACCAGAGGTACTTACCGTCGAGGTGACGTCAGCAATCGACCTGAAGGCGAAACCGTGCCTCGGTCCCCGGTACCACCGGTACTTGAGAACGAGGTCCTCCTCTGTCTCCGACTCGCTGGCGAAAGCAAAATCGCAGTGGCAGAGCTCGCCCTCCTTAGGCTGGTCGATAACGAACTTGGTGACGTGGCAGTGGGGGGGCGCGTGCTGGGAATGCTGGCTGGTTAGAAAGGCTGCCGTAGATTCTGCAAAAGGCGTCAAGCGACCACATGAGAGACGTGCTTTTGCTCTCGGGAAACTGAGAAAGAAGAGACTCTTACCAGGATCGACGATGTGTCAAATTCAGGATTGTGCTGAAAGAATTTGAGGGATGGTAAAGACGGATATCACGAGAATGGAAATATAAAGTGCACAAAAGAGCCCCCTAGCACTGCCTCGGGGCAACTGCCGTCACTTTACTTGATAGATAAGCCCAAAAGGGACCGCAAACGCGATAGTAACTTATCTCCAGCTCTTTTTGGCGGCAACATCGTGGCCATAGATCAAGAGGGAAACGAGCACACCGTTCAACAGGCCTGACAACGGCGTCAGACTGATCGACTCACCTTGGACATGTTCAGGCCGTAGATTGGAAGAGGCGCCTTCTGTCCCTAACTCTGCGAAATGGAACCTTTTGTGGTCAGCCCCATTCAAAGAATCTCCTCGTGCAGAGCACTAGCAACAGCTTCATTGCCTGTGGTTGGATTCCTCTGTTGCAGTCTGGTGAAACCTTGCCTCCGACTTGTACAAGACTCTCACTCAGGCCTTCGATTGAGGACCCCTTAGCAGCAGTGCCAGTCTATGCTCTATTCATGTAGAAGCTCAAAGGTCCAATCTTTCCTTTGTCTGCACAAGTTGAAGACTCACCGATTCGTAAGGACTATCTTTAGGAATCGCAGAAAGAATCATACGCGCCCTCGAAACCCTTTTTGGCACACGCCATCAGCTTCGAACCCTTACAAGATTGTACAAAAAGACGCCTTGAACACTAAAGGTGCGAGCCATTCAGCATGCATGATTGATACTGCTGATTCAGATCTTTCAACCTGATCGACAACCGCCAAGTGTTGACAATTTCAATGTACGCGGAATCAATATCATAAAAAGGAGGCCGCACTTGCTAGCCGGACAAAAAGCTGCCCCACCTGCCGAGTCGTGCTCCTCTGCCACGTCCCATCCTGCCCTTAGGCAGGGAATGGTGTGCGGTGGCAGTTCCAAAGCGCGCCGGTGCTCCTCCTCCGTGACAGCTGTCGGAAAAACGAAAATCCTCAGAGAAGGCGTCAATTTGCCAAAGATACTAAGTCTGAGGGAAGATTCATCAGACGGCTCAAACTCGTTCGTGAGAATTGCCTTCGGCGATTCTGGTTTGATGCGGGGGCGATCTGGTCGCTTGAGGTAGGACCGGTTCTCCAACGCCCTCTTCGAAGCAAACACAAACCATCTGTGTCCTGCACTGACAAGTTGCTGACAACAAAGCCCCTGCTCCAGCAATTGAGACGCTGAGTGGTAGACGTGGTAATCGCCCTGGCTCTAGTGCACAACCCAATTTGAGAGTCAATGTCAAGAGTAGTCTCCTTGGGCCAGCGAATTCACAAGTGGATCTTGCAAGAAGAGCACGTCTGTCCTACCAACATCCCGTTGGTAGAACCCAATGTCTCGGGAGGATCCGGCCAACATACCGTTGCTCGGTTCCTTCCAGAAAGCAAAGCAAACCGTGCTCTGATTTAGCGACAACCTCCCGGCATCAGAGCGAAGGGCAAACATGCGGTTTCGAACCTTCGCCGTCCAGCTTCCGGAGCGTCGGCCCCGCCAAGATGATGGCAATGGCCCTCGCGTGCGGCCGGCTTGCAAACTCGTTCCCGTCCAATCGAAGCGCCTGCAGCGGAGAAGCAGACACGAAGTGAGCGGAAACAGAGACGGATGGCGGTGCTTGAAAAGCGGGTTGCGCTGCAAAAGCCTTGACGGGAGTTTGCTCCGAGGCATACTAGTACGACTGGACTTTGCACCGGCGAGGCGGATTGCCGACCCAAACCGTCGGTGGCTTCATCAAACTGACAGGGTGCTACAGAAGTCCACTGATCGACGTGGTTATTTTTGCTACCTGCTATGACTGGCACGAGGGTGCACGTTCTATCGTCGGTCACATTGCCAACGCAGTCACTTAAATCAACAACTAGTCCTATGGGGATCGTTGCAGATTGAAGTATCCATTATGCAGAAGAAGTAAGTGTGTAGCTAAAAGTTAGAACGCTGGATGTCTGATGCATATGTGTGACTCTCAGAAGTGATGCGCACCTCTATGGCTGGAAGGTGGGGCAGGTCTCGAAGGCTGGTGATGCGATTGTTGCTTGCCGCCAAAACCTGAATAACAGGAGGCGGAGGCGGCTCTGTTCGAGAGGCCGAACAGAGTATATTTACTGAAATGTCAAGCCCCCAGCGAGACCAACTGCACATTGATCTGTGGCAGCGTATGGCGTCGAAGTCGGGCAAACGTCAACCCATGGTCTCCACCCACGCGACCGTGCCTCTTAACGTTCAACGGGGGAAACTCGAAGAGGGCGGGGCGACAAAGACGGTGTTCTAAGTCAGGGGCGCGCAAGAAAGTGTGGGGCCAAAACACTTTTTTGGTGAAGATCTTACGCGTCTGATAGTCCACTTAAGTTGGACTTAGTGAAGCCAGGTCCCAATATCCTTCGACTTGGCAATATGAGACACCGTCGAGGAAGTTCAAATGCTTACGACTCCGGACTGAAAGAAGATACTGAAATCGTAGAATGCCAAATTTCGGTTGCAGGAGGCTGCTCGTGAATACAGTGACGAAACTCACTAGCCATGCATTTGATGTTCTTCATTCCTAGTGAACCTTATCAACGCGACACGAAAGAAGCGAGTTCGAGCGCTTTCGCCTGCCTAATGATAGCGAGCTGCGATTGACATGCAAAACGTGAAGAAAGCGGGTTCTTGAATGTTGCACTTGCCTCGAGTCTTGGCAAGCTGTGCATGGCAAGGGACGTGATGGCGTTGCCCGACACCGACAGGAACTGCAGATGAGCAAACCCACTCAGCTTCCGCTCTGAAGAACTCGAGCCCAGCGGAACTCGACTTACAGTGGAACAAGGGAAAGAGGCTTTCATGGTTCTCGAGACGCCTGAAGGCAGACTGGACCCACGAGATACATCATAGCCCCCTCAGAGATTGTGATCGACAGGCGGGGTTTGCCAACTCTATATCATAAGAAGCGCTGACTCCCGGCGCCGAACTGCTACAATCCGCGTCTTATCCTCCAAAAAAAGACGGCAAGCGGGGCAGTCCGTTACGACGCGTTCCTCGACCAACTTACCTCCAAGTTTGGAAGCTGGGGCAGGCTGGTCAGAGACTGGAGCTGGTTGCCCGCCAGAAAAAGTTGCTGCAAGGCAAGAGGGATCGATGGCGACAAAACGTGCGCCGATTCACGCCCCTCGACGTGTGTATTTCAGTGTCTCTGGTCCTGGAAAGACAGCGAGCACTGCGGGAAGGACACATCTAGACAAAACAGGATTTAGACAATCTCTCCTCGCAATCCGCACGTACGAACGACGGTTGATGCAACGACAAATTCACTTAAGAGCGGCCCGGCAACGGTGATGTATCCACCCACCTGTAGGGACTGCAATTGTTGCAGCTGTGGCAGGCAGCTGTCGGAGAGCTCGTTGAAGCTGGCATCCAGTATCTGCAGTTTCAAACCAAGGGAGCTTCGTTAAGGTCCAGCTCGGGAATGTCGCCGAACACAAGGGTCGGATTCCGCACGCAGCACAAGGAGAGCCCCAGTGTAGGCGTCGCCGGATGCAGACCGAGTGTTCGAAACGACGAGATGGAAATTGATTGTTACGTCTCGTGCTCCAGAACGTAAATGTTTCTTCTGATTGATGCCCCTGGCGCCTCACAGTCTCCAGATGTAACTCGGTACCTTCAAACCATCTCCGCTTTGTTGGGAAAGCTTTTCCAAGTTCCTCCGGTCATCGTGCCCGTTTTAAGCCCTCATCTTTGATAAAGACTATTTCTCCGAGTACGAAGGGGAGATAGAGCCACGCGTTCCTCTCACCTTCAGATTCTTGAGAACCTCGATCCCCTCGAGCGACTGCAGCCTGTTGTGACGCAGATAGACGAACTGGCAAAGGAACGATGAGTTTGTCAGGCTTGCCTTCAAGTTCCGGTCTCGGCTGGCTCTTCCATTAATGACTCTGAACCAGTAGCACAGCTGACTTGAAAGATACTCGGTGAAAGAGAAAGAACGATGTGCAAAGACCGAGGCCACCAAGACCGACAAGACAAAAAAACCAGTCCGGTGAAGAGATAAGGACATGGCTGATATGTGTAACATCGCTCTGATGTTGCATACCTCAATACGCTTGGAGACGCCAATCAAAGCAGGTCGCAGGGCCTTCAGATCCTGGGCTCTCAGGTCAAGTTTCTGCAAAACTTCTGGACCCACTTCAGCATGTCGTTGTTGATAAATACGGTTGGTTGCATCTTGGGGGAATATTCATCACAGTTTGGAGTTGGTCTAAGTCGGCTGGTCCCCCTAATTGCCTGGGTGAACGTAACGAGTTGGCTTTTCGGTATTAACGAATCCTTGAACGACCTGGGATTCTTTTCTTGGACGTTCCGAGCGTCGGCAATCATTTCCTGACTCGTCCTCGGCACGATGAGTTGCGCAGCTTCGGAACTTTTTCAAAGGCGTCAACAGGCTATCCTTATTCCACTACGAACAAGCTACGAGATCTCTGCAAGCTGGGAACCTCGAAGTAAACCGTTCACCATCCATATCCGACTCTGCAGTATGAAACGTCACCACCCATCTTAGTCAGATTGAGCAGCATATTCATCCACTCACGAAGTCGCTCTCCGCACTCCCTTCCCCGGACATCCGCCGCTCCCCCGCAGCACTCGACGGCCGCCGCTCGACCTGCGCATCCCCTTCTCCGCTTGACCGCCTGCCAGCAGGGATGCTTGCGACTCTTGGCAGCTGAACAGGCGTCGGTGCCACTGGCGTTTTCGGACGGCGAGTCTGGGGACCGGCGTCCGATTTTGTGAGGGGCCTCCTGGTGGGGGTGTTTTCGCGTCTGGAACCTGAAGGGAATTGCAGGGGCTTTATCATAAGATTTCAAGTATGCATTCTGTTGCAAGCTTGGGGGGATCAGATATCAAGCAGCTGGTGGACTCATTCAAGCGTCATACAGTCTAATCAAAAGACAGTGGTCGGGCAACAGTATCAACATTGGCTCTTTGGTACCCTCTGGACAGATTAAGCTTGGGATAGAGGACTCGCTCACTGGACCTGCTCGCCTGCTTTATCAATGGCATATATTGACATCAGAACATCTGGATTAAGCTGGAAACAGGCAAGGGAGAAGGCTCAAGAGTTTTCACCTCCCAAAAGTACTGCTGTCCAGGAACAATACATTTTCACTTTCTTGAGGTGCTCTCAAAATTTTGATGCAGGCAGTCACTGATAGTTCAAGACAAAGAGTGCCACCCTTAACCCATTGCGCCAGAGACAAGTGGGATGTCCTCAATAAGACTCATGCGGCAGGAAACTGAGGAGGCGTCAGCCATGCTGGTACTCCCCGTGTGCTGAATAAGTGACGGTGGCTGTTATGAGACTGTCTTTCCAGAGTTGAGAGGGGCCGCACAAAACGGTATCCTGGTGAAGTTCAGAAATGTCCTTGGGTCTCCTCATGCACCATCTTTCATGATACTTTTAGACCATTTTCAGTTGATTGATCTCAGTTGTGAAGTAGACACACTGCTGAGTTGACACTCTCATTTATGGGGGCGAGATGGACTCTTGTTGCCACCAAGGCTTCTGAGGTATTACAAGCTCTGAAAGAAGCCCAGTTCTCCTCGTTACGTAGCGTCTCTTCGATCATCAGCTTGACTTGACGTTTTGATGTTTGCACCGCCTGGTGAAGGCCATTGGCTTGTCCACAAGTATGCTGAAATGTTTCAACGCTGTTCCTTGCATTGGTTCCTCTAAAGACCTTGATGTTTGCACATATGGAGCCAAGCTTCACACTACCTTGTACCTGTGACTCTACCCACACAAAGCGATCTGAGTGTCCCAACTATGCCTGGAAGGTGCATTTCATGGCGCCAACCTCTCTGATATAACTTGGACACAAAAAGTATAAAGGACAACGCCACTAGACCAACTGCGTAGCCGATGACCAGAACGCGACATTCTTCTACTCAACATATTCTCACATTGTTGCGACACATACCTTGCAAGGCACTGCCAGAGCTCTTTCCAACTCCGGCGGCTCCATCGAGGCTAGAAGACAGGCTCTTCGCCCCAGCCTTTGCACGAGTCTGCGCCTCGATGCTGGTGTTGACATTGACTTCGGCCATAAACGCTGTCCTTATGTTTTTAATGGGAGAAGGCAAAAGAGAAGGGCCTGTGCGCTCCCCTTCCTCGTCTAAGCTTGTTCTAAGACCAGGCCGTTGAAGCTTTGCTGGGGGAGCAGGAATTCGTGAGGGGGACGGGAGAGCTGCCGATGCACTGGCATTTTGCCCGGTGTGCGCCATTCATACGGTGTAGAGCAAAGCCCAGCCGTCATGCACTTGGTGGGGAAGATTCACATGCGGGCTCTGTGAAGATCTGAGGAAATTCACCGAATATCAGTTGGCATAAAGTTCTGGCAATTTCGGGCTTGAAAGCAACCTGCACATTCGCATTGGCGTGGCGCTTCAACATTGGACGTGCATTGTTTATTTTCTCCTAGCGAGCTCCACCACCACTCTCTCAGGCCCCCTTTCCAAAATCAGGATTTCATAAACCGGAGCAGCACTGGCAGGCAGGCAGGCGCCACCTCCTGATGCAATGACGGGCGAGGCAGGAAGGATCTCCACACAATGCCATTCAGCGGCCAGCTGGTCCGTTAAAATGTTACATTGGAGCTAGAGCCTGAGGAGCTTCGAAAGGTCGTAAGAAATTAAATTAGCAGGTGGCCAAACCAAAATCTTGGTTCTTCAAAAGGCATATCAGGGGTCACTATAGAGCCAGTGTAGGTAATTGTTCTTCCACGAGAATAGGTACTTTGTTCTTGTCTTGCCCGATTGTAGCTGCGACGATAGCATATACTACTTCGCGCAAACGAACGAAAACGAGGCAGCAATTATCTTCATTTTACCTCAGGCTATGATATAGCTCAGAGTCAGTGTCGAGCTGAGGCTGACTCAGACTGCTTTGAACAGAGCTTGGATTGAACTTGGAACTGGTCACCAGGCAACCAAAGTTCGGCTTGGTTCAGATCTGTTACAGCACATCTCCTCTTGCCTGTCCAGAGCGTCGCTTCTCTGTCCGTTGCTTCGAAAATCGGCCTTTGTTGAAGCGCGTTGTGGCTTGTTTTCTTGGGGTCTCCTGCTGCAACAATGTCTTGGCAATCGTATGTGGACGACCACCTGCTGTGCCAACTTCCATCAGGGAACCAGCTCCGGCATGCGGCAATCTATGGGCAAGATGGGAGCCTCTGGGCGGAAAGCGCAGAATTTCCAAAAGTAAGCAGACGTTGTGACGTCCATCTGCTCAACCATAGATTCAGCTAAGATGACAAAAATTTCAAACATGGACTTTTTGAATCATGTGATGTTTTCCAGGGTTCCATCGTTCCATCAATCCTTCACCGGATGTCACGCCTTATCTGCTGGCGACTGACCAAAGCCTGTTAGGGACCATCTGGATATCCAAGAGTCGGTGTAAGATGGCTTCCTTGTTTTTGCAGATCCTCCCTGAGGAGATCGAAAAGATTGTGGCTGGATTCGCAGACCCCAATCTTCTTGGACCGACAGGCATTATGATTGCGGGACAGAAGTACATGGCAGTTATGAGCGAAAAGGATGTGGTCCTACGAGGCAAGAAGGTGAGACTTATATTAGCCTCTTCTGAACGGTTGGTGGTTTTGCTTTATTCCCATACGTACATTGGCAGCTTTTATGACACTTTCTTTACAGGTATTGTTCAGCAGCTACGCAGCTTTCGGGGTAGTTTCCTGAGGTTAGGGTTTGCTGTCCATTGATGAGCTGGTGTCAGGAGGGCGGCAGTGCAACAAACCGAGCTTGTGTATACCTTTGGAGAAAAGGGGATTTTTAATATCCATCCCTCAGGCTTGATTACTGTTCAGGTCTACGTTGGCTTGTCGGTGCACGCTCTTGCGTTGTACCACTTCCTGTACCAATATGCATGTTAGGACATCTGTTTTTGAGTATTTTACAATCAGCATCCCCAGATTGCCCCTCAGGGTCTTTTCAGTATTTTGATGCTCGTACTGCTGATAAATGCTTATACGTTGCCTCTACACGAGCTGCTCCAGAACTGCCCTTATCCTTGTCTCACAAACTTTGTGATGTGCCATTGACTTCCAACCTGCCAGGTCAATGAAGGCAGACTCAGTGCCAACGGCATATCTAAGTGCAGGGCAACCCGAATGTGGTACCAATTTGTAGCCTTGTCAAATGCTTAGTATTATTGTCGCTGTCCAAGACACTCCACCGTTTATTTGCATGGACAGTGAACTTTAATGAGTCTGTATGCAAATACAGGGTCCCGGAGGCTGCACAATCAAGAAGACAACGAGTGCACTCCTGATTGGCATTTACGAAGAACCAGTGCAACCTGGGGAATGCAACGTGGTTGTCGAGAATCTTGGGGACTATCTGATTGGCCAAGGATACTAGGCAGTCCTGTGTAAGAGCGTTGTGCCGATATGCATCCGTTCTCATGTGAAAAGGTCCAACTGCCAGTATTCAGGGAGGAAGAAATGAAGCTTGCCTTCTTCAATAGTCTGTAGTTGCTTATCTTGTCGAATCAGGCTACCTGGACGATGACGAAACACAGTAGTCCAATCTTCAAAGAAACTGTCCTCAACGCTGGCAACCACCAATTTTGGCGTTTTGGCAGCATCTTTTTGCACAAACGAGAACGTAAACAAGCTTTTCTGTGTGAAGGAGAAATGCTCGGAAAGTGCTTTGCTTCCTGCATGAGTTGTCATATTATCCTTGTTTTATAAGTTCTCAATCCTTGGCACATGGTCCCAACTTTGCCCCCAGATTGTGAATCACTGATCAAGGGGGGTGTTTTGAAAAAGTCGATTGGATCAAACTCATGCGAGAGCAACTTAGGGAGTAAACAATGAAAGCTTTACGATGCAACTTTCACTTTTTCCAGATGCACGAGGGACATTCCTTGTTGGTAAACCGGATTGCAGTATCATATGAGCAACTAAAGTATTCCGATTCGAAGGGCACCGGTATTTCTTGTGAGCTGCTGAGTGAGGGTCTCCGTGCGAGCTCTTGGTTTCCTACTAACATACCAAAGACCATCTTCTCAAACTTTTGGTATGACTAATCTGGCCATCTTCTCAAACGCACGTCCCGTCGGGGCCCGTGGCGGCCGATGCAGGCTGGGCCCAAAACATGCTATGTGCTATATGAGCAGTCAGTTGGAAGCTTCCACCGCAAACTATCATCTGAACGTTCGCGACTATCATCATCAGCTTTGCATGAGGACGGTATGCCAAGTACGTGACTCAGTTAACAACGGTCCCCATACGTTAATGGCCTGGCATGCATGCAACAGCGCAAAAATTGCCGTTAGGATTATCAGACATTGCACATACTTTTTGAAGTGGTAAGACTGAATAATGAATTTGCGCGGCCAACCTTTATTTAGCAGCATGTGTAAGCGTTAACATGCAGCTGACAATTTCGATATGAAGGCTAGGGCATGTTGACTCAGTGATGACAGATTCCTAAGCATGTATAAAAAGAAGCTAAGCATATGACCATTACTAACATGGCTGTATTGCCACTATGCTGGGCGGGGGCCCGCGGCATCGGCGAAACACAAGATAAAGGTTAATTAACAACCTGCCAGGACTCTTGTTTTATATTTGATAGTGACGCTTTGCGCCCGTACCTACCCGCCCTAAGTGACCACCAAACGGACCCTCAGGCACCTCCCGAAGGCTTACCGTCCCTAGGGCCGTCCCTAAATCCAACGGGAATGCAACATGGCCGCCCCTGAAACAACATAAAGATGTAAGATAACTCACGTGCATGCCTGAGTGCTTTCGATGATTTACCGAAGATGCTTCAGGATCTTAATGCATATATTCTGCTTCGAGCTTCGTTCAGATCAAGATCTATTACCGTACTGCTATTTGATTTCGGCACCTTCGACGCCGAAAAGTTAATTATGAAACTTTCTATCCTTTCGGCTGACCAATGGTTACCTGCTAAAAAAACCATTATCGAACCATTATCGCCTCAAAGTATTTTCTAAAATTTTCGGCAGGCCAAATAAATATTTAATTTTTGCCGAAAATAAATAGCAGTACGGTACCTAAATCCATGCCTGGCTGGACCACTACAGTCTACCTATGCAGTAGCCTCTCTGTAACTTTGAAACTGCGGACTTTCCAATGGGCTCTGCTAACCGACCATTCTTGAGAGAGTTCAGATCCAACGGCTGATACGGCGGTCTGCGATAATGCGCGCGCCAAGACCATGTTGTGCACAGAGTAGAACTTCATAAGTTGATTGTCGCTATTCGTGTATGCACCTTTTGATCCGCTGGCAGGCTGTACCTTTTAAGGAAAACGGTGGTAGATCTGCATGGCCTTCTTTTTGTATGTACCATACCTGTTGCACCTAGGTCTGATGGACTCTTAGATGAACTAGGTCCGAGCAGGTTTGAAACCAGACCATATGCATGTTGAAGTAGGTAGATTCAGTCTTGGGGCCGCACAGCTGGGTAAGTTCACCAGGGGGTTGGTTGGGAAGAGCTGTAGCCTTGGGCCTAGCTACCTAGCTCGCTTCAAGGAACAGCTCTCTGAACGCATAACAAGCCAACTTTCCTCAGGAGCTCTAGATACATTTGATCACTGGTTAACCACTGAATGCTCCAGCGCCACCTTCTATACGTTAGCGATCCGCACTATTTGAAGCATGGCAGAGCTGGAAAATGGCGGCCCACCTTCAGAAAGTGCTGGCGGGGGCACTGACTTCGTCATTGAGCGTGAGTCCCAGCTAGGCTGTTTTCAATTCGTTAGAACATGACCGCCTTGTCAGCGCTTTTTGTAGGCCATTTTGCCAGATTTCTGTTTTGAGTACGATGAGTTGAGCTCTCATGGAGAAGTCAAGCTCTCTTTCCGAAAAAGGCCACAAACATAAAGGTTGTGCCCCTAATCTATCAAAATGTGCTCACACCCAGTCTGATTGCAATTGCTTGCATCTTGATAGCCCGCTTTTTGGGACCAGTAATCACTCTTGGATTTGGCCAAACTTTTCCAAAGTACCTACAAACAAGGCTATTCAGAAGGATGAGGTAAAAGGAAGGTAGAGGTGCTATTCAGAAGGTAGAACTTCTTCTGGCCCAAGGTCCGCAGAGACGAGAACAAATGCCTATTGCATTGTGCGATGGTACCACACTCACATTGAACGCAACTAAATCCGGCAACACTCAGCTCATACAATGCCACTGAGCCGCTTCCACAACCAGCTGAGCTTATTTGAATGAACCTGCGGATGTGAATATAGCTTCCAGAATCTTCATATGTGACTTTTACCACGTGGCAAGTAGTCCTGTAGCACTCAAAAGAGAGCAGCCTGGCTGACACCACTCTGAGATCCGCGAAGTGGAACGTGGCGCTGAAATTGATTTTCTTTGCAGATGTTGACGCAGACGGTGAGATCCGCGAAGTGGAACGTGGCGCTGAAAGTAGCTTTCTTTGCAGATGTCGACGCGGACAGTGATGATGATTTTAAGTACGAGGAGGTGGAGCTGGAGCACAACGATGATGATGAGAGCGACAACGACCGGTCGGAGGACCTCGAGGCGACCATGCGAAGTCTGCAGAAAGCCAGCATTGCGGGTGAGCGAGCATCAAACTCTCCGTGAGATCGAACATATGGCTTTTATTAAGTGATATTGGGCTCCAGTCGAAAGTCAACAAAGGGAGAGACCAGAAGTAGGTGTAGAAACAGAAGGCAGTAAAGAGAATATGGTGTTTCTTCCCTTGCTTATCGAGTTTGAAAAAGGTGCTTCGCACTAGAAGAGAATGCCGGTCGGACATAGTCCCCTCAAGCCACGGTCCCTCTCCATGTTTTGCTGATGCTAAAAGATCGCGCGTAGAAGATGCAACTCTGCGTCAGTACAACCCATCGCAACAAAATACCTCTGCTTCGTGCTCCGTCAATAAACATCTCAGGATAATCGTACTTGTAGGATCCCTTTTGGTTTATGCTTTTCGGTCTGTGTGACGTGGAGCCTGTGGACCCCGCTCGTGCGGGTGGTCATTTACAGTCGATCCAATGGTCGCCTTTTCAAAATCGGCTGAAATGTTACATAAAAAGCCCCAAATAGCGGGACTAGTAAACACGTGGACGCTTTTCAACAACACTGGACGGCTGCAAGTCTGATTCGAGCTCGTTGCTTCGCAGGGAGTACAAATGGCCTGGCGCCCAGTGGCCCGCTGCCAGCTGGCGTCACTCGGCGGCCAGAGGTTATTGACGACTTCATCCGCAACTTTCTGGTCAAGGGGGGCCTAAACAAAACTCTGGAAACGTTCGAGGTGAGGGCATGAGTTCCTTCTGACTCGAGACAGAGTCATCTTTTCACTCCGTCCAACTGAGAACAGAGCTTAAATCTAGTTTCTTCTGAATGATTGCATTCAAATGATTCATCTTCAAAGAACTGTTAATGTTTTCTGCGCTTGTCCCTTACGTTCTCCGACCTGCTCAGGCGGCACCGCAACACTTTTGGCCGGCAAACGTACGCCGATCCTTCTCCTCCGCAGATGGAGTGGTACCAGCTGTCATCACCGGCTCAAAGCTCGCTCCAGCAGCAGCCTGTTGCTGACGTGTACGTCCAGAATCAGCAGTTAGAGGCGCAACTGAGAGCGGTGCAAAAGGAGCTGGACAACACACGGGCCATCGCAGAGTAAGTTTCGTTGGTTTCTCCATCTCGTCTTCAGCATCAAGCTGGGGTAAAGTCTCGTCGGGTTTGGTAGTTCACTGGTTTCAAGAGCTTCTGTTCCTTCATGAGTTCTTGTTTTGCTGAACATGTGGGGCGCGGGATCGTTCTTGCTGTCTGGATCGTGCGTGATGTTCAATTTTGAAGCGAGGAGACGAAGACCCTTGTGTGATTCCCTGTCAGCCTAACATGATTTCCGAAACTGTGCCACGGTTTATTTTGGGCCTGCGGCGCTCGAGGAGTGAAGCGGTAGAAGACCAAATCGTACGTAGTCGGTAGTATGACATTTTCAGAAAGCAGAAACTGAAGAAGACAACTTGCGAAGCAACATAAAGTCGACCTGGGGAATAGAAGGAGGCGTCATTGCCGCGGTCATTGAAGGCAAAACGTCGGGGATGCTTGCAAGGAAAGGCAGAATGAATCAGCAGCGCGACTTGTGGAACGCGCGCAGACGGGCGCCGCAAAGTGACTACTGTCACACGACTTGGATTTGTACTGGCATGCGCCCATCAAAAACTTCAAAACCCTTTGAGCGCAAACGTCTCTCGTTTCTTGGAACCCTCTCTCAGAAAGGTGGAATGTTCTTTCTGGTCCAGGAAAACGCGCGAGTCGTGGGACAAGATCCGCAAGGAGCGCGACTCGCACCGGATGCACCACAAGCGAGTCGCGCAGGAGAAGAACAAACTCATCACCGACATCAAGGTTCGCTTCTGCACATGCTCATTTGCTCTTCTCAGTATCCCTGATCGTTGTCGGTCATGCAACCAATCTTGGCCGGGGTTCTGGTGAGATGAACCTGCTTGTTTTAAGGAGAAACCTCTGTCAGTAGGGTCTGGCGTCGACCGGTTCACCGAGCGTGGATGGAATCGGTGCCCGCGACTCCTTTTAGCTATTCAGAAGCCGGGTTTTCAGGAACCGCAACTACTTTGTTGTAGTACAAAGAGCCGGTCAGCCAAGTAGAGTGACTCATCAGCTCCAAGCGTACTCCCTCATACTTTGCGGTGCGCTTTCCTGGCTCTCTGAAAGGCCAATCACAGCACAGAGGCCACCGTCAAATGCTGCGAACTGTGTAGATTAATTCGGCGCGGATCCTGCGCAGGCCAGGACCTTAAAGTCGTGAACCCGAATGGATCATCGGTCTCCGATTTGGATTGCGTGAAGCTCAAGTTAGAGTACCGGGACGAGTAGGTTTATGAAGTGGTTAGGGTGGGTACGGATGCGGAGCGGATGATTATTTGGGTTGAAGATTTTCGTGTTAGCTTCGTTCGGTCTAAAATTTGAGCTGATTATAACTATTCTAGGCAAGTGTGAATGGATCTCAGACGCGCGATCTCTTGCGCGCGCAGCGGCTGAAGGCGCACTACGCGCAGTACGAGCCGACGCTGCGCGAGCTCAAGGCCAAGTACGAGTCGCTGATGAAGGAGAAGACGCTCACGCGCCTCGAGCGGGACCGCCTGGCGGCCAAGGTGCGCGCGCGGATTCTCAAGGAGCAGCTTCGGAGCCACCCATCGTTGCTTTGCTTTTTCAAAAGCGTCGCTTCTGTTACTTTTCATCAGTAGTAAAGCCGGAGCTACACTCTCGAGAGACAATCTTGGTTTTACCTCGAATCGGTTGAAGGTTTCTTTTGAAGTTCTTCTTTCGCATCCTCCCCCGTTACCAAAGAACGTTGCTTCCAAGGTCTTCTTAGCTTCCTTGTTTCCCTCCTTCCTTACGTCTTACTCTCATATTCCAGCACGCAGATCGAGCGAGTTGACCTTCAGAAGCTTCTGCGTCGCGAATGGTAGTACCCCTCGGTTCCTGAATGATATGATACAAAACGGATCACGTCACCGAATCTCTTTCTTGCAGGTGGAGGCACTTGAAGCAATGAGCAAGTCCGGCGCTCCCTCCTCTGCCCCAATAAACGACCGCGTCGCAAGCGATCGCAGCGGCATAACCCCCAAACCCTCCGCGGCCGCGGCCGCGAAGCGCACGACGACCGCGCTGAAAGGCGACGCGATCCTGCCACCGAACAACCGGCCGAACCCGCTCGTGGAGCGCCCGGTCGAGCGCGCGCGCGCGAAGGGGTTCAAGCTGGCGAAAACGTTTAAGGGGCACCATATGCCCGTTAGCAAGTGAGCACAAATCAGAATCCATCTGATCGCAAGAGAAGAAAGTATTGGATAATGGTTTGGCACCTCTTGTCTTTTTAGTCGCTATCTAAAAGGGGTCAAAGCCCGGGGGACGGGTAGGTTTGCTTTGTTGGTTAGGGGTGGGTAGGGCTGCGGAGCGGGTGAAAACTTGGGTTAGGGTTCTTTGTTGAGGTGCCGGGGCCTTTGAATCTTGGAAGACAAGCCCCTTAGGAGACAAGGGCGTTGCCACTGTGTAACTAATCAACTCCTGAGAGTTAAAAGGGGAAGAAGGAGACGACTTGAGCACATCCTTAGGCAAAGGAAAAGAAAAGGGGTTTTAAAATGAGGTAAGATTGTCAGAGATGAAACTGACAGGGTAGTCTCTGAAAGCAATGAACCTAGAAAGATAATGCACTTTCCTCAGCGTGTGCGCTGCTTCTGCGCAGCCTCCGGATGCATCCCAAGAAGCCGATCGTGGCGACGTCCTCCGACGACGCCACGTGGAAGCTTTGGTCGCTGCCATCTGGCGAGCTCATCATGAGCGGCGACGGGCACAAGGACTGGGTGTCCGGAATCGATTTTCACCCCAGGTGAGCGAACGTGGGCGACGTCCTCGGCCAAAGTCCCTGCTGTTGGTCGCCCTTCCTCGGGATAACAGAAGCCATCGAGATTTGGGGGCACTCTTGAAAAATTTGGGGGCACCTCATCGATTCAGGATCAACGAGTTGGACTCACGTAGACGAAGATCTTTCCGTGCGTCGAAAGTCAGAAGCACATTCGTTATGGCAGTTGCTCCTTGGATCCATTACTACCGTTCGACGAATCAAACGTGGCACGCTTGTATTGTCAGAGCCGACTGGGGTGTCAGAGCTTCGAGCAATTACTGTCGCTTATCCCCACCGTTCCGATCCTGCCGTTCCTTCCGTTTCCACAGCAGAACTATACTCGCTCCTCCTCCAGCGAGTGTACAGTTAAGTTCTAAGGCTCTGGACAAAGAATTTTCATATTTTCAGTTCCAATCTCTTTATCTGAACCTATTCCGCTCACGTTCCGCAGCGGAACCATGCTCGCGTCCTCCTCCGGCGACTGCACCGTCAAGCTGTGGAGCTTCGAGCAGTCCCGGTGTATTCACACTTTCGGCGACCACACCCAGGCGGTGTGGAACGTGGCGTATCATGACACCGGGGACTTCTTGTCCAGCTGCTCGCTCGACCATTCCGCCCGGTTGTGGGATCTGTCGAGGTGAGGGATCCCCCTGGGTCGCGTTTCACCGTTCCTAGGGACCCGGTAAGCGAAGCAAACAAATCCGACCTCCGTGCTCGCATATCAATGTCGACGGTGATATTGAGCCGACTTTGGGCTCTCGAAAGCTTGGTGGCATCCCAAACGGACTTAGCATTACTTGAGTCGCCGAGAGCGTGGTCGAGTGCAAAACCGGGGACGTTCTGGCCAGCTGCTCGCTTAAGCATCCCGCTCGGTTGTGGGATCTGTCCAGGTGGGGGATCCCTCCGAACATTCTGCGTTCGGATATTTGTTGGATTTTGCTAAGCCATCCGCAAACCTTCTTCCTACTTCAAGAAAGTTTCCTCATCAGGGTTTTCTGTATGCAATCGGCTCGTTCCACGCCACACTCACCCTCTCCGTAAGCACACATAAGCCTACGCGAAGTTTATCTCTACCAGAGTCGTCCGATCAAAGCAGAACGTCTACTCCTGCAGCATGAGGTGCCGCCAGACCTTCCGCGGCCACGTGGACAGCGTGAACGAGACCACGTGGCAGCCGTACACGAACGTCCTGTGCACGGCGTCGAGCGACAAGACGGTGTCGCTGTGGGACGCGCGCACATCGCTCTGCCTGCAAACATTTTACGGGCACTCCAACTCGTGTAACCACGCGGCGTTTAACCCCAAGGTTAGGCTAAACCCACTTGCAAATTTTTACGGGCACTCAAAACCCGTGTCATCGCGCGCTGGAACCCAAAGTTAGGGCTCCATCCCCTTTTTTCTTCCTCACTTTTAACAGGGTTGATTGTTGGAACCAGAACGTGCTGAGAATCCTGCTCAGTATTTCTGCGGTCTGTGGAGTCTGGTATCGAAAAGCTATTTGAATACAAGAAAGGAGCGTCGACTCTTCTTGCAACTAACCTTTCGGTCACCATACATCGACAAATTTGATCGTAGCTACGACTTTAGGGACCGGTTCCTAAGTCTGCCGTTGTCAGATACGATGCCAAACCATGTCGATAACACCAAGCCCAAGAAATACTCAAACAATGCGAGATGGCAGTTTGCCAAAGTACGTACTCTGGTTACAGGGCGACACGATCGCGTCCGTGGATGCGGACGGTGTAGTGAAGCTGTAAGACGTCCGCACTTTCACAAACAGAAGACTTGGAAAATAAGCCTAATTCTTGACCCATTAAAATTCTCGTTACAGGGCGACACGATCGCGTCCGTGGATGCGGACGGCGTGGTGAAGTTGTGGGACGTCCGCATGGTGACGGAGCGGCTGACGATTAACGTGGGGCCGCATCCCGCCAACAAGGCCGCGTTCGATCCGAGCGGCGAAGTGCTGGCGATTGCTAGCGAAGACGGCAGCATCAAATGGTGAGAGAGCATTTTTCGGGTTACTTGCTGCAAATTGCGTCTCCTCTTTGAGCGTCACGACACAGACTATGGAAGGCAATCCCCCGGAGGTGTCGCTCTCTATTCTCCGGTCTTCTGTCGATTTCATCTTGCGCCAGATCCTAAACTCTTGATTGTGGGAGGGTCGTTTCGTTTCCATTTTTTCCTTTTTGTTTTTTAATTACGCCGCCCAAAGAAAGTGTAGCATGAGGGCAGCAGTTCTAACTACCTTGCCAGTCGCAATTGGACCCCGAATAACCTCAAGCGACAAGCCTTTAATCCAATCCCAGGCCACCTTACTCAGTCAAGGCAGAACTTTTTCAGTTTCTTTCATAGAGAACACCCAGCAATATTATCCTGAACCTTTTCGATCTTCGATGCAGTTTCCAAGCCCACGACAGCGTGCCCATCTGCGAGCTCCGGGGCCACGAGGACGCGGTCCAGTGCCTGGTCTTTGACAACGCCGGCAAGTACTTAGTGTCTGGCGGGTCGGATCACACGTTCCGGCTGTGGAGTTGCTAAGATTGACGCAGTCCGATCCGACATTGCCACGTACTTGTGCCTAGCTTGCAAAGTCAGAGCCAGTGCTACGTTGATTCGGGGCCGCCTATTGATGCGTATCATCAAACCCGGGCTTGGCATGCAATTGAAACAAACACGGAGCGAAGCTAGCCTGTCATGCTTGTGCCATGTCTGTTTAGATGCGAGTTTAATCCAGTCAATTGCAAGGTGATCGTACATTGCATGGTCGCTAAGCATGTGCGCAGGTTACGATATGCTTGAGCATATTCGATCGGTGAGTCGATCTGCAAACGTCATGCCGCGATATTGCATGGCGGCGCAGCCCTCGACTGAATAGTTTCATGAGCCGATTGAGTATCCCCACATGTTTCAACCGTTGAACTGGCAAACCTCAGCAACTTTGGGCTTCCTGGTACCAGTACCACATGTGCATGTTGGAATAGCTTGATGGTCATTGCATAGATCGAATGCATCATGCAGCATGCATACTTACCGTTCAGGCAGGCATGATCATTCTGGCCGGGCGGATCCATTTAATGATTCAAGCATGAAGTCTTAGGACTTTAGTGCAATAATTCTGGTAGTGAATATATCCATGATTCGACGCCAACGATATGGCGGCCGACAGCGTACGTAATCTACTGAGTTATCATGTATGCGACATCATGGCCGCCCGGCCTTTCGTGATGGCGGAACTGTATACGTTTGTCTAGCCTCTATAAGAACTACCGGAATTGACTCGGACAGCTTGCCAAGTTGAGTCTGAATTGCTCATCGCTGTCATGTCAAGTGAGTCAGGATCAATGATACTGAGCGCCGCCCTGCGACGCATTGGGCGGTGTTATGATAAATTTTCGATCAGCGTATTCAGCCGGCAGAAACAACTCAGAACCTTCCAGAGATTGACCGTAAATGGTTCGCTAGATCACATTGCTGACTAAACTTTTGACGAAAGAATGCAATACTCAGAATTTTCACAAGCAACACATGCGCGCACTAACGTCAACTATTTACAAAAGTAAGGCCGCCGTATTGGTCGTTGCACATTGACACGACACCCGACAAAGATCTCAGAAAGCCCAGCCGCCCATCGGACTCTTCTTTCTCCGCCAGTTGGTAATCATAGGCTCCCGGAACGTGTTGGTAACATGGCTCCCGCGCCCTAGCCTTCGAGCAGCCATCCAACGGCTCTCGATCTAGGACCCACGTTTCGGTGTTCCCTAGCGCCATAGCGGTGTGTCCAAAAGTCGACTCCGGGCTCACGATAAGCGTCTGGACGTAGCTCATGAGCCATATATCGATGAGCGCCATCTTCTTATGGTCTCGTAACCCGTAGTCCTCTTGCGTGTCATTATTCGACTCAAAAACGTGGAAGGCCACGTGCTCACTTCCGGACTTTCCGTACACCGAATGGACGCCCGTTTTGACCCCGGCTTCGAGCGTCCCGACGAAGATCGAGCGATTTGTGAGCCCATTTACCAACCGGATATTGGCTTCTCGGTTGTCGGTCATTTCGTCTAACCTACGACGAAGAAAAAATGGACGATCACAGGAGAAAGAAAACCACCAGGTTAGGAAAGGGTAAGGAGCCTGTTTCCAGGACCTGATTAAGGGTAGGAGCCTTCAGCGCTTAGGAAGCCGTTCAACACACCTGATTAGAGAATCTGGTTAAGGGCAAAACGTGAAGCTATTTAGCCAAGTACAGACGGTTCAGAACACAAAGCGAGAATAGAGAGAGAAGACCGGTGCGTACTAGGAATCAGAGAGACGCATCGAGAACGAAGAGAGCAAAGCACGTCAGCGATAGAGAGGAAAAAGCTACTGCAGACAAGTACAACGGTCAGAACACAGAGAGAGAACACAGAGAGAAGACAGGTGCGTAGAAGGAGTCAGAGAGACGCAACGAGAACGAAGAGAGCAAAGCACGTCAGCGGTGGAGAGGAAAGGAAAGTTGAAGCGAAGACACGAATGACGGAAGCTACGTAAGAAGAAGAAAGAGTAAGGCCCACTGCTTAGCCCTCCAACGATAAGATCCACAGATCTGACGTCATGCTTACTTGGAGGTCCACAGGGCAGGCTGTGTACAAAAGTTGTGCGCAAACGCAAGCTGACTCTACGCTGACGTTAGGCTATGTGGTTTGCGAGGACCCGGAGGAGAGCCATTTCAAGAACGCTGGCTCCAAAGATCCATGCGTCTGATGCAACAAGACTTTGAACGATCGACCGTCAGAGGCGGCAAAACTTCGTTGCGACAGAGATGCGAAGCAGCCGTTGAGCGGACCCCACGTGGACATCCTTGCACTCTCAGCTTCAAGACAGAGCCCTGAGCAAACTCACGACTAGTGTCTGAGCCGGGAGCGCACACTTGAAGTATCTCTGATTAAAAGATTAAACTGAACAAAAAGAAACTCTACGAAGGGAAGGAAAAAGCGCCAAGTTGACGTATTTCTGAGAATGAAATTGAAACGGATATTTGCGATGGACTAAGAAGGGATCGAAAAAAGTGCGAACTCGCAATATTCTAAGCATGAAATTAAAATGGACAAAGAGAAAATGAACGGAGGAAGGATGGAGAACGAGAGTGGAAAGCGACGAAAGGCCATTACCACCGCTAAGAGTGGATCGCCAGTCTCACCTGGGTAATTTGCCTGTTGTATGACCGCATCTTATTAGCCGCTTGAGGAAGCTATCGACGTCGACGGGTTGTTGAAAGAACCGCAGCTGCGCACCTGTGCACACGGAGGGGCTGCACGACGTCAGCAAGGAAGACGCCAGAAGGAGATGACGTCAGCGGCCAGCTGAGAATGGAAAGGTTCGTCGGAGCGTAGCGGAGCTCGACATATTGGAGGCCGGGTGGGACTGCTGTTTCCAAAAGAGGGATACGATCGGAACAACTGTGCTTCGGAGCTTTCGATGTAATCCCCGAAAATGGTCAAATCGTCGACACTTGAAGAGGACTCGGGCACGCTATCTGGTAGGGTTCACCTTAAACGAGTCAAAAGTTTCCTGCAGGGGTTTAACGCCGGCTGCGGGAAGTTGAGGCTATCAGAGACTTGGTCTTAAAAAAGTGTTGCGCACATCCTTCGAAGCAGCACACCGTAACCCAGGGCTGCGTTATTTCTGCTTCTACACCATGCGTAAGAAGCACGCAGGCAGAGCTTGTCTAAAAGCAACAAATCAAAGACGAAAGGCGGCAGCGGCTCTTGTCTCTGGTGCTCTTGTATCTTCACTCCGGCCGAGCTGGCAAGGCACCCTATGAAATACATCCATTAGTCTCCGGTTAAGTAATATAGAAGCTTATTTTACAATACTGAGACGGATGGACTAGCAAGGGGGTTTGGGTATGCGGAGTACACGTTAAAATTTAAGTTCAGGTTCTTATATCAGGTTCGTTCTTTATTAGACTTTGGGCTTATCATCACAATTCGAGGATAATCGCATCAATCTCACCAACTTGTTGAATACGTAGTGAAGGTCAGCAACAAAAACGACCCTTCCCCATGTGGTCGAAACTTAAGCTAGCCTCCAGGACTTCAGACTTCCAGCATTCCAAGCTGCCGGCGTTGAGAGAAGAGGTTAGCTGCTCTACACACTAACCCTGAAACAGATTCCTCTCCTTTGCCATCTTCGCTTCTGGTGGGGTAAACGTGCACTAAGAAAAGGTCTAGGTGACTCTGCCTATCACCTAAAGCAACAAAAAGAGCAGATCAGCGCGTCATCACATGGGTTGTGCTGTACAATTGACTGGTTGACAGACTTCGAATGAGAAAGGGGCCCCACCTATCCTGTAACCCCGGTCCGCCATGTTCTCCGCATACTCCCGCTTGACGTGCTGCCAAACGGCGTCGATCGGGTGGAAGAACTGCCGCATCAGCCGGGCGCCCGGCCGGTTGTCCGGAAAAATCTCCCTCAGGAGCGGCAGGAAGCGCCGCTGATGATACAGTGCCGGCAGGAAGTACTGGTTGCTGTACACGGCGAGCCAGTCCGCCGCCTCTAGTTCTTCCGACGCGGCGTCAGAAAAGAGCACCGGCTTCCCCCGAGAGCAGTGCTTCACGTCCATAAAGACGACCTGGGTCTTCCCGATCGTCTGGTTCCAAACGCCGAGCGATGAGTCGCTGCCCCCGGCCCCGCAAGGAAGGTCGCTGATGTCACCCTGGCGGAGGTCGCTCGGGACGGGCATGACGGCGTCGGGAAACTGCCAGCTGGACCCACGGAAGGGCTCACACAGCAGCTCTGCTGGGAGCGTCTTATCGTGCACGAGGACAACCCGCGCAGTTAGCATCCCGTAGAGGAGCGTGCTCACCAAGCTAAGCAGCTGGTTCCCTAAACCCCCGTTGTTGAACAGGGTTATTGTGTACACAATGTATTTACAAGGGGGGGTGGTTCCAGAGGACACGAGCTGGGAGACGTTGCCCCCCGCGGCGGTGCAGCGGGCGTGGAAACTCTCATATGCGGCGGCGATCTTGTCAAAAGTGGGGGAGGCAGGGAGCGGCGGCCAAGGGTACGCAGAGTGCTCTGAGCGATGCGCACAAATGCCCGAGAAGGGGCCGATGCCCCTGCCAAAAAGCGACTGCAAGCTCCCAGAACCTGCAGGCTGCCTTGCAAGCTGATCTATAAGTGCGCCGGCGGTCAGGGGTGCGTCTGCCGAGGGGGGTCCCAGCAACTCTTTCACCAGTCCCTCCCTCGCGCTTGACCCTTCTTCAATCTGCAAAAGGAGCGCCTGAATTCCAGGGACGGAGGACTGCCTTTCAAATTGGCTTGGCGTCAATCTGTCACCTGTCCCCTCCGCCACCGCGGGCGCTCCGTAATCTGGTGACCTGGCCGGCATGAAGAGCCAAAGGCTCACCAGAATTACGGCAAAAACCAGCGGAGTGACCAAGTGCGCCGTCCCCAGATTGCATGCCCGCAGCCCGGAGAGGCCCAGAAGATTCTTCATGAGGCCGTCCCCTGCTCCACCTCAGCGCAGCTGTTTAGGCACTTGAAAGACGCGTGTATGCTTGTTGAAGATCATATTCTTAGCTTCATTTGATGCTTAAGTTGTTCTCCGCTGCGAGTGATCAAGCACATAATGCGGCCCATAGACATGGTCTGCGTCGCTGGCACACCGCGTTGGAGCGGAAATGCTCAAAGTGATGGGAGAAATGGTGAAGAGGTAGCCGCTTCAACCAGATCTGAGAAGGCCCAGAACAAAGAAGCGAACCTTGGCCCCAACAGCGCCTTCCAACGTAGGTGTACTTTCCCAGCTAGAGGTGGCTTTGACCCAGACTTTGTGGCTCCAACATTGTCCAAGCCTCTTAGGTAGGCTTAGTATAATTAGTATTATACTAACAATGCATTGCCTAGCTACCGGCCAAGATACGATTTCCGGATGCTCAGAATATGCAGAAGGGGAGCCCAAATCTTGTAATATTTCCAGGATCCGACCCTGAATCTGAGTGAGCTGAAAGGTACCAGGTACCCTTATGTCTTGACTTTTCAACGGTACCGGTACGTACCTTAAGCCCATATGGGGGTCGAAACTTGAATATAAGTTTCCAAACAAGACCTAAAAAAGATGTTTCCTTTTAAATTCCGACTGCTTTGATATCTGGAGCTTCCAGCTTTCTAAGTGCAAATGATTGTTTATTTATCCGGAATCGTACCGGTATTAGTTGCAACCGACGGCAATATACGCCGATAGCTACATGTTACTTTCTCTGTGCCTGGCTTTTCCAATTGATTTCCTCTTAAGAATCTCTTACTTGCATGTTGCACGCTTTGCACCCGACCAGGCAAAGAGACTACTGCAACTATGCAAAATCCAAACCTGACCGACTGGATGTGACATCACGAACTACAAGCACAGACTGTGATAAACGAATCCAGTCGGCCCAACAACTTCAAAAGTGAAACTTCTGGGAATAGCTGAGAAGGAAGTGTCTCGGCCTTCATCAACCTCGGGCAGTATTTAGAGAGGCGTACTTTGCAGCCGCTTGTTCGTCATAATTGTGGAGGCTTGCTACGAAAGGTTGCCGCCAGCATTACCCAGGTCGAGCACACATCCTGCAATCAGTATTTTCAAGCGGGTTTCAAGCGTTAGTGTGTTTTAAGCGGATGACTATTATGAAACGACGTCATCCAACATTGTCGGAGCGCCTAGGTGTCAAAGGACGGGGATACGAACTTTTTTCAGCGCCGAAGGGGCTCTCGTCGACCCAGCTAGACGAGGCAAAGTGGTCGTCATTAGACTCAACTGCGCATCCTAGGCAGTATCCGCCCAGAAGTAGGATCCTCAGAGACGCGTTAAGGGCATAGGAGGAATGATGGTTGCAATGCTTAGAACGGCTTCGTTTTCCCAACGTTTTCGTTTCTACTCCTATTCGAGAACGACCCATCATTCCTCGTCAAGGCAGGTGAAGTTATCGTTGCCTGTTTCCAAGGTTGGGCACCCCTTTTTCGCATGTGATCCTACTTGGGTCCAAAATGCCAATCACATCTGCCCAATCGTTCCGCGAGCAGTTCAATCCGTCCGCCATCGACGTTCCGCTCACCTCTGCGTACGCAGACAGTCGCACTCGCAAAGCGAGTTTGACTCCGTCCGCCTCACTCCCTATGATATCGCGGAAGACAGGCTCTTGCAGCAGGGATTTGAACACGCGTGTCGCGCTGCGATGGTTGAACTGCTGAGGGAAGGCCTGCCAATACGGCAAACCACTTTGGTCAAAAGGGTTCGCGTTTGCCAGGGAATCTCCGAGAGTAGCAAATCTATGCTGCCTACAATAGGCAATTTCCAACACCTTCGATACAACCCGCGCATTATTTCTTGTCGGATTCTTAAGAAGAGAAGAGCAGGTTGAAGCGAAGCGTGCACACTTAGCAAGCCATCTCAATGGCCCCCCGCGTCTGTAGGGGTCGATGCACCCAAGGATCTTACAAACTTTTTTCGGGAATTTAAGCATACAAAAAGAGGCTAACGGACATGATGAGGGACAAAGTTAGAGGTTTCAAAGTGTCCCTTCGTGTTTCTGACCCGAGGAAAGGGTACGGCTGTGACTCACGGTGGCTCTACACCGATCACTCTGCGGTGATCGGCAGTGCTGTGAAATGAGGGGAGGATACCAATCTACGGGAACCCTCCTCTCCAGCAAGGAAGTTAAGCAACCTCTGCTTTGAAATAGGTAGCGATTCGCAAGCAAGGGAAGCCCGTGACTTTTCGGCGACCCACGTCTAAAGTTCTCAATATTGAGCTCCCCAATGTCACCGCGACTTTTGACAGCACGTGCCTTTCTCAGCGACCGCCAGAGCGGAGCCCTCGGCTACATGGTCGCCCAGGGGAACCGTTTCCGGGCGACAACGATTTGACCACTGGGACTGACCTTGAAGGTATGCCCCACCGGCACAGTCGCCTTGATGCTCTGCTGGAACTCCTCCTGACCGCTCGATACTCCCAGCACATGCTCGTGCTCGTATGATACGAGGGCCGGCATAAGCAGGTGGCTCAGGTCGTCATCCCACGTGACGGACAGCTGCAGGAGCCAATCTCAGATAAGGCGCGAGGTACTGACGACAGAACAGCCGCATCTCAACTTTCGTCGTATGGGCTCGCATGCAGTAATGGACTCGGACAAACTTTTGAAGAGGTTGGGCTCGCATGGAGTTGTGAAGCTCAACCAAACACCTTTAAAGAAGGATACCTTTTTATTTGCGCTCCTTCAGCCCGTCAGTAAAACTTGAAAATATTGTAGAAACCAGCTCTTAGAAACCCTGTGTTCAGTGCCTACCAGAAGTTGCAATCTTTCTCGGTGTGAATGTTTACCTTCCGATCGCTTCGATACCCGCCGACAAGCGCTTTCAACTGGGTCTCGAGGCGCTCCTCTTCCCGGTACGGGACAAGGGACGCTGGTCGGAAGCCGACACGAGGCACCCTGCAACCGCATAGCGTCAATACCTGCCTCTGCACTTATCAGGTTTGCCGTGACCCTCATCAGACAAAGTTTGGTAAGCGATGCATCTGTGGCGGACTCGACTTCGCTCGACTTCGCCTGTCAATTTGGGATCAGGTCACCGTAGCAGGTTTGTAAAGACCGGAGCGACCGACAAAGAGTTCGTACAACCCTTCGACTCCACCCTAAAACAAAAAATCCTGATTCAGAGCGGATTACTAATTTGTACTGCGTTCAGTAAGTCTCCTTTTTCACGAACACAATCCGTTCCTCAGGACCGGATTCTGTTCCATAACAAGAAAGTCGTCCTCTGAAAGGTACCAGCCTGGTGCTGCGCTTCGCGACGGCAGGGTGCTTTCACTCCTCATTGCTGACGACAAGCCAGAACTATTGACACCCTGCAGATCCAAAGTTAGAAGAGGCTTCTGCTCACTTCCTAATTGTGGCGATGGCCGCTTCATCCAAACCGATCCAGTGGGCACCGTTCTGGAAGTCGAAAGAAGCGAGGCGAGCGGAATCCTCGTCCTGAAAATGATGACAAGAATGACAAGAAGGTAAACAACATGTTCCCCAAGAGAATCTTAAGCAAAGCTTCAGTTTGAGAAGGCGAGAAAAAATCTTCGGCTTTCGACACGACGGCGCACTGTCTCGCTGAGCCAAGAATGACAATGAGGACGCGTGTTCGCTTCTTAAGCATCGTTCCCAAAACTCCCTCAAAGTCGTCGTATCCTGTCGACTGAGCAAACAATTATATGTCGAAACATCGGGCGAAGGGGACTGGACCCCAGAAAACCGGTACCTGCACGGCTCAAGGCCCTTTTCAATGATCATCTGGATCTGAAAAAGGTTTTTGAAACAAAAAATGTTGACAGGAAACACGTCTTTTGGGAGATGTGCGCGGTGGAGTTTCTTGGTCGCCTTGTGGGTTCCACTCAGTACCCATGCGAAAACCGGTCACGTCTCTTCAGACACTGTGCAACGCTCACCAAAGTAGCGGACACTGACACTGCGGCGAATCAGGTACTCTTGACGACGACAGATGGTACGAAGGTCCCGCACGGCAGAGCGGAACGCAATGATGCAGCTTCCACAGTAACCAGAAGTGGGGTTAACGAAACAATAATGCTCGAGATGCCACGAAAACACACCTGATTGTTTGCGAAGAACCGCTCTTGACTGAACACGCACCCGAGGCTCCTGTAAGGACACTGCCCCATCGCCAAAGGGTCGCTCTGCGGATACCTGAATGCAGGTAACGAAGAAAGTCCGTCACAAATTCTGTGTCAAGTTTCGCTATTCGCGAGCTTTTGCCAAATCCCCTCTTCTCAACTCTTGCTGTTCCTGGATCCGTTTCCTGCTTCGATTAAATTGCAGGAGGCGAACTCCTCCTACGGTCAACTTTTCTGATGGAGCTACCTACGAAGAAAATAGTGTTTTTCTGCAGAAATAAATCGACATCTTCCACAAATCTGGATAGCGTACAGACACAAGAGATAGCGTACAGACACAAGAGAAGGGTAAACCTCGATGACTGCGCGCTGGCGGGAACTTAAGCAGCGGAATAGCCGGACTGTACAGATGAGTACGCATTTTGTTTTTGTCGAGCTGGCGCAATGCAGTACAGGAGGTGTACACGATTGCAATCATAGAGAGTGTGAAGATCAGTGGTGTAAAAGTAAAGCGCAGCATCGGGAATCATTGGAGTAAAGAAACGTAAATAACCGTATGTGCCCAATCTGAGGCCGCAACTCTTAGGGCAGAAGAGGGATCAGAGAGAGGAACCTTGTGCAGACCTCACCTGCGTCCCGTAAGGCTCTCCCAGAAGGTGACGTCACCAGCGCTTGACAACGTGGCCACCCATGCGTGCCGGCCTTTTCCGTCCTGTGGATAGCGGCTAAAGACACGGTAAGCGGAACCGGGTGAGATCTGGAAAAAGCCCTGCCAATGCTTCCGAGAAGGAGCGTAATGCAGTGAACTGCTTAAAGGAAGAGTACTGACAAATATTCCGGACAGCTATTTCTCCGTCACCGCTTAGCTGACCAACGACTTTCAAAGGATCCTTCTAGGAACGGAAAGGCGTCAAGCGCTTGCATGCAGCATCAAAGCATGCGCGCTGACGCCACAGACATGACATCCGGTCGTCCCAACCTGAAGCAGCCTTTGACTGCCACCCGTGCTGAAAGCGGTGCTGACGTCACCGTGCCGCTTACCTTCCCGATGCAGACGTAAGCGTCCAGCCCGAAGCCCAGCAAGAGATTGCAGAGCATTACAGCATGGTCTTCCGTGCTCCCTGCAAACGATCCGCGTCCCGTGAGTGACTGAACCTTTAGTGTTCACAATCTTTGCTTCTCCAGACTTGCTGAGCAAGCAAACGGCCGTGTGCGTACTCCTGTCGCAATTCCCTGTCGTTTTGGTCCGCGACTCACTTTTCAGAGCTGCCTATTTGACGTTACGTTCCCTACAAATACTAGCACCTTGCTCGAGAGCAGTCAAGTTCAGAAAGGCAAGTAGGATCAAACTCGGAACATCTGAACTCAAGCAAGACAGCATTTAAAGCAAAGATTTCAGTTCCCGAAGCGCCACATAGGAGCGCAGTCGAGTTCCCTTCTACGAGCGCAGAATGACATCTAGTCACACAGCATCACAAGCGAGAACGAAGCCTTCCCCCATTCTGACCGCCGAAAGCAATCTTCTGATGGCAGCTCATAAGCTCGGCGCTCTCACCAGAGCCTCTCGCCAAAAACGTATGCGAGTCACTCCAGACCCGCAACCCCTCGCTGTCGGCCGAACGGCGCTCCTCCACCCCAAGAAGACTGACAAAGCGCGCGGCCTCTAGGGGGCTGCCTATGGATCGGCCACCGCGAAGGGGCTGTATGAAGGCGCTGACAGGCAAAATATCTCCTGCAATAGACGGGCCAAAGGGATTGAGTCCTCGAATGTTAACATGCACCAAGGAAGGCTTCTGCGCTCCTCTGAGCGATGGATCGATCCCGAGAGGCGAATGAAGGCTCTGACAGGCAGGCTCTCTCCTGCATCAGCTGGTGACATGAGTGGAGCCAGTTGAAAATTAAAAACAAGCGTAAATAATCATTGTGTTGTATGTCGAGGTTACAAAACGCGGCGCTGCTCTGCGCTCCTTCCTTACAAAAGGGAACGTTTGCTCAGTACGGTTTGCAGGGCATCGCGTTTAAAAGCCATCGAGTGCATGTTTGTTGCTGCAAGTGCAATAATGTGGGCCATTTTGAGCGACTGCGCAGGCGAAAGTCTCAGGCAATCGGTCGCCGTCGGAACACCTCAGCCCACTTGAAGCGGCTGAGGGTGGACTCTCTGTTTGACAACTCAAAAGAGTTGCGCACCAGCAACTCACCGTTTTCTGCTCTCGCCAGCATCTCCACTGGTCTGCTCTTGTGGGCGTCCCGGAGCCGCAGAAAGTCGGTCCGCCACTCTTTGGCATAGCTGATGAAGCGGGACGTGGACTCGGCTTCCTGGGAGCGCTCCAGTCTCAGCTGCGGCAGTGTTAGAAAACCATGTCAAAGTAGGCTAGGGCATCCGAACGTACGCGTATGTTATTTTTCGGACCCCCAAAGGATCGGGTTCGCTTCGTGTGCCTCAACAACGTTTTCCGCCCAGTCAACAAGCTTCCGAAAAACAACTTTGACCGGCCCTCTCTGCTTTCACCAGATCAATGTCGAAAGTGCAAAATGTTCGGATGTTGCGGGCTTTACACAAACCGTCGTGACAAATCTGCAGAGACCGGCCGCACCTGACGCTGGAGGACTTCTTCCCCGAGCAGCTCTTTCGCTTTGGGCACCAGCTCGAGGCTTAGGTCCAACAGCCCCGTAGGCAGCTTGGACTGCCGGCCGCGGTCCGCAATCTCCGCCACCGTTTTAACGCTCCCGGAAACAAGGACCTGAAAGAGCCAAGAAAGAGCATCAAAGTGGCTCCAACAAACTTTTTTTGAACCCGATGATGACGTCACGTACGACAGTGAACGGATCACTGTCGCCAGAAACGAGCGGTGGGTCGAGCAAGCATGGCAGCGGAGAGAAGGAGTTGGGATGTTACATCGAGCCGCAATGCGAACGGAAAGCGGGCAGACCGACTCTTTCCCGCTTGCGTGTAGGCAGTTCTGACCGCATTCCCGCCAGGCAGTGACGCACGAGCGCGTTTCATTGGACGGAACAGAAACAAGCCCGGAAAAGGGTGCAGCGGAACATCACGAGAACATTTGATTGCAACAACGACGGGGTCAGACTGACGTCAGCACGACCTCACCTGTCGCCAGTCGAGGCTGCAGGTTCCAATGACGGTCCGTTCGCCGCCAGATGTGCGCCTGAGGGCGACAATGTGGATTCTGTCCAAGACGGTTAGAAGCTCTCGAGGGTCGGTTTCAAGCTGCACAGATGGTGGGGCGTAGGCGTTTAGGATGTAGGGTTTGCCTTGACCAAAGAGTGGGGCGAGGTTCCGGGGGTCTCGATGACCCAGCGTGGCACTGCTTGACTTGTTTCTAAAACTGCGAAACTTCCACAGAGTCGGTTGATCAGTCTGACCGCATTTGATGCGCAATCTCAGCGCCGATTTTAGGATGTCACAAGAATCACACAGGGTGCACGAAGAAAGGATAGCCGAAGAGATGCTCAGTGGCCCTTGCATGCTCAGACCCGTGAAACACGGTAAGTCGAGGCAGGAAACTTTCGCTGCGCGCTGTGAGATCCACCAAGCACGACGGGCTCAGCTCTGGAGGTTTATCTGTAGAGACGCAATGGAAGACAACCAGTACAGGGGACCGCTGTACGCGATGGAAAAGGAGAGGACACCAGGCTTCCTCAATGGATGATTCACAAGCGCGCGTACAGGGCCTGATTCGTTCGGAAGCGGACGCGCGTTCTTAGACTTTGCAGTCGGAACATTTTGCAGAGCAACTTAACGGCTAGAAAAGGCCGGGGCTTTGGCGGGAGGTTAGCGAAACCCTTAGGCCGCCTTCGGGCTTCGTGACTAGTTGCAGTGTCTGCCTTTCTAGGACATGCTTACCTGCAGCCCCAGATCGAGCAGGAAGCTTCCCTCCAGCGCTGGGTCTACATCGCAGCGCACTCTGTTGGACGTGAAGCGCTGGTCTCGGAAGCTGAGGCTCAGGTAGACCTGGCCGTCCCGAGCCTCGTCCTGCAAGGAGTGAGCTCAGGCTTGGACACAGTGCAAGGTCCTAGAGCGATTCTTGATACAGGAATATCCAATCGCTAAATGATAGGACCCTACGTCCGTGAAGAGCTTCGGAAAGAAAAATGACGCTGACATTGCTGCTGCTCGCTTGCCGTCTTGGGCCTAGGAGGCCTGTCCCGCATCAAGCACCTTGGACGTGTGACCTACACTCAGGCTGAAACGGTTTCCTTTAATTCTGGCTTGAGTATCATGAGTACTCCCAAGCCAGTGTGCCAGAAAACAGTATGCTTGCAGAAAGCCAGTCGACTTCTCCAAGGAACAGCCAGAGGTAGATTAAGGTTGTCTATCTTCGTCTCCTCTAAGTTGCTTTTTTCTGATGTCGATTGTGAACACAGTCCCAATTGAGGTCCTTGAAAGACGTATTGCTCACCTGATGATGGAGGTGACCAAGGAAGGCCCTTGCCCCAAGCACGCGCAGGTGCAGGCACGTACGCTGAGCTTGGCGCAGGTGAGGTTTCAGGGCCGACACAAAGGCGCCTGAGTTTGTCAGCGCTTGCAGGACTCTGTCAACCACCACTTGCTTCTTGAACTCAGCAGCCGCCTGCAGCCCCAGGGGGGGGAAAGTTGCCGTTCTAGTTAGAGTGAGGTCAAACAAGAGTCAGTCAATCTCGTCTTGTGAGACGAGATTGGGACACAATGTGGGTTTAGAAAGATTCATGTCTAGCAAGACCATGGAATAGGATGTTAGCCCAGTCAAAAATGGCTCAGCTTCCTTTTGGGAGTGAACTCGAACTGACAAGAGGATTGAAGGGTCATCGCAGGGGATTCAAGGGTCAAGTCGGGTCAAGGTCCTTGAAGCAGGTTGACCCCTTGTGTACATTGCATCACAAGTTCTGTGAGACCAGGACGCGGAGTCCAGTACTGGTTCCAGCATATGACTTTGGCATTCAGAAGCACAAACATGAGTCCGCTGTTTCAATCCCGCATGAGGAACGTGGCCAGACTTTTCCCTGAGCTACTAGCTGCTACTGCTGTTTGAAGAATGTATTGACTGCCGTTGTCGTGCTTAAGATTTGCAATGGAGGGGCAAAATTGCTGTTGAAGCAACTTGCCTCTTCCTTGCTTCTGTGGCCGTCAGCCAAGTCTTGTTCCAAGCGTGCGCGGACCAATTCTTGAATGTCTGCAGCAACAACAAAAGGTCTAATGTATGCAGCTGTTCAATGTGAACGTACATAGGATAGCGTTCAGGCAGTCAATTAAAAACAGAGCATGAGGTACAAACATGCTTTGCCAATGTATGCGACTGGTTCCACAAGTTGGAGGAATTCTCGTCCACCTCAATGTATTTGCGTTCGTGCTCACTCTGAGATTGCAGGTGCTGCAAGACTACTTTCTTCAAGAGCATGGCCTTTTCTGAGGAGTAGAACGAGCCCATCTTGCTTTGCAGTGGAGATGCTCAGAAGGGAACACTTCTATAGCCGTACGTGTTTGATTGAATGCTCAACTCCGGACTCTATGATTGAGAAGTTGACGAGATACATAACCAAGAAAGCTGGCCCTGAACTTCGGAATGCATGCCATTTCTTCTTTTTCAACTGGGAACATCTGCTCGACTCAGCTTCTGCAAAGGGTGGCATCTTTGTAGTGGTCTTTCTAGGGGCCACCCACCCAGCACCGGCCCATTTTCCGCTTCCCTCAAAAGGTCACCAGCTGCAACGAACAACCTAGTGCCTTGATTCTTGCGCAAGCAGCAACCAAAATGGTGGCAGCCCCCGTGCTGAAACTGATGCATCTGCCTCGATTATAGAGTCTTCTTGTCCTAGGGTTGGTTGAGGGCCGTTCCAGTGCCTACAGTGATCTACGTGTTCGAAAACAAGGCCTCCGCACCCTTTCGCCAGCGCCGTGGTAATTTGCATATCTGGCAAGGAATTGAGAGGCCTTGTTTTCGTGCATGGTGACCCTCAGACGTTGACCTTGGCCCTAGCAGTTGCATGCATCTGCTGCAGATTCTGCATGCGTTGGCTATGGTGGAACATTGTCTAGCTAGCTGAGAGTCAGACCTCAGAATCAGCCCCAGGGCGCCTTTTGAATTTACGTGGCGCAATCTGTATCCTGAGTTCTCTTCCGGTTACCTTTCAACTGACCCCAGCAGGCCGGCTGTCCCCAGCTCGGCGCTTATTGCAGCATTGCATTGCGCTCTGTTTGCTAGTGGACGCAGCTAAAATCTCTGAACTAGTCAATTTGCCCCAACATCATCAACAGCTTAAGGCACAGTGCCAACACAGAATCCTTTCACAGCAAAGGTCGTTTTCAAAGAGTAAAAGGTTCGGCGGGTTTTGGTGGTCAAGCAATCATGGCAACCAAGCTCTCACAATTTGAGACGCTCATTCTGTCAAAGAAGGGTGGCGTTGCAGAATTGCTCTTGAACCGGCCGCTGAAGAGCAACAGTATAAATGGGAACATGTGGGAGGAGATACCAAAAGCGATGCGACTGGCTGACAATATGGGGGACGTTCGTGTAGTAAGCTGCATCAACTACAGTATACACACTGACCATTTGAGTTGGCTCAGCGATCAAAGCAGATACTTCCAGGAAAAATGCGTTTTGAATGAATCCAACACTGGCCTTTGTAAACTTTATAATTGCACCACGAAGGCCTCATAGGAGCGGAGCGCTACCGTTGAGTGCGATCCAGAGGGGCATCATGGACTGTTGACCCTTGATGAAAGATTTGCTGCGGCTATAGCAGTCAACACGGACTAAATGATGAATGAAGGCAGAGTGCTCCACTTTGCAGATCATTTTGAAAGGGGCCGGCCGACACTTTTGCGCCGGCATAGACGTCAGCAGCCTGGCTCAGTTTATGGTTGCTAACAAGGACCTTGGAGAGGGCAGAGAACAGGAGAAGCTGAGGAGAGACATCAAGGAAATGCAGGTACGTTGGTGCCATTGCTCAATCTGATTGTCTTGTATAATCTGGTAACAGGGCGTCCTCCTGGATTGTGGATTTCAGGAGATTGATCTTATATTTGAGCGGTCACTGTATGATGACTGGATGCAAGGCCGTGAGCTGTGCTTTTCTTTATTCTCAAGAGGTTTTAGTGATTGCCTCTTAAGGTGGTGGTCATCCTGAAAGTAGATCAATCAGTAAATTTAAACCGGAGAAACAAGCGGAATATGGACCATCATTTCCTAGTCACTATCGTTCCTACGAGCTTGTCCCTTGAAAGGCTGACGAGCTCCTTCTTCTGGAAACTTTGCTCCAGGCGTCCTTCACAGCGTTTGAGGAGTGTAGGAAGCCAGTCATTGCGGCTGTCCATGGTGCGTGCATCGGCGCTGGCGTTGACATGGTAAGCTTTTGAGATGGGGGAGTAGACCATCACATCACATTCCGAGCCTATGGTGTGTTTGATAACAGAGACCGACACAACAGCTCATAAACACAGCCTTTTCAGGTCTGATCTAGCCAGGTTTTTAGATATGTTGAAAGATGCAAACGAGAACCCAGGGAAATGATTTTATTGCGGTTAAAACTATCTACTGACCATTGGGTTGTCGCCCACACATCTGCTTTCTGCGGCGCCAGGAGGTGAAGATTGTTGGTTTGAGGGGTTTGCCTCTGTTACGACAGCAACCTTTGAACCATTTCGACGTCTTGCTTCAAGTGGCTCCGATTGAGAGCGATTGAGTAACGATTTTCGTTATTCTGACAGATCACAGCTTGTGACATACGGTACTGCACAGAAGATGCACGCTTCAGTGTAAAGGTGAGCCATGACAATCTTTGCGACCTGTCTTGAAGTCTTCATCTTTCTCAAAAAGTCTCTGCACAAACGGGGGCCTTCTTCATTTGTGAGCCATTACGTGAATTAGCCTGTGTTTGAGCGGCTTAATTTCATCGAAACTGTGTCGACACCAGTTTCCGACAAGCAGCGGCTGTAAGTTCTTCCGACAGCTTTTGGAGGGAACCTTGCCTCTCGGACTTCTCTACTGGATCGAGCGAGTTGTTCAACGTCCTGACATGTCAACAGGTCTACGAAACAAGAGAAGCCGTCGAACAATCAATGTTAAGACGTTTGGAGGTGTGCTTAGGCTATACTATCCTCTGCTTCTATGTCTTCTCTTTCGACCAAGTTTGGGGACGCAATGTCACTTGCTCTTCATCTTTTGGCTCGTTGTGTATCATCAATGGAGCTCGACCTCTGTTCATTGGGAGCATGTTACTGACTCTAACTGTCAGGACACCGTGGAAGTTGAGAGACCGGTGTCAAAATCCTCCACGTCTGGGAGGACGTGAAGAAGGGCATCGCTCACGTTGCCTTCTGTGCCTGGGCAGGAAGTGGATCTAGCCATAACGGCGGACATCGGCACCTTGCAGCGACTGCCGGGGATCGTTGGAGAAGGTAGGTCCCGAGCCTCATCATACCGAGCTTCTTGCTCATCAACGTTATAGGCACATGCACGTCCCTGGAGGTGAGCATGCATATATCACCTTCAAAAATCTGTACCGAAGCATGCATGGGCTTCGGTACCCGAATTTGAGCCAGGATTTCTAGTCGCACTATGAACCTGCTTTGAGCGTTGAGGCTGGCGTACCACGTCCATCGCGTTTAGTTGTCCGGCACGGGCTGCGAAAGAAAATAATGAAAGCAGGGGCTTGGACCGCAATTGGATGCCGATAAGGTATCCTGTTTGACATGCAGTGCTCTATTCAGTTGGCGCTCAAAATAACTTGAATAGGAAACCGTAATAGAACTTGCCAGGTGTTCAAGCATATGGTAGCTTAGACATACATTCGTCATAATCAAATACTTCTGCAAAGCAGTCACTCATGCGCAAGCTCACATCATTTACGCCGGACAACCAAGTCTAAACATATGCATTGGTCAACAACAAAGCTAGCTAGCTGAGTCCACTACTTTCATTCTAGCGCAGCTTGGCATCGGTGGTTGAAAGTATATCACGTGTTTGCAGGGATAGCCAGGGAACTTGCCCTGACAGCCCGAGAGTTTGATGGACAAGAAGCGAAGGATCTGAAACTGGTGAGTCGAACTTTCTCTCACTTCATTCGGTATATAGTGCCACTCTCTAAGGAACGATGGCACCCGCCGGTATTCCAAGACACAGGAAGAAGCACTGTTCGGTCCCAATGGCCCGCAGCTCACAGAAATACAGGTGGCTGCTCCCACCACCATCAGGAAAGTGGACATATCCAAACTCATCAAATCTACATCATGTTACCATCAGAAGCATGAGGAAACTAAAGCCAACACTGTCGGCAATCGCGAGTTGCTACAGATTGAACCAGCTCCATCACATGCTTCTGGATAAAAAACAGCTTGCGATTCTGTTCTCAAAAGGCTACGTACAGTATGACTCTCTAACGTAGTATGCTATGTACAACCACCTGCCTCAACAGGAGCATATCAACTTTGCGCATGCTTGACAACAACTCCCTCTTGGTGTCAGGCCTGGTGTCACAAATCATTTTGCAAATTGCATCCCCAGACAGATCCTGCAGGAACAATAAAGATCCGTTTGGGGAATGACAATCATGCTGTCCTGAGTGATCAAGCCATGCTTATTCTGAGTTGAACAGCTTAAGTTTACCTTAAGTTTGTGGAACCCTGTCCCAGCGTCCTCACTTTGTTCTAAGTTCCGGTGCAGTCATGCTTTTCCACCAGGCAGAGTTACAAGGACACTTTTCAACGTGAAGATAGTCCTCAAAGCAGTCCGGCTATAATCTTTCGGAGCACTGATTGCGCAATTTTCTTATTTCTGATTGCCTTGGGGCTTGTATGTGTGGTTTGTTTATTAGATCTGGCACTTGCAGTTCATGTGCGGGAAAGTGAAGGGCTTTCTTGAACAAAGCAAGCAGATTTTGAAGGATTGGATAACTTTTTGCTTTGCTTGTTCTGATGGATGCAAATTATACCCACTCATAATTGCAACTGGACTGGAACCTCACCTCTGTTGTTAGCTAGCACGCTATGCATGGGAGGTGGTCAAGCCGGTCGCTTCTGCTATTGACGAGTACCCCGTCCCTGCTAACCTCTCCTCATGCCACCTCTTCCCGACCGCCAGCGCCACAATTGCTGCCCAAAGGAAAACAAGCACAATGTTGTGCCACACAAACCGCAGGAAATCACCCAAGAACCAAAGGATTGTGATGCCGACAATTGCAATAATTGGCCAGCGGTCAGTTGCGTGTTGCCGCCAGTCCTGGCCAGAGAAGGAATCGCTTGGGGGAAAACCAGGGGGAGGGAACGGAGAGGAACCCTGAGCGTGCGCCATTGTCTAGATCAGGGCCCAAGCTTTCCTTGACACGCTTCAAATTCTGCGCTGAGCCAGGGAGGCAAGACTGAGCATCATTTGCAATCCTGGAATTTGCGGACCGTACGGCATTTCTCGATTTTCGTTCTTTCGTACGGTCCGAATGTGTTCTGACTCCTGAGATGACTCCTATTTTAAAAACCCCGTGTCGCGCGCGGCCGCCTCCGCGCGGCCAGGCCTAGACTATGAGCTACCGTACGTGCCAATCGTCGCGGCGGCTCATGCATCAGCTCATAGCCGCCCGCGCTGGGGCTCCGGCTGGTGCCAGCATACTGGGCAGCCGCTCCTTATTGCTGTTTCCCCCACAGATTGTACGTTACTGGTACTGTAGCTGCACTAACAGGGCTGTAATCCTAGGCCTTTGCCACAAAGTTTGAGCGGGGCACAGAAAAGGCGGCAATCAGGTCAGGTCCAGTTAAAGCTGGAAATAGAACGAGCAATACTTCGTGCTATCAGGGCGGTCCTTCTTCGTACCGTCAGCTCGTCACCGCTCGAATTTACACTCTGACAAAAGTTTTCTGGTTCACATCTTATGCGCTCGGGGATTATTATGAACGCCAGACACCAATTCTCAGCCTGTTTCTTGTGTCAGGTCAGCAGAACGTTCCCCACTCAGCAGCAGCTGTACTCCGCGGTTGACGAGATTGCGAGGAGCATCGCAGCAAAGTCGCCGCTGGCGGTCGTGGGCACGAAAGCAATCCTCCTCCACAAAAGGTAGGTCTTCACAAGCTGCTAGGTTCCCCATCGCCGTAACTTCAGGGCCGAACTACAAGACGTCGCGTCAGACCTTTCCTGTCATACCGAGCTGCAAAGAGGGTTTCTGACGTCCTCTGGCTTGCTTCTGTTGATGAACGCGTGATCGTCATTCTCTTGTCTCAGACAAAGTATGTCGTTCCGGGAAGGAGCCGCCTAAGCCTTGTTTCGATGTGGAAGTTCTGTTCATCGTCGACAAAATGCTGATACTTTCCTTAGTGCCGTGAATACTAATTGACTAATGTCTCGAGGGTTCGGCTGCTGTGGCATGCAGATTTTCAGAGAGCCTAGAGATTTCTACTTTGTTGCCCAGAACTACTTGAACCCCCAAATCGTCTTGCTCCCAAGTCTCCTTCCTCGCTTTCGTTCAAAAAGATTGCAGTCCGTATCTTAAAGACGGTCTCGCAGGCTGATGTGTATCAGGAATCGATTGCCAGTTTTTCGCCTCTTCCATTGTAATGCCTTCTCGATCTGAGGAGGCTCTCTGACCGCATATACGCACTAGCGGTGATAGATTCTGTCGTGCGACCTTTTTGCTCTATGCTGCATCGCTTTGTCCAATTCTGGTGGTCAATCTTAACAGCAAAGTTGCAGGGTATTTTTGCGGGTGTAATACTCTTTTTCTGAGCGTCCTTGGCAACTTCCTTCCGTGTGTATCCGTATAAAGTCGCCTTTTTCTGCAGAGATCACAGCGTGAGCGACAGCCTGGACTACGTGGCCACCTGGAACTCCGCGACCCTGAACTCGACCGACCTCAAAGAAGCCATGCAAGCGCGCCTGGAGAAGCGCTTACCATCATATTCGAAACTGTAAGCATAGTATGTCCATATATGGCTCATGTTGTACTATGGGCCCTTACTAAGCAGAGAACTGAAAAGAGAAAGCAGTCAGCTTACCATTATGTGTTCTAGCCTGCCGCCCAATCTGATAATCATCAAGATGGAAGAGATCAGGTACGTGTCCCGGTACGTGTAGATAGACGCATGTTGAGCTCCAAGTCGTGAGTAGTCGTTCAATCCTTTGCACGTACTGCTTCAGACGCGCGGCCCGGCGGCTTTCAATTTCGATTGCTGCACGAAATATGATACTGCGTCGATCGGACCCATGACAGTGCGAAAGAAAATGCATCCATGAGTCGGGCTCAACGGTTCATGTTGTGTATGGCGCGGCCGCCACGACGGTCAACGTGAATTGAAGGCAGTCGCACATACTGAGATGCCTTGATGTCTTGCATCATATATGCGCAGGCTTTACTTAAGCGGCTAGCTGCCGCCCAGTCCAGCTAGTGACCATCATTGCGGTACGTGTGCAAAGCCACATGCACGGGCCAGTCCCCTCACACTCACGTCATATGAGCATCATTGTCGGTCGAGTGCAATATGCAATGGAGCGATTTAAAGCCTATCATCGACCATGACATGGTGCTCATGATTGAAATGACTCCTCATGCAGATCGGACATTACGTGTAAACACACGTATACAATGAGAGTATGACCTTAAGCTATCCGCTGGCTGCCAACTACTAAGACTTGCCTGACGCTGCCGCCGCCCTGCTGAGTGCGCCGAGGCGGCTACAACGAATAATACGTGCGGCCAGGCCAAAAATGGCACACTACCATGTCAGTGCTTCTCTCGCTCGGCGGGCCAGTACGAAGTTTGACAAAAAGTTAGCCGCAGGTCTGGTTCTTGCAACAGAGCTGTCGCCAGAGAACATCTTTATCCTAATTGGACACTACTGCAGAAGACAGCGCCGCGCTGCGGCAGCAAGGCGTGTACATAACAAAAAGTCTATTGCGACGTTCCTTGCACCAGCTGCTGCTGGCGTCGAACCTATGATCTTGACAAAGTCGCTCTTGCGACGTCTCGAATCAACACTTTCAGGACAAGACGGCTGCAATCACACTCCGGTCACCCGCTTGCTTTCGCCCGATTTGGCATCCCCGCTCCTCGTTCTGACATGCTTGACGTCACGCTCATGCTCAGGTATGTGCTGAAGCTCGACCATCCGGTCCCTATCTCCGGCGACCAAGCAACTCCCTGTACGAGCCGAGGTGCCCGCGTCTACGTTCAATCCGTTGTCCTCCTGCCAGTCCGCCACGGAACTGCTGCGCCGCCGGATGTCTTCCGCCGCCGCGCTGCACAAAAACGGAATGCACGATGAGACAGTGACCATGACGGTTGCCAATTTTGGCTGAGAAACATGTGACACCGAAAAGCAGGATAGCTTTATCAACAGAGGCGTTCATTGAAGTCAGAGGCCCCACTGAGAAGTCAATTTTACGCTTCTCAAGAGCCATGTTCGTTGACGCCACTACCCACTAGGACAAACATGGATCCTGAACGTTTCGGGAGCGTATGAGTACTTAGAGGCTTCTGCGGCAAACCCGCCATCGGCTTTCAACGCTTCGAGCGTAGTACCTGACCAGTAACCGTCCGATCGCTTATGATGGAGGCATCGAACGGCCCAAGATCAGGAATCATGCTGTAAAACCTTGTAACCCGACGCAAACAGCTCCAACTTCTAGCAAATGTCTGTGTTGCATGAATCTTGTCGTGCGCGATGCGCCCACCTGCATCCAATCTGCGTCGGCATCACCGCGGCCGCCTCCTCGCGCTGCATCCGCCGCTTGCAGCCCGCCTCCCGGCCTTGCTCCAGTTCTTGGCAGATGTGGTGGTCCTCGGGCCAGTACCGTCTGCGTAACAGAAAACGTTCTTCAGCAGCGAACGTTGGGCCTGTTTTCATTTGAGATAGAAACGAGCGGGAAAGTCAGTCCTGATACATGTGGTTGTCAATGTCGGCAGATGTGGTGGTCCTTGGGTCACTACCGTCTGCGCAAAAGTAAGCGGAGTTGGTGGCCATCAGTATAAGGCGTTCTGGGACTCGCCGCAGTGAATTTCGTTGTTTTCTGCGTCAATGGGTGCCCATCTGGCTGGGAAATGGATGACGCACTCTGTGCGCCAATTTGATGCGGGGGGGAACGTGTGATCACAAAAGTATGCGTGTATGCACGGCAAGTCATCCAAACACATCTTGACTCCAGCAGTATGCACGGCTCCGCGAGAGCGAAGCTAGCAGACGGCGCGTCTGTAGTGCAGATGAGCCTCACCTTGGGGTGAACACAGTTAATGTTTCTGTTCAGACATGCAACATATCACAGTGTACGTTCTGTTTTCGACAAATGCTCGTCGAAGCGGAATGAGAGCATCTTCCTCAGAATGTTATCCGGAAGGGATAACCCGCTTGACAGTCCAAGAGCCAGTGAGAGGTGTACTAAAAGACTGACCATCTAGCTGAACACGATAACGCACGAATGGCCCGTCCCGTCGGAACGCTTAGGCCCTTCATGAGAGATTAAAAGGCGTACTAAAAGCATGTTTATGAGAATTAAAGACTTTAGCTGAGATCTGCCCGTCGACTCAGTCGTCGGCGTTCCGCTCACCGCAGGAATGACCGGACGCAGAAGTCCGGCAGCAGGGCGGCGGCCAGAACGAGCGGAAGCAGCAGCCAGAAGGCTGCGCTGGGTGCGTTCTCGGTCACAAACAGCGCGCGCGCGACGCCCACATAAGCTATGGGGAAGATGCCGATCGCCAGGAGGAAGATGAACCAGAGGGAGATGCTGCCCCAGATTGCCAGGTGGTGCAACCACGTCCAGTATTGGATTGCCTGAAAAGCGGGAACGGCGTGGCGCTTAATGAAATCCCTTGAGGATTTGATTCGACCTGATCTCAGACCGACAGTGCTGCCAAGCTTGTCAACTTATGAGACGCTTTTACGGATCTGCGTTAACAGAGCAGACTTCGTATGCAGACTATCAATAAATTTTGAAACAATGGTTGATGACCCGGATGCGCAGAATACAGTGACCAGAACTTGTCTGATACCAGAGGGCAGAACCCGACGGCCTTTTCCTTGGATTCATTCAAGAACCTACTCATAGAATGCGAGCAGATTGTAGAGTTTCCAATAGATGCAGTCGAGCGCGCACGCAGGTCACTCACAACAGCTATCTGGCAGTTGACGCAGATGACGACGACTGTGTAGAGCGTGGTTCCCGCGCCAAACAGGCCGACCATATGTCCATTCTGCCGTTCCGGCCAGATCCGGTAGAGCAGAGTTACGAAGGCGAAGCAGACGATGGACTGATAAAGGCCGTTGAGCATCCAGATGCCGACTTTGAGGGGGCCGAAATAGAGGTTCCGCTGGCCCTGCGGGAGGGGAAGAGCGGAACGAGTTACGGAAACGAAATATGCAGCGGAAACTGTTTACAGTCCGCCTTTGAGCGTATCCTCTATTTTTCAAGAGATGAAGGTGTGGCAGATGCGCCCACCAAAGCTCTGGATACCGGGTTTCTTGATCAAAACGGGTTAGAAAAGAGTGGTCTGATTGCAATTTTGCTCTACAGGCCCAATTCCAACATCTGTAGTGTCGCAATTCTTTCAAGCGTCGCAGCTATGACTACCTAGTTCCTGTGACGAATTTCCAGGCGGAGCTCTGGTCGGGCCGGAAACTCCGAAAGAGCGGAAGCACACCGAATGGGTTCGCCCGCAACTCACGTTCTCTTACAGCGCGGGAAAGCGCAGGCATCTGCGCACTCTGAGCCGAAAGGAATTCGTTGCAAACGATCGGAAGCGGAACGCCCACTCACCTGCTGTAACAGCGCGGGGAAGCGCAAGCGCGCGCCGCACTTGGGCCAAAACGGAATCTGTGCGAAAGAGCAGAAGCGGAACGGCCGGACTCACCTGCCTGTAAAGCGTGGGGAAGCGCAAGGCGCGCGCGCAGATGGGGGCCAAAAAGGAATCTGTGCGGTCGAGCGGAAGCGGAACGGCGCCACTCACCTGCTGGTACAGCGCGGGAAAGCGCAGGCGCGTGCGTGCGCTCACGTCCTGGTCCAGCACGCCCATGATGACGACAGGCAGTGACGTAAACACGACGTTGTAGATCGTCAGATACCAGTCGTGGTAGATGGTCTGCCCGCTGAAGAAGGCGAACGCGTTGAACCAGAAGAGCGTGAGGCCGAACACGATGTTCTTGTAGAAGAAGTAGGCGACCATGCGCGAGATGCGCTTGTAGCACCAGCCGCCGTGGACGAGCAGGAGGCGCTCCAGGAAGCGGAACTGGGAGATGGCGAAGTCTGACGCCATCACGGCCTGGAGAGAAATTACCTCAGAGTCAGTGCTCCTTCATTGTCATTCCCCAGTATTAGTTGCAGATCCTACTTGTTTCTGGATACTGAGAGGTCATTTGGAAACCCTTCTGAGAAGTGACTGGCAACACGATGTTGTAATCTGGGGAATATTCGGTTTAAGAATGTTCAGGGGTCTGAGTGCTACACCTCCGCGAGCAGCACAGCGGCGCTGCGATTGGAGAAGACAAGCAGGTGTTTGCTCAATTTCTTGTTTGATAGAACGATGCCAGAATATCTCAGGAGAAAACGCCGCCAGGACCTTACCTGTTGCCCTTCAACGCCGCTGATCCCAACTCCGATGTCCGCCGCTTGGATCATGCCAACGTCATTTGCGCCGTCCCCTATGCCCAGGCAGATCTTTCCGGTGCCCTTTTTGACCATCAAAGTGACCAGGGCTTTCTGCCGAGGGGACACGCGGCAGCAAATTACCTGCGGAGCATTCAGACCACGCGACTTCAGTAAATGCATCAGCTTTCGAACTTTGACAGAAGGCCAAATGACATATTCGCAGTATTTTTGCCCTTAAATCTGGCTTCAGCTGCTCGTAAACATCAAGTCGTGTAGGATGCCGAATTCAGAGATTGGGGAGGAGTATATGAAGCTCTTTCTGACTAGGATTCCCTACCGGAAGGGCGACTCAGTTACGGTTGACAATCTACCAAAACGGCAAATGAAGATGCATGAGAATACAGCCAGAACCTCTTCATCAAAGTAGCGCTAGACATTTGGTAGAAACATGATACGAGCCCTGCCGTTTACGCACGAGGGGCGTGTTTGCTGTCCTCTGCAAGTCAAGCTGTCAAAAGATTTCTAGCGAGAGAGCCCACTATGCTCACGCGCTCACCGAGTCGCACTGCTGCGCGAGCGCCAGGAACTGCGCGCGCAGCGCGTCGTCGAGCGCGTACGTCAGCGCCTTTCCGTCGATGACGAGCGCGAACGCGAAGAACGGATCCGCGACCGCGCCCTTCGCGCGCGCGGCCGAGGCGTCCGCGAGCTGGCGACCAACGCTGGCCATGGACGCAGTCCTGGTCGCCTCGCGGTCGCCGGACGCTTCCGCGGCGGTGACGGCGGGGTCTGAATCCAGCACGACAATCGCTTTCTCCATACCCTGCGGCGCAGTTCAAGGGTGAAAATAAGCATCGGAGGACTGAGACATGAAGATTCTGAAACTTTCGAGGGTGTTAGGCTACGTGTGTTCCATTTAAGGGCTAGGGTGTTGTAAACTGGTCCTTTTCAGCGCGGCTCCTGTCAATTTGCGAGAACACCGCCAGCCGAGGTCGGGAAGATTGGATCAGCGATGCCCAACCATTCAGTCGTTTTTGACAATATCAAAGTATTCTGGAGAATTGTCAGATCTCGAGCGTTACAAAACTGCATTCAACAAGCGACGCTAGGTCCAGAAAGCGGACTCTCTCTCCTCATCCAATTACATTCCTATTGAAGTGCAACGTTTTGCGACGGTCAGGAACTTATCGTGGGTTGAATACCGTTCCCCTTCCTCACCTGTCTCAGCAGACTGCACGCATAGCCTATGTTGATGGCCGTCTCCAGCTTGTCCCCCGTCAGCACCCACAGCTTCAGCCCGGCTCGCGCTAGAGAATCGATACACTCGGGCACCCCCTCCTGCAGCTTATCCTCTATGGCCGTACACCCACTCAGGACCAGGTTCTGCTCTATCTCTTCCGCAAGCGCCTCGAGCGCGGCCGCCTGCGCGCAGGGGAAGACGGGCTTAAGTGGGCGTTCAATTTCAAAGCTCCGGAATGCACACTCCGTGCATTTGAGTCATTTTTCAATGGACCAGATTGAAACTCCAGCCAATCTGGGCCCCCACCACCGCAGTTGGCCTTGGGGTGCCCATGCATGGCCTGCGCCCACTTTAAGGAACTCCTTCAAAATCCCTCACCCGACAACCCGTAAAACCGTCTGACACAGCGGAAGCGCAAGCAAGGCATTTAACGTACACCTTAGCCGCAGTCCCAATCAGATAACATCAGTCTCAATCAGATGCCTCGCTTTGGGTTTTGAGGTGGGGGTTCCAGGATGCCTCGATACAATGAAGGTGGGTGAAGTTTGAAATTCCAATCGAGAATACCCGCAAGAGAATCTCGAGACGAGCCCTCCCGACAGCGAAGCTCCCTTCAGTATTTTCCCTGTCCGCCAGGTCGATTTTGCTGCGCTTCCGAAAATTGAGCTTCGAAAATTGGAGAACTGATTCAACGAACCACTAAAAGTAGGTGCATGAAAGTTGCAGCGGCGGTTAAAACATAGTCTGTGACCGGGAAGAGGTTCTTTGCGGATGCTCAAACTCTTACCTGCACGTCGGCGCTGACGACCGTTGTCTTGGCAGCCATCCATCGGCGCTGCCAGTCCGCGTATACGCCCTCGTCCAGCTCGGCGAACGCGAGGCAGAGCGTGCGCAGGCCGGCGTCGCCGTACTCCGCCATGTGCTGGGCGGAAGTCTGCGGGGTCATCTTTTGGGTTGAGTTTGGGGCTATGACCAGTCTTTGGAACAGATACAGCGTTGAACGTCTCAAAGAATGCCAGATAAGAAAAATACGCTCCATTTGGTCCCTTTTCGCTGCTTTGTGAAAGCGTACAAGGATTGCTGATGCGGAGTATTACTAATCGAAGACGGCGTGATATCACGAAGAAGCGGTGCGACGGTAACGCGCAAAAGAATCGAAGGCAGTCGCCAGAGCAAGACCACGTGGTATTTGATAACGCCATATACTTCAGTTTATCGCGGCTGAATGTCCTCTAAGAGCTCACTGCAATGCGCCAGCCAACCAATTCTAAAAGGTGCTTCCGCCGTCTTCAAGGACTGGGCGGAACGGAACGGCAACAAACTTACGCCGCGAAACTCGTTGCCGGTCGCGCTGAGCCGCTCGTAGATGACGGAGTCGGCGCCCTTACAGAAGAGGAGCAGCTGGCCGCTAGAGCTGCGGACCACGACGGACATGCGCTTCCTGCGGACAGGTGTATGCAAACCGCTTCAGAATCTGGACGCTTGAGGGCACACTTAGGTCAGGTCGACGGTTCACAGGTTGCACGGGTATCTGCCCTGTTTCTAAATGCCATCTGCATTGGAGTTCCAGGGTTTACTTACAAAGAATCTGGCGGATTGCGGTCCGGCCAACGTCCTCCTAAAGCCTCTGGGTTTTAGGTTTTATTGCCGGTCGCAGAAGTTTACGAAGATGCGGCGCACCATTTCAGTTGTCGAATAGACTGCTGACACACGTACGAACTTCGAAGTACTCAATGTCAACGCATCATCTTCTAGTCACCAATATCTTTAGAGTGCTCCAAAGTGCGCTTTACTTGAGCAAGGCCGAGGAGCAACTCTGTCACGCACGAAGGAGGAGTACGTCTGATTCATAGGTACCCTCGTTGATAGCTTCCCAAGCTGCAAATATGAATGTCTCATTGTTTGAAAATACCGGAAAACCTTGGACGAAGGCTCACCTGGTACTGTTGAACTCGAGCACATTCAGGACGTCGTATCTGCAGTCGGCGACCGTTCCGTTTCCGTGGTCCTCCTTCACCCAGATCGACTCCGCGGAACGCTTGTAGAAGAAGAAGCCGAACTTCTTCGCCGCCACCACGAACGCGGCCTCGTCCGGGGATTCCGCCTGGTACCGGATCGCTTCCGGCGTCGGATCGCCCTCCGGAATGGCGGTATGGCACACCGCCAGAATCTACAGAGCGTTAGGATTACTTAAGGAACTTTCAGCATACCAGCTTGTATCAATGACGCGCTTCTTGAGCTTATGTCAGCCACGCCAAACCATAGATGCGCGTTTTTTTAGCTGCTTCGTTGCTTGCTCTTGAGAAGCTTTTGTATAAATCCCCACTAAAGGAAGCCTCATCCTAATCACCTGAGTACGATGACGGCATTGACGATGTCTCACGCACCTGGAAGAACCGCCTGATGACGTCACACCGCGCCTCCTTCACCCACGCCCCCCCCATCAACCGTGAATCGTTCAGATTGAACCCCTTTTCGTGCCAGGGGGATAAACCCCCGGCTTCCGTGGCCCCCGCCCCGAGATCTTTACCGAGCCGCTTTGCGGTGGCCCGCTCGATCTCCGTTACGCCCGTCCCATAGCTTATCCCCGCGATGCTGCACTTGAAGAAGTCCATCTGGTTGCGCGTCAGCGTGCCGGTCTTGTCGGAGAGGATCGTGTGAACCTGAGGCGGAAACGGATTCCGTCAGCACGTGAAGCGGAGACGGGAAGAGGTGTGCGCACCGGAAACGAATAACGAGTTCAGACAGGGGGGTTTGCACGACCTGTCGCGCTCCTCCTTTGAGATTCCTTGCAATGCGAATTAATCTCTGATTGCCTTTGCTGATATTCAACAGTAGAAGGCACATGCTGTCCCTTGCTCTTCTTGCGGAAGATGTGTTCTCCTTTGCAAAAGGCCGATTCACAACCTGGCCCAGCTCCTCGTTGAGGTTAGACGTCCGCGGCACGCAGTGCTTGTCGGTTTCTTCGTAGTACATGTGCGCGTCGCAGCTGATGAAGAACGCTTGGAACGCCTTGACCACCTCGATAGACACGTACAGCGAGATGGGGATGAAGAAACCTGCGGCAAGTCACTTGCACGTTTCAAGTTCAGCACTTTGCCTGGAAGAGTAGTAAGAGTCGCATACTTAGCAGAAGTGCTGAATGTGTTGGCTCGCAAGGCACACAGGAGAAATCCAGAGCAGGAATTAGCCTGCGGAAGGTCAGTTGGACGTTTCGAATTTCGCAAGTTGCTGGGAAGAATCACGTGTTGCGCGCGGGTGCCAAACCTGCGCTCAAAAAAAGTACTGGCAGAAACCACAAGGAAAAGCCTGCTGGCACATACTTCCACTTTCCGGCTAAGCAGGTGGCTGGAAGGGTTCCTTAACAGGCTCCGGTGCTCGAACTTGTGAGCCGGAAACTTCCTTCGATCACCTCCCTCCAGAAACGAAGCACGTCTGAAAACGACGTTTGCCTTCTTCAAGAAACAGGAGCTCGGAGTACGAAACGGGGCTTCCTTTTGGACATGATTATCTGGTTAGGACACGACTTACCGTAGAGGACAATGCTCGTAAGGAACTGGAGGAACCCCCCGGTCACGCTCTTCGTCGGGTCGAAGTACTCGGTAGTATCCCCCGGGTCCAAATACCACATCTTCGCCCCTTCTTTCCCCATCCACGCCCCGAAAGCGACCGCCGAAATCGTGCTCATCAGCACCAACAAAAAGAACATGAAGTAGATGATATAGTCTAGTTGCTGCTCGATTCTGCTGCGCTTGGAGGGGGGGTCGGTTTGGTTCATCATGATTTTGGAGTCGTGCCCGGTGAATATGACCAGGCCGTAGATGTAGTCTGTGTTGCGCAGGCTGGAGCCCCGCAGAAGGAGTTGAGAGGGCCCCAGGGGGATTGGCTCGGGGGAGGCCCCCGGCCAGTCTAGGTTTCCGACGAAAGTGTAGAGTGACGTGTTTGGCTGCTCGCACGAGAGCCGGCCCTTGAGCTGGTCCAGCGTCTTGCGCTTGAGTTCCTGAAAATGGTCAGGGGTGACGGGTTAGGGGAGGGATCATGCGTGCAAAATAGTCTTTGATAAATCGTGTTATCGACAGAGGAAGACCAATCGTCATGCCAATATTCTCCTGATAACATACAGAAAGGTGGATGCGGACAGGATCGTTGGCCGTTTTGGTGCGTTTTGACCTGCTTCTTAAACACTTCCAGAGTGGTGATTCAGAGGACAGACAGATTCATCAGGGGCCGAAGGTGGTGAGAAAGATTGCTTACTAGATAAGCTGATGCTTACGAGAATATTGGCAAGCGTCTTTTGTAATGAGCACCGGGAAGATTTCGAAAGCGGATGGACTCAGGGCCAGACCAGCAAGAATTGTAGACATACCTGCGTCTTTTCCAAGCACTTCTTGTTCTTCAGATTTGTCTCGCCGTCCAAGTTCATGGTTTCTACGTAGCAGGAGCCTTCGGCGTTGCTGCTCGACAAGAACACCAGGTCGGCAGGGAAGAAGTTGTTCTTCTTTACCCTCACAATATCCCTGGAGTGAAAAGACACACACGCTCTGACATGTTCATATGTGCAAGTGCTCCAAAGGTCTCCGATGCAGAGTCTTTACTTCCGACTGGTGGTGGTTCGGAGCGTCACTCAGTGCTGCCCGTCGAGGGATCCTGCAAAGATAAAAAAGTGGACGGAGAGGTGCAAAGTATAGCATAGTTTGCACAGGGAATCCTCAGATCATACCAGCATTAAGTCGCTGACGGGGGTCCGCAATCGGTCAATATTGCAAAATAACTGTGTCTGCCTGTCAAGCAGTAGCGAAACCCGTTTGCCGTGCAAAGCACCTCAGTTGATGGACACAGTTTCTCCACTACTAGTTGTTTTTCCGATGTAGTCCTGATAAGCTAGAAAGGATGTCACTGAACCAACAGAAAAAGAGTGCTTGTGATTATTCAAGCCTTCCGGAGCAACTAGATGAAAATGAAAAAGTAGGCAAGATTCTTATTGAGCCAAGGCCAATTACAATCACGAAACTGGACGGAGAATTGTTAGCGCTTCAAGTGGTTCGCTCTCAGTGCTCCTTATTGTGGTTCTTGCCGATGGTGCTTGCTCTTCTAGTGCGAACACAAGTGTTATCCAAGGAAGCACTAGCATTTTTGGTGGTGTCAGTGTAAGCGAATGGTAAAGCAGAGCTCACCCCACTCTGACGGCCTTCCATGGCCTGCTCTCCAGCTTGCCGTCCCCCGCATACACATCCACCAGCCGGTTATTCACCTGCTTATCTTCCTTTGCCCGCTTATAGTCCTCCCATGCTTCCTTGGCAATACTGACACCGATCACCGCACACAGGGGCGTGATGGTGGTGATGGGAGAGATCGGTGTCAAAGGCGTCAGGGAAAGGCACGCCACAAATGTGAAGTACAAATTGGCCACCCTGCGGAACTGCTCGTAGAGCGCCTTTGGAAAGAAGGTAATCAGGCTGTACTTCGTCGTGCTAATGTTGTTGTTGGCAAACCTGACGGCGGCGTTTGTGTCGGCGTCGTTGCAATGAATAACGCGCACCTCAGCCTCCACTTTCTTGTGGTTGGGGCCGAGCGCCTTTATTGACATGCAACCAAGTCCGCTCGCCATTGCTCCCACTAGCTTGTTAGAAAAGCATTGAGCTATGTGACGTCATTAAAAGCAGGTACCTATGGCACTTTGTTAATGCCAGCTCCAAGTATGAGGCATCTCTCTGTCGGCCTTCTCGTCAGCCACGCAGTAGCTAGCTTCTACTATCAGCATGGGTCTGCATTGGGCTTTAACCGATGTTTCAGCAGCTAAGGAAGGGCGTTGAATAGCACTTCAGAGGCTTGGCTAAATGCAGTGCTGCTGTGTGATGATTGTTGAAGTTACCCCTTTATGCTTGCACCTAAGAATGAGGCCAGCATGCTCAAGATCAGATCTCAGTGCCTCATTCGCAATTTGGGTGACTGTCTGAATGACTCAAACCTTTCCATTGGCACCTACACATCAGTCCGCAAAAAATACGGAAACCTGGCCGGCAGCAAACGCCCTTGCATTGGTAACTATATTGCAACCTGAGGCTTTGCGGCGACGTTCAACGGCTTCAGTGCTCTGAAGAAGCACCCCTCTAGACTTCTCTCTACTTTTCGCATACAAATACACTGCCCGCCAATGCGTCAGCTGAGGCCTCCAAAGGAGCACCCATTGATGGCTTGCTATGAACAGAAGAACCTGTCCTTGCAGAAAGATTCGGTGAGAGGACCAGCACCATTCTGCTGATCCCGGGCCCCATTTGCTGTAATTAAAGTCTGCTGGCAAAGAACCTAAATGTGCGCGGAGTCCGAGTTTTGGATCATGCACGCCGACGTTCTCGAACTGGGACGACGAGTCTCGCCCGTCGATAAAATGGAGCATCGACGGCTCCGATGCCCGGAAGTTCAAAAGTTGCCTTCAGCCGAAACACCGGTGTGCATGATTTTCACATGTGTAAGTCTCAGAGTTGATTTACAAGGAGGGTGCTGCCAGTGAGAAACCAGGGGCCATGAATTCAACAAGAAAGGCAGTCACCAATTCACAGTCTCTTTGCTCCGCAGAACAGTTTTAAATCAAATCCAGGCTCCAAGCAATCAAGTTGAATGACCTGATCAAGTGAAGTGGTCCCAAAACTATTGATTCTTTCTTTTTAATTTGCGAGTCACCAGGATTGCTTTCAACGTCAGCCAGGTCAGCCAGTCGTGCATCAAACACACAAATGCAGTTTGATCAAGCTGATTTCCGTTGGAACGGCCAAAAGATTTGCTGACTCATTAGAGATTCACGATGTAATACTGTAACGTGGCAATCGAGAAATCTCGAACAATTGCATGCAGTAGTGCCAGGGCCTACACGAGGCAGCTTTCATATCTTTTGGAAACAAAAGAACGATCCAAACCTTCCCAGAACAGCTTACTTCTGCAGAAGATATTGTCCTTTGTTCTGATCGAATTCGTAGTTGCGGCCGGCCACTTTGTGGACGTTCCCACCAAGGAGACAAGTTTTTGGATAAAACAGACATTGTCGTTCGAAAGCCTGCATGGATTTCAAGGGCCAGGGTTTGCAGAAAAAGTGGGCTCCGCGTATCTGCTAGACGCTAGCCTTGAAGACATGTCAGGAGAGACTATGAATGTTTCATACAAACGGAAGTTGGGCCTCAAGCACGAACTGAAGTGGATAGAGTCTCGTTCGTAGTAACGAAAGCAAGTGTCACGACGTGACAAGATGGAAGACCTGGGGCAGATGCCACGTGGCAGCACGGTGGGGGCTGTGCCCGTGCAGACCTCCTACTGGATGATTAGTGACTTTGCGCGCCCCCGCTCTGAGACGGGAGACCTTATCATCGTTGGTAAGCGGGAAACGAATCGCTCACTCTCAAGCCGTTCAGCGATGCGGTATCAATTCACCTCTTTTTCCCAGAAGGTCTGATTGATGTGGGGTTGGTTGAGAATCCTTGCTGTTATTTCAGCAGATGAACGTTTCATCAAGAGCAAACGCCTTCGATTAGCTGCACGATTCAGTCTGTCCGTTCGGTGCTTTCAGCTTTATACAAATTCTTACTCCAGCATTATTCTTGAGAACTTTCAAATAAACGAGATCTTCTAACAATTGTGAATTCTCAAACAAGGTTGCGCGCATTTGTTTCTGTTCTAATTTGGTTAATTGGATAAAGGCCGCTTGTCAATTTTTCAAGTGCCTGCTTTAAACAAGCTTCAATTCGAGGCTTTTCCTTTCTCAACGGACCCCTTTTCAACGAGCGACGGCGCTCTGCGGTTATGCCGCTGCAAAGAGACGGTTAAGGTACTGGTCGGATTATAAACACCAAGAAGAAAGCTGGGTTTCACGCGCCTGGTCTTGACAAGCTCGGGAAGTCTCGACTTTCTAATGCACGAAATACACCCCTTTACAGACGAGCGATGGCGCTCCGCAGCCGTGCCGCTCCGCATCCGGTGCGCCTCCGACCCGCCCGCGCGCGCGCGCGCGCTCTCCGTGCTCCCCGTCAACGACCGCTCCCGCGCGTTCTCCGACGGCGTGCTCCTCATATCTCGGCACCAACGCTCGAAGCAGTCCTTCGCGGTACGAACCACGAGCGGGCCTTTGCGGGGTTACTGGGACAAACCCGAAACCGAAACCAGGCAAAATCCGGCGAAAGGGTTTGCCGGAGCGGCAGAACAGCAGGGTTTGGTGGGGAAAGGGCCGGTTAGCGAGAGCGAAGCAGGGGGTAATGGGGCAGAGTTTGCACAGCACGGACGCTGGCCCGGTTTGGTAAACATCACCCCCCCAGGGCCGATTTATGAGCTGGGAAGAGACAAAAAGGCCGTCAAAGCGTTGAAGCGAAAGCGGGCCGGTGATGCGATCAGGAAAGAGGAGTTGAGGCCTCTCCCAGGACGCTTCCACGTGGCGATGTCTCCGAATGCCATGCGAGGAAAACTAAAAGCGCCCAGACGAGGTACGTAAGCCGGTGCTGAATGTGAGTTTGTAGCTGCTCACTGAAAGGGCACCAGCTACTTTCGGAAGTCGCATATTTCGGGTTGAAAAGAACGAGTTTGCTGAGGACTGCAAAAGTGGCGAATATTTATCCGCTGTCCAACTTTTGTTTCTCTTCGTGGTGGCGCGAAGGAGTCAGACAAAGTTATTCTTGAAACCTTCGAATGAAATACAAGAATCATAGTATGGTCACAGGGGCATGCCCCTCGTTCTGCCCGTAGTCAAGGCAGAGGGTTACATCGGCGTCCATGATACATCTAACATTTGCCAAAGTGGTTCCCAACTACTCTGCTGCTCAGTCATTCTGTGCAACTCGCCTTTCATCATGTTATTTTATCCCACGTCAACCATTGATATTTGTACTTCCCTACAGCGGCGCTCTACGTGCATCCGCGGTCACCAACAGTCGGCGCACTTCAACAAGAGCTTCAGGAAGTGGCGAATAAAGATCCTACCTCCTTTGAGGCTTACGTCATCAAGGCTCTCTGGCCTGACAAAGTCGCGCAGCTGCAAACATTCCCAGGCGTCGAGCTTGAACGTTTCGATGTCGATGACATCGGCCCTACCGGCTCCCTTTTTCCGGCCGGGAAAAAGCTCCGGGCTAATGAGAGTGGGTATGTAGGAGGGTTAGAAAACGTCGGGGGATCCCCCGGGCTGGGACTAAACCGAAGAGACGAACCTGGGGTTAGAGAAGCACGTGGGCGGGTTGCACCCGGGTTAGCGAGCACAAAACATTTAGCGGGGGGAGAGGGGGTGGAGGCGTCACTCGACGAGGAGTCGTGGGCGGGTCACGGGGAGAGCTTCTCGTTCGATGAAGGGGATCCCTTTGGATTTGCTCCACACGCGGTCACCGAATCCGGGCCAACAGAGCCCCTTACGCCGCTCGGGTTGTTCTCGCACGAAGACCCGTTTCGGTGGGACGCGCACAACCGACTAGGGCCCGTATCTCCACCGAACGTGGAGCCTCCCGGACGCCGGCAGTGGGAGGACCGGGAGCAGGATCCCCCGGGCCGGAGTCCTCGCGAAAGGGATCCCCTGGGCCGGACTATTCGGGCGCATTCCCCCGAGAGCCCAAAGCTGCCGTTCGGGTTCAGCGTTTCGCAGCACCTTCTGGGGGATCGAGACGGGCCCTCTCCGGGCGGTTCATACGTGCCCGGTTTGCGGGACCCCGGGCGAAAGGGCGGCGCCCGGGTGGCTGCCACGTGGCTGGAGACGACGTCAACCCGCCCGCCAAAGCTGCAGGTGCGCAAGACGGTCGACTTTTGAGAAGTAAATAAGCTCCGGAAAACTAAGCTTTAATATACGACTAAAATAAACCAGCTCCACTCTCATAGCTACCATAAGACCTCCAAAGAGAGCCCCCCCGTCCTGTGGTGCTTCGCTGAGGTTTTGTGCAATTTAAAGCGATCGAGTTCTTTCTCTTTGTCAGGTGCGCGGCAGCAAGGGTCAAACAGGGGAGTCGCCGATAGAAACGGTTCAAAGTTCGCGCCCGTTCACGCGCGCACAGAAGAGACGGTCCTCTGAGGAGAAGCACCAATCGGGGCACTTCGTGAGTTTGCTCGGGGAACTGAACCGGGGCGGTGAAGCACTCATTGGAGAAGAAGACGAAGACCCGCTGAACGACTTGGCGGAAGTTGACACGATAATTCAAGAGCCCGGGGATTCGCCCACCGGTGCCATGGACTGGGTTGCGGCCGTGAGCCGGGAGATCCTGGCGTCCTCGGAAGTGTTCTTCGAGAGCGCGCCTGCGGTCGGGACAGTAAGTGTAAGACGACTGCAAAAGTGCGCCGGCCCGATTTGCGCCTCGATTGTCAGGTGTTAAGAGGGCATCGTCGCGCGGAAACGGCTCGAAGCGGCTGGAACATCCTTCCGATCTAGATTGCAAGGGGACTTTTGATTCGCTTGTGTTTCTCTCGGGCTTCGGAATGGTTTGCTAGCAAAGCTTTTTGGAACAATGGCCGTCAAACTTCATCTAGCTTCAGAGTTTGTGATTGGGCTCTCCTTCGGAGGCACTAGCTTCTTCCTCTGCAAATGAATTCTTGACCCAACCTGGAATCAAACTTTCAAGACCGGAAACCTCTTGATACGCGAATCCAGAACCAAGGAAGCGCAAACCTACGTCTTGGCTCAGATCGTACATTGGGCCAATAATGTTTGAAGCCACATACTCCTCTGTGCATTTCATCACGGTTTAGCAAACCTTTCTGATTCCAGCAGAGTGGCGCGACGGACCAGCGGCCCGTCCCCGAGTTTCGTCCGTACCGCGAACTGGTGTCCGAAGTTGTTGACACGTGTCTCGGCGGCGGCGCCCCCGGACCCGGGGCGGTCGCCACGTGTATCAAGAAGCATACGCAGCTTCTGAAGGAAGTGGAAAAGGAATACGGAAGGAGGGAAGCGGACCTAAAGGCGACGCACGAGAAGCAGGATGCGCTGTACGGGGTAAAGGCGGAGGCGCGCGCGAGCAAGCAATCACAGGTCAGCCACAGAACGATCATGCACGGGTAATCTGGTGCGCTCAGTCAGTTGGAAGGGATGTTTTCATCAGCATTCGATGGATAGAATCTGGCGCACAGATACGGTCACGTATATCCTGCCTCGCGGAAGGAGAGAGGACCTTCTGAACCTTTGTGGATCTGAGATTAGACCGATTAAATCAGAACCGGTTTTCACGGTTTGCCAGGAGAGGGGCGATGAATTGGGCGCCTGTATGTGCGCAAGAGCAAGATCGTGATAGAGCCTGCTAAGGGCCTGTCAATTGGTATCGAACCTAACGTGAAGCAGTTCAATCGCTCAAGTTCGACCATACTCAGAAGCTTCCCCCGGACAAAAAACTTTACATCAAGCGGCGCTGAGTCATTCGACGGTCCCAAGGGCCAGAAAGTGGCCGAAAAGCCGGAACCGGCGGCTCACCGTTGCCTTAACAAGATAATAGACGTCAATCGAAGCTGATATTGCATCCCTCTTAAAGCGTTTGTTTCCTCTCCCTGCAGTTGGACGGTTTGCGCGTCTGCTTCGTCGTCATCCAGCACACCGTGGCCAAGCATCTCCGCGAAACCCTCGAGATTCTGGTGGGCGTTGCCCGGCCGCCCGAGCCGGCCGCGGAGCGCGGCCGCGGCAAGCGCGAGCCCCGCGACTCAGGACCGCTCTCCACGCAGCACCGTGACCCGGCAGGAAGAGTGCTACGCAGCTCCCAGCAACCAACTGGGGCAAACCCGCTGTTAGGCTTGAGCAGGTTACCAATTGATGGGGAGCAGCCTTCGGGGCAAGAGAAACGGGTGAGCCGGAGGGTTACGCGGAACCCGTTGAGCTTAGGCGCGGATGACTCAGAGGGAGAGGAAGCGGGCGCTCGGTTGGGGGGAAAAGGGGCCCGGCGAACAGTACCCGGGGGGAGCGGCAGAAGGAGCGCGCGCGCGGCGACGCGGAAGCGCGGCCGCGCGTCGAGCGACTCGGATTACGAGCCGAGCGCGCACTCAGGTTCAGACAGCGCGCGCGATTCGGACATGCGCGCGTCGTCGTCGTCCGGATCGGACGACGCGCCGAAGAAGGCGGGCGGCCGCATGCAGGCGACACGTGTCAGGAAGCCAGGGGAAAAGGGGTTTTCGGGCGCGCGCGGGGAGCTGCCGCAGGCGGCCGCGGACGGGCTGATGGCGTGGTTCGCGGAGCGGTGGCTGGAGCGGGGGGCCGTGGAAGCGCCGTAAGCAGCAACGGAAGCCGGACATCACCCGCGGAAACGGAATGCGCTGAGACTGAACGCTCGGCTCCGAACTTACTCTCGAGTGCAAAACGCGTTGAGTTTCACGTATTATTGCGATGAAGGTATTTCATTCTTATTTGACATGATAAAGCAATCAGTGAACAGAACTTGGAAAAGAAGAGAGGATGTACTTTAATCCTATACATACGTTACATCAAGGTAATAGGAACGGGAAATTCTAGAGAATCCTGCAGAGGACCGCTGTTTCCTCGCTCTTCGTCAGCATCTTTACCTCGGACCCAGGGACCTTTGTAGGTCCAGCAAAGGTTTCCGATTTCGCGAGCTTTCGCGTTGAGACCGAAGCACGCTCACAGATTCGCCGAGCGATAAGATGCCGCGGATAATCGCTTCCCTTCCTTCGGCACATCTTTGCAACGAAAAGTGCGACTCGAAGAATCATTCTGTATAACACTTGGGATCGGATTTGACTGACAGCTCTGCTTTTGTGCATGCAGAAAGGCAAACAAGCAGGAGAGATGCCAGTTGGCGAGGAGATTCGAAGTCACAGAGCGGCAGGTGCGATGCGCTTCATTTTTGATGCGAGAGCTCGTCCCGTATGTCGCTATAAGGGAAAGACTGGGGTCACACCCTCTTCAATGCGTTCGCTTTTGTCTTCGCTTCATCTTGTGAATAAGCTAACGGAAAACGGGAGGCCCCTTCAAGATTGCACTCAAACGAGAATTCAAATGCGAACTCTTTTGCGTCGTCTTAGAGAGTGCAACGCAACTCTCCGGACACTCTGTTGAATTCAGATCGCAGTCAGCCCTGGTGACAGGGTTTTGCCGAAGCCATTTGTAAGCTGGCCAGTTTCGAGGCTGCCCTGCTTAGTGAGACCTTTTCTCAAGAGAGACAAATCTGTGGACTCAAACAGCCTCTTGAGCGTACGTATGCAAATTCTTAGCGCCACGTTACAATCACGGTATTTGATTCTTTCAGAGAATCAGCCTTGATGCGGATCAGTTTGTAGTAACGCAGAGCCTCTACCCTCGATTTCAGCGATCAAAGTGTTGCGCTCGTACTACCACCTAACGAATTGACACTTTGTTGCCCTCTCCTCAGGTTGGAAACTGGCTGGTCAACGCGCGCGCCCGCGTCTGGAAACCAATGGTAAGCGGTGGACTTGCATACCAAATGAAGCACCACAGTCTGACTTGGAAAAGCGATCGAATGGGAGAGTATGTGACAGGTTATCTAGCGAAAAGCGGAACAAACGTCAACGGGTCGTTTCAGCGGGTGCGGCTTGGGTCTGCTGACGTGGATGAACATGTCATGATGAATTGCGTTGCGTCAAACTTTGAAAATCACTAAAAAGCAATAAGATTTTCCGACGCGCTTACCTCGTTTGCGATTTGTTCGCTTGCGGGCCAGTACCTTTCAATCCTGTTGCACCGAAGTCTCGACTAGCTATCTGGGAGCGGTCCTGCGTCGAAGACATGGAAAGCCCTTGATCTGTAGAATCCTTGATTCAACCATACTAATCTGCTCTACAAAATCCAAGCCCAGTGGCCTTCGTACGGCTTCATGTGATGAATCAGTTCTACTGAATTTGCTGCGAAGCTGCGATTGAGAATAGACTGATGCTTCTAACGGACTCGCGGTTTCCGAAATTCCGAAGGAGCCCCCAAGAGTGTACCTATGCAAAGGCACCACGTCACCGTCTGCCGACGTCAGATACCCTTGCAAAAAGCAATGAAGCGCAACAAATCTGGTACAATATGATGGATCGTGCCGTGCACGTGTATAAGATTGGTAATCGGGGACATTTTGAGGACTCAGTGAAAAGTTGGTGGATAGGCGGCACCGTGCCCTGTACCTTGCTGAGGTCACTTCTGACCGACTGTCGACGCTTTGCGCGCAGATGAAGGAGATCCGCCAGGAGCTGAATGCGAGCCCTAAGAAGCCGGACAAGAAGGACCCCTCCAAAGGCAAACGACGGAAGTAGAAACATTAAAGTAGCGGCGGTAACGATGTTAGAGACTGGAGCGTTGAGACGCAAGAAAAGGCATCTCTCCTTTCCAAGCATCGAACCCTTTCTGCCGTCGACCCGTCGCATCTGTGTATATTCAGATATGAGTAGGAGCAGCTTACTAACCCAAAAACGAGATAGATGAAATATAACACTCTAGCTAGATCATTGCATGGCGTGTAGTCCCACTCGAGAAGGCTTCTCAACCCGTGACCTAAGAGGAGTATCTTGCTACGACACCATTGAGAATTGAGCGGATCAGCTTCGGCGTTTCGAGGTGGGTTTGAGGCGGGTTTCCGAGCAAAGGACGCCGGTCCCTGCAAGATGCAGGAGCTGTCGTTCCAAACCCTATAGTCCACGCGACCGCCCTCAAACCAACGCCTTTGTCTGCAGGACTTAAGTTGCTGTGCGCTGCTTATATATATTTATGAAGCGCTTATAAGTACTCGTGAGTACCCGGGCACTTCGTGATGCGGTCGTTGCTGACGTGAGCGCCAATATTTTGCCTGAGGCGCGTGATCGCGTTTTCGGCATCATCTTTCAATCATTGAATCACAATTGAATTGTGACCCCATAGATCTTCTGTTTACTAAGGCTAAAAGAATAACTACAAGGTACTTGCGGCTCCCATGCCCACATACCCTAAGCCCATCAAAGATTCAGATAAAGGTTCAGGCAGCCGCAGCTCAGCGTATGATGAACACACTGATTCGACGTGAGTCTGTGCATTTATATTGGAATGCAATCTAATCAAATACTGATTTTGAGCTCAATGACATGCCAGGAACACTTCTAAGGGGCGAAACCCGTTCTTAAACAGCCGCTAGACGACGTAATTATACGTAAAAGTTAGCCGATGAGGGCATCGAGGTCAAGGAATAACTTCCAACCACATTGATCCGGCTTTACTTGTGCGCGCGTGTTCCGCTGTTGAGGGCTTCAAGTTCAGCCAGAGGGAGTAAGTCTACGTATACGGTATACCAGGACGCCTTCAAGATTCTCCAATATAAATATCACATGCAGAAAGTCGCGAGCTAGATCCGGAATTAGTCGATGAATTATCAGGAATGTCGATTCCATTTCTGAATTTGAGCTCGTATAACATGTGACCCGCTGGTCAGCGGCGCATCTAATAATCATCACTTCCTGACCACATTGAGTCCTTATTGTTAACGTCATTGATGACAGGTGCACGAAGCTCGGACACACGTCCAGTGGACAAGTGCGCCAACTTATGCTGTGTATTGCTGATTATCGGCCGTACAATCATTGCGCCGGGCAAGACGGTACTTGTGCTCTCTGAGTAGTCCCGCCCGGAGTGGAGCCCCACCAGGCTCCCTAGCATGACACGTGGCACTGTACAGCACGATCGGACGGCTCTCCGGGGCTGCTGCGAAACCCGAAACCCCGTGGAAGGTCAAACGGGGGTTTCAGAAGGGGTCTCGGTTTCGGCGGGGCTTGGCGGCTCCACCGTCCGATGCAGGGTAATAGCGGATTCATCGTATGGTGGCGGCGAAGGTACGACACCGGGGGTCCCGACCGTTGGTGCTCGACGTGGCAGACAACTATTTGCTAATGTAGCGCAACGTGCATATTTGAATGAGTTACGTAACTCCGGGACCCCGAGTGCAGGCAGCCATAATGAAGAGTAAGTCTAGGCTGAGACTACATGGAGCCAGTAGGGCTGCTACAGACAGAGCCGGGGCTGTAGCAATGGGCGTCTTTGGAAGTTGATCAGGACTTTGCAATTCATTCCTAACTTTGCTTGTTGGAGATAAACGCCTCTCCCTAGCAACACCAGAAGCTGGTGGCACCACCGCCCCAGCAGTAGTTAACGAATCCTGAGGACCCCAAGCTACTACCATTGTGTTACAAGACAGTGCATACAGTGGAGCAGACTAGCACCTATTGAGCTGCGGGGCTCAGCAAGGCGGCGCAACAGGTGATGCATGAAGTGCTGCCATCAGCGGATTTGTGGGAAGTGTGCTTTCAATTGCTGATTGTATTTGCATGAGGGATGCCTGGACATTGCATATGACACCTGACTCCTTAAGCTGGAGCAGGCCATGGGCGGTATGGGACGTTCCATGCATATGTAGATGTTAACACAGTGAGCCCCGGAATGGGCCTACCACAGTGACTTTAGATCAAGCTTCCGCTGCGCAGACAACCATCCGGAGCTATACTGCGGGGCTACACCAGCCTGCGCAGTTAACCCCGCTGGTGTGTCGACACTCTGCCATCCCTAGTTAGCCCCCAAGTGGGCCTGCTATGGAGGTGGGTATCTCTAAGAGAATACATACTCCGCGACGCAAATGGTGACCGGTACCGAGCACCGTGTACAACCGGCTAAGCAGTCAATGTCAAATGAATGCGCGGAATGGCACCTGACCCTAATAGAGTGACACGTGGCATGATGGAGGGGCCCGACACTAACTTTTCGTCGTCGTTCTGACGGCGAGCATAAGCGCTCGTGTACCGTGACAAACCTCGTTTACCGTGACAAACAGGAGGATGCCCCCAGACTGGAGCTTCGCCTCAGCAACGGTACTGGACAGCTACTAGTACCGTAATGGGAATGGCTGAGCCTAGTAGGTACCTACAAGATCTGTAATTCCAGTTGGGCGGCCGTTGCTCGTGCTTCATCCGAGATTTCCGAAGCTACCGGTACGGGCGCCGGTGTGCAGGAAGTGTACTTACACTGCATATAGGCGGATGTGATCTTCAATCTGCAAAGGCTGGCAGCTGTCGTCTTCCCTCTCGGCTGGCAGAAAAGCTACAGGGCAAAAGTAACTCAGCCGTTGCAGCTGCATTGGTCCGCGCCACTTTTTAGTGGACAAAGTTCTGCCTGATCAGACCAAGTTTTCCTCTCTCCTTTTTCTGCATGTTGGATCCACCTGTGGGAACGTTTGGTTTGCTCGTGGGGCCTTCAAAGTTGAGGTTTGAAACAGCTCGCAACGGCAGCGCTCTGAAAGACGTCTGCTGATTCAACAGAGCACAATGCTATTCGATCCAAAGCTGAGGGATTACGCCTGAGCGATCGCACGAACTGGAGGCTACTCTCAGCTGCTTTCAGTCACCTGGAGAAAGAGATCTCCAGTGAGACATTCGCCAGCTGCCTCAGACTACTTCAACTTAGCTAGTTTTTACACCTGGCTTTGAGTAAGACCGACGTACCGTGGCCGCTGCGCGCGTCTGATCAGCTCTACTCAAGAGTTATAGGCAGTGCAGGCATACTGAATATAGCTGGCACTGACAGATCCACCACTCTGAATCAGCTCTAGTAGATTGAAAAACAGTAACAATCTGCCAATCCGCTTCAACTTTTGATGCACTAAACCTGTACAGGGAAGCTCACAGATCTTGCAGCGTGGCGTCACACTGACAAACCTTCACACTCAACCGTCCGTGCTTAACAGGTTCCCTTCAACCAGCTTATTTTAGTATAAGACTGCTTAACCAGCTGAGGATAACCAAGCTCGGTTGCCTGAACCATCTTCCTGAGTTAGTCCCATCAAGCAGTCATGGCTCCGCTAGCGAGCTGGCTCCCAATCCTCAGCAGCACAATCCTTGCGATCACCGTCTGCTGCACGCTCTCCATCACGGCCGCTGTTCTCTACACAGTCCTCCTCGTCCCTTACCAGCACTGGGCCTTCCTGCGCAAGCAAGGCCTGCGCGGGCCGCCGTTCCGCCCGGTCCTCGGGCAACTCCCGGAGCTGCGCGCGTCGGTGAGGCGGCGCGCCGCGGATCCCAAGTACGCCGCCCGCGTTGCGGCGATCGCCGAGGACGACATTGCGCTTTATGGCAAGGTTTGCATCTCCCAGATGCTTGGACCCGACGTGAGATTGGTGCTCGCGGATCCGGCCGCGATCAAGGAGGTGTTAGGGTCCAAGGCGCACGCGTTTGCGAAGCCGCCGGACGTGTCGCGGGACTTTCTGGAGCCGCTCGGCCCCACGGGGCTGATCCTGAGCGACGGGGTGCGGTGGGCGGCGTCGAAGAAGATGCTGAACCCGGCGTTCTACCACGAGCGGATCAAAGTGAGGCCTCCCTTCTCTTTTCAATCTGTTTTTGTAGACTCGTTCTCAAGCGCTGTGCATTTCATTCTTTCTGATGCCTAAGAATCAGACTCGAATGCCTAAGCATTATACTCGAGTGTCAGAACATAGATGCGCAGCATAGTGCTGGAGGAGTGAAGAGAACTGGTACATGTCGAAAGTTTTTCTCAAGAGGACCTCTGACCAGCTGAGAGGATACCAGTTTCTGTCATGCCAGGTTGATGCTTCTGAGCTTGTTGCAGGAAGGGTCAAGTCGATTTTGAGCTGTTGAATACATTTCATAGGTTCCTCCCTGAACGGCAGTGAGGCAGCTCATAATCGTTAATTCGAGCAGCTAAAATGACTCAAATTGGTGAAAGTCATTCTAGACGCGCAAAATTTTCAGACGTTTCAGTTTTGCCCGGAGTCCGTCACAGAAAGCCTTCAGATGCCGCAAAAGTTTGCAGCCCTTTCCGAGCTCTAGCTGTGTCCAAAGTCGAATCAAATCGCAACTTACAGAAAATTATGAAAAGGACCCTCTCTACTTTGTTAGGACTTCAACTTTCCAAAGAGACTAAACTTCTGACTCTTTCGACCCTCCCTCATTTCTGTTGAGTTGTCTCAGGTGCCCATAATACAATGCACAGTAGTTAAAAGAGCCGGCATGCCACCGCTTTGGAAGAGACCGAATCCACGAACAGACCAGAAGCTGTGGGGGGAAAATAGATGATCACATTATTGGGAAGTGGTGTCATAAAACCCAGGTATGCGAACCTGTCCATCGGTCGATGCAGGCCATGAGCCACACAATGACGGCGTGCACATCCGACGCCGTCGACCGTTGGATGAAAAGCGTCGCTACAGGCAGCCAAGAAGTGGACATGTATAAGGAGCTTTCCAAACTGAGCTTCTGCGTCATTGCGCGGACGGCGTTCGGCATCCGTGACGCAGGAACGCAGCTGATCGCGGATCAGATTTTCACCAGCGTCGAACGCTTTTGCGGCCTGAACGTGAAAAGCGTGCTCAGCGGAATGGCCTTCATCGGGGGCTACAGGCAAGCGTCACGACCCAACTGTTATTGTGGGGTTTCAAAATTCGCCGCTTCTTCTAGACATGATTAGCGAGCTTTGACCACTCGGAATGACGTTTCTGCACAAGCAACATCTCTTCGCCGGTCCGTCCTGAGAGAGTTGGTGCGGGCACGTTTGAAGTGCGAACGCCCAAGTCTAGCAGCTTTGTCTATCTGCACCGCGTACCCTTTTCATAAGTTTACTCATGAACGTCGTTGAGTTCAAAAACCTAACCCGTGACTCGTCTCTTCCACGCTTCTGGGGCGGAAGGTAACCCAACCTCACTCATTTTATAGCTTTCTTCCTTCGTCATATGAGGACTGGCTTCTCGAGCGTGAGGTAGTAAGTTGCTGAATCTTACTCCGTTCTTTTCTCCACGAACACTTTGAGCACAGGAAGCTTTTGCCCATAATTAACCAAGATCGGTTGGAGGGCAGTGATCCATATGTGAACCACGTTTCCCTGTTCGAAGGGCATTTATCCAATCACGAACCAAGCTTGGTAAACACTGACTTCTTCCTATGGACGAAACGAAGCCTGTGTCCGAATATGTATGCAGGCGCCTGCCGACGCCCCTCAACCGCAAGATCGACCGCGAGGCGCGCACCATCCGCCGCCTCGGCCTGCGCCTGATCAAGCCGAAGCAGGCGGAGGGCCCGGGGAAGGCTAACCGGGACAATATTTTGGACATTATGCTGGCGTACCGGGACGAAGCGACCGGGGCCAAGCTGACGGACGACCAGCTCGTGAGCTCGCTGGCCCAAAATTTGCCCGTACTTCTTGCTGCAAAGAGCATGCCGTGCGTTTGGGCGGGTGCCTTCAAAGTCTAGTCGTGCGAAACTGGATTGACCACAGGGCATTACCTGGTCAGGAGTCGATTTTGGAGCAGGAAAAGGGCCCGGAGCAACATCGTGGGGGTCATCTCGATCTGTCACCTGCGCACGTGTTCCACGAGAAAGCGCGGCTTCTTTGAGCTGCCAGTTTTACGATTGCACCGGTTTTACTCTCCGTGTAGACGTGACGCACGGAGAAAGTTGCATGATAGGACTTGCCGATTGCTGTGACAGCGGCCAGCCCACGATCGGTTTAGAGCAATCGACCGGGTTCAAAACGTAAGCATATAGAGACGTCTTGTAGAGACGCAAGCGACGTACGAAACAAAGATAAAGTCGATCATAATAGGTTTAAACTTTGTAATTGCAGTTGGACCAGTGCATGACGTTCCTCTTAGCGGGCCACGACACGACCGGCGCCCTGATGACGTGGACGCTCTATCTGCTGCTCGCGCATCCCGACTATTACAAAAAGGCACGGGATGAGGTGAGGCGTTGAAAGAGGGCGAGTAGATATTTGACAGTGGCTAGCTTGACTTCAGCAACCGCTTTGGAAAACAATAGCTCTCAAATTACTCGAGTGTCTCTCTTAGAAGCTAATAAAACAGGTCCATTAGCGATGCCTGAAATTCATTATGCCGCTCGCTCTCACATACCCATCACAACTGATTGAGAAGGTACTCAGCTATGCCTTTGTTCCTCACCTTTGCAAGATCCTTCTCGTAACTTCTCGTAAGAGGGGATCCGATGCAGTCCTGTGTGAGAGCCCCTCCAAAGCGAATCCTGCGTGTTTCTTTTTTTCCCCCAAAATGTGAGATACGTTGTCGTCGTAGCGCTTTCAAAGCACAAACTGCCTCTTATGTTTCCTTCCCACACATGATTCTTGGAATTCCATATTCGAAACTCCTCACCGGCCGGAGACTCCCCAAGCTAAATCTGCTTCGTCGTCTGTCTCCTTGTCGTAAGGTCCTCGAAGTGTTGGGGAAGTGTGACTCCGACGCCGTCCCGTCTGAGGCCCTCCCAAAGCTAAAGATGCTCCACTGGATCTTGCAAGAGAGCATGCGGCTCTTTCCCCCGGTACCCATGATGGTCAGAAAAGCGATCAAAGACACGCAGGTGAGCTTGAAGCGATGGGTTACTACAACCGTTTTACTACAACCGTTGCTCTTTATGCCAATATCCTCATGAGCTTACGCGCTTGCAGGGCGCCCAAGTTCTCTCTTGGCCACTTCGGATGGGATTCCCGCGGCTCAAAAGGCGTTGCAAAATCCATCTTTCTCTTCTTTTTTGGGCCTAAGGTGGACAGTGTTGTAAGTTGCGACTGACGCTGGCTCTCGTTTAACGACGCACTTCGGCGGAGCGGGCTCTTCAAACGATTCCAAGCATTTCCGAAAGCTGGGCAGCTGATCCTTATCTTCTGTTGCTTCACAGATTGGGGACATCCTTGTTCCGAAGGGGCTGAATGTCGCCATCACGGTGTACCCTGTCCACGTCGACAAGGCGATCTGGGGCGACGACGCTGCGGAGTTCCGGCCGGAACGGTGAGCGGAAAGAGGATAGCGGACAGCGGCGACCCTTTTACCACTACTAGGTATTGCAAATGTGTAATTTCAATACAAAAGAAGCGGTGCAAAGTGAACTTTAGACGAGACGTTAACCAGTTTTTGAGCTTTCTCTGGCGCTCCGAAGATTCTGTAACTTTTGTCTTCTCTTTACTGAATTCGAGACAGATTCTGTGCCAATCCCTTCTCTTTATCTTACCCTGTTTCATGCGGTCGAAATCAGTGTATCTGTCTCTTCTTTTCTGCTCGACGAACGTGTTTGTGTATCTGACAACTGCCTATCATCGCTCTACTTTCCATCGTTCCTACTACTTTCCGGCATGATGTCCTTTTCTTTGAGCCGTCTTAGTGTACCTATCTTATCTGGTACGTACTTTCGCCGTGAGCATATCCGACCTGGCGCAGGCTCGGATCCAGAAGTAAGTCGCAAACGGCGCCCAGATTGCGGTGACGTCTGAGTTGCGAGGTCGTCACCAGCAGGATCGATTCTCCAGCGTCGATAAGGCAGCGGTTTTGTATCAGCTTTTTCCGCAGAGATTTTCATCACCAGGTTGGGCAAAGCGACCAAAAATACCGTTCTATCTACTTCCTGGTCGTCTGAGATAGTTCCCTCTCGTTAAAAAACTACGAAAAATTTGAAAAACGCATCTGGATGCCGCCTACAAAATTCAAAGAGCAATTTTTTGGCTTTTTAAAAAAAAAACTTTTAGGGAGACCCCTCCCCCCCATAAAGGGGGGGAGAGGCTAACTTTACTCCGAGGTCCTCTTGCAACTTAATCCGGTTCCGTCGCGCAGATTTGCCAACGGAGTGAGCGGCGCCGTCAAGCATTCGGCGGGCTTCATCCCCTTTTCTACCGGGCCTCGATACTGCATTGGCCAGGTAAACCGTCTTACCAAGGCCAAGTCAAAGCCTGACCAGCTGCAACAGTATGCAAACCAATGTCTGGCAATCTATCGCACATAGCCTGACGTCAGCAAAATCCACAAGCGGATCGCCCAATGAGCCTTAATACTTGGACGCGCTGGAAGATTCATCCGGCTTTGTGAGTTTTCGGAACTTTAAAGGGGTCACATTAAATATTGGGCGATGGGTCGCCCTACATTGGTTGAGTCGGCTCTCGATCACGCCCGCTCTCGTACGTTCATGTCAATCTTCCGATAGGCAATCTTGGAAGCAAATGGCTTGGTGTCTTGAATCGTTTCCGCTCAGGCGGCCAGCTGAGACCAAACAAACCAACAGCAAAGAGTCCGTGTGCACCAGAAGCACAGAGCGACATGCTTGCCGCACTCGAGAAATTCTCCTGGGACGTCATGATTTTGCCTGGAAACCAACCCCTTGACATCGCGCGCGCGCAGAACTTTGCACTGACGGAGGCCAAGATCGTGCTGGCCAAGCTGCTCTCGGCGTTTTCGATGGATCTCTCCCCGAAGTACCGCCACGTGCCGACGTCCCTCATCTCGCTGAGACCGCGCTATGGGCTGCCCGTGCTGCTGACGAGACGGGCCGCCGAGCAGCCCCCGAAGTACGGGGGGGGATAAGAAAAGTGCGCGCGCCTGCAAAGCGCGCGCGCGTCTCGGTGGTTTCGCGGAGCTTCTGTGGAGTGCTGTTCGTTCGCTCAAGTGGATTTGGCTTGCGCTTTTGGGTATTGTGAGAGTTTTTAAGCTTCAAAAGGCTTCCAAGACCGAGTGGTAAAGTACAAAACGCGATAATTGAGGTGAAAGAAGAAGACGGGTGAATTTGTGACAGTACCGATATAGGTAGGGTCTGTAGTAGAATTGTAAGAAAGAGACGAAGATCATTTTGTCGGAAGGATAATCCTTTAATAAGACGGCTAAGGATGCACGATCCAATTTTCGTTTCAAAAAGGACAGCTTTCTTGCTTGTGGAAAAAGGGACTGGCAAGAAAAGGACCGTAGTCGAGGTTGTAGTACTTAAGTTTGACGCATCGTAATCAAAGCTGTAGTAGGTATTTGAGATTGAAGCAGACGTATATGGATCCTTCATTGAGCTCAAATTCAAGGTTCGTTGCATGTGTGCCTTGAATCTCAGGCCGGAACGCTTTGTCCGTGATTCATCTACACAATCCTCTGCATGCATCTCAACTCTTATCTTGCAAACTGCAAATTGCTGGATCGAAACCGCTTGACATGAGCCGTAGGTTGAATCATCAACAAGCGTCCACTCAAAAGGCAATTCATAGTCCGTCTTCGATGGAAGAGGAAGTTTGCCCTAACGGGGCACGCAACCCTACAAATTCACAAATCACAGGATTTTCGACAGGAGCCGCATGGAGCCTAATAGTCTGGGTTAGGAGACGCAACGGCGGCTAACCCAGCCCTAGCTTCTAAACGATCACCAAGTAACCCGCTACAGACCCACGTACTTCATGAACGTCTCATCCGCCAAGAGTCTCGCCATGTGCTTAGCCAGCAAACCAACGTACGCGCACACTCCCCCCATGGTTTCGACCAGCACTATGAACCCGTCTAGCGCCAATAACAGATTTGCCACGCCGAAAGAAACTGGGGGCCCCCAACCGAGGTCAATTTCGTTGAACGGAAATTTGACGAAGCTGGTTAGGAATACATCGGGGCCCCGGTGGATCGAAAGCGGCGACGCGCGCGCGTCTTTGTCGGGCATCGAGCGGATCTGGTCGAGCGCGGAGTTTGCGTACGCGGCGTCGACGCGCGACACCGTGTCGCGCACGATGCTCGCGCTCTGCGCGCGCGGGGAGGAAGGGGACGGGTGAGTAACACGCAGCCTTTTGGAGAGAGCACGGCTTATAAGGTGTTTTAGCAGTTTTGTGTGGCAATGGGTACGAGTTTGCATAAGTGTGACTGCGCTTCTGAAGATGAATGACACAGCTGTTTGATGAGCGAGCAAACTCTTGAAATCTACATTCTGAAAGTGTGAGCAAATGAGCCCGGCATGCAAAGCGGAGCTCACATGAACACATGAAATTGGAAATGAACAGCGACTCTAACGGCCCCCTATTTTGATGAATTTCCGGAGCTCTGAGTTGCTGAAGGTTGAAGGCTTCTGAAGGGAGAAGCAGGCCTTTCACCACCCACGTCAAAGTACGCCTTCAGAAAATGGCGAGAGAGCAAACTATCTTGTCTTCACCAGGATGCCAAAAACCTCTAGGTTTATCGAACCAAGTTTCATGTACGGAGAAGTAGGACAAGAGCATCGAAATCAGCATTTAAAAATGCTTACCCAAGACAAGGGCTGCGTGGTGACCTCCCCCGCCGCTGCCTGGGACTCCGTCGTCAGAAGACTAGCGTTGCCGAAGTAGGCTTCCGGCAAAGGTGGTTCTGTCCGTGACCGGACGTTGACCGGAAAACCCAGGCGTGTTACCTGCGAAAGAGGTCGACGGGGTTACTGGTTCAAATGTCTCGAAATATATTTTAAGCAAGGTTGGAAACCTACTAGCTATCCCCGCGATTATTTGATGTCATTTGCCGATTCGGCGCGGCCCTTTTGACTGGTTATGGTGACTTTGTCAACACCTCCTTATCGATGATGCTGTTTCTGCATCTCAGTTCTTGAAAGATTCTAAAAGCAAGACCGGGATTGCACACAGTCCTTTTGGACTTGGCCGTCCGCAAAACTCAGGCCGCCCGATTCCCAAAGATGGGCGATGAAAATTTAGGGGAAATATGTAATTCACTGGTGTCAAGCGTCCAGGATTGAGAACCTGCAATCCTAAACCTTGCCCACCTGCTTCGGGTCAAGTCCTCGCGCGGCGGTGATACTCAGCCACAGGAGCGCGGTCAAGGCGTCATTGGTGCTGACGAAGCGACCCGCGGGAAGGCCTTGGGACGCGTCCGCTTTCAGCGCCTGTTGGACAGGGCAAGGACACGTGTCAAATATTAGAGCGACACACAACACAATTCCGTATGGTTCCAAGAAAACGCGAAAGCAAGACGTTGATCTATCTGCGAAACGCTTCGACTTTTGAACAAATTTGGAAACCCTTTTCAGTTTCTTAATTAATTGTGATTGCAGGAGTTGAGCGGAGTGTCGTCGGGGTGTTTGCACCTCTTGCGCTCCGCTCTGTCGTTTCCGTCCGTTCATGAAAGTACAGCATTACTTCCGCTCCGTTTCGCTCTGCCAATTCGTACTTCCAGAATCGAATGGCACCTGTGTTCACGGGACATCATAGCAAGAGAGAAGGCAGACACTTATCGCCAGGCAGAACAGTCGGTGCACGGAAAGCTACTGTAGTTCTATGTTCTTCTGATCCAAGAGCTCCGCAAAGTCCGCTAGCGTGGCTCACACCTTCAGCTTGGCGTTGGGGAAGGCTATCCGATATTGCGCCACGTCCGGTTAGCCGAGCAGCCGCACCGGAACGAACGGAAGCGCTCTCCGTCGCAGGAGCGGAACGCCAAACATGAGCATTACGGCCAAAGGGATTGGAATGGCGGGTCTTCCTGGGCGTGGCGCTCGCGTACCCTTCGCCAGGGGCTTGCTGGTTACCTGCAAACTCAGAAGAGAGTCTGTACAAACCCAAGTTCGGTAGGTGGCTATTAGAGTGCTTGATTGGCCAACCACTTGTCGAATCACAAATCGGGCCGTGATTATTGCTCAGATGAGAACGCCGTTGGCCGTAATCACGGGTAAAAACTTACGGCCACTCCGATTCCGTCACGCAACGAAACCCAAAACGTTGGATTCTGGCAACAGCTCAACAACATAAGAGCGGGCGTCGACTTTGATGAGGTTATCTTGAGTGAAGGACCAGATCGAGAGTAGCAACTAACAGCGCCCACAACTCCAGCCGTTCGACGGGGAACTGTAACGGCCTCGTGGAAGATTACTAGAGGGCTCCGGAGATTTCCCCGGAAGGCGAAGCGGTCGTTACTAGGCTCCCGGAAAAATTGCGTCCCAAGCATCCCAATGGCCTCATCGGAGACAACTAGAGGGGAGGGGGGGGTTTTCTGAAGGCGGAAACGGTCGAGAGTGGGGCCCCGCGACGGCTGCTTTCCCAGCATCAGCTCAGCCCAATGGACTCAACAAGAACAACTAGAGGAGGGAAAACGTTCACTGGGAGACGGAGACGCTCGTTGTTGGGCTCCTGGGACGGCTGCTTTCCCAGCATCAGCTAAGCCAAAT